TCTGGTGTCCTGTTCGTCATCGTCGACGCCGAAGTCCTTGTTCCCAGGATAATCTTCAACCACTTGCTCTTCTTCCTCTCCCCGTAACAAAGCCCTTGCTTCCACGGCTCTCAAGACGCCGGTGGCCCGGCTGGGTGCAAGCTTTTCTGTCGTGATGAAAAACAGATTTTTGTGCAGCAGCAACAGCGTGAATTGCTGCACTAGCAGGCAAAACGGACGGAACAGAAAGCGTCGCATTGTTTTTGTTATTGTTTTCGCCGTTATTATATATAATTTGAATTTCGGAAATGTCTTCGATTTTCGTTTTATTTCCGAGCCCGTCGTCCGCACGGAGGATTGAAACTCGGAAAAATCCCGTAGAAGTACAGGATGGAAAAAAAGCTCGATTGTTTAGTCGTCCCGTTATCCGCACGCGAAGGGTAGCGAAGCAGTACCCCGTAGAAGTAGAGGACGGAAAAAATAAAGCTCGATTGCTTATTCGTCCCGTTATCCGCACGCGAAGGGTAGCGAAGCTCTGGAATTTGTTCCCCTTGTTGTTCTATCAAGTGTAAAAATGTCTGGGTCTGGAAGATTGGAACTTGTGATGCTAACTTTGGACTCCAGAAAAATCTGTATTGCATGACCAGCAAGAGGAGTCTAGTTTGTGCTACGCGGGGAGGGCGTTTGTCATGCGGAGTAGGCATCAGGAAGCCCTCTCAAAATCTGTGATGCGCGGTCGTCGTTCGTTCGTTGTGGATCGGCTCTGCCGACCGGGTAACCCAACGCCTTTCATACAAATGACCGACTTAGGCGAACCCCGTTGCGGGACATACAAATTGGCCGTACGTAAGGGCCCTAAGCGCTACATACATCGTTCACCCTATGCGCCTACCACTTCGGTCTGGGACCTCGTCTACCTGATCCTGGGGGTCCACAGCGCACTAGCCCTTTGCTAGCATAAACAGACTGGGTTCTACAAACTGATCTAACTCCTTTCTAACGCGGTCGTGCATTACAGGCGTCCTGGGTCATCCAAAACATGCATAACAAATCTCCGAATCTTCCAGACCCAGACACTTTTACACTTGATATGTTCTCGTCGTAGGAGTTGTACCGAGTCTACTATAATTCTTGCTCGGGAAAAAAAGTTCGCGTTATGTCGGAAAAACAGTTCGCTTTATGTCGGAAAGAAAGTTCGCTCACGCTCCTTCGTTCCGGAAAAAAAGACCGCGTCCACGAGTTCTTGTTCTACGTCGTGATATTTTAATACTGTTTCCTCTGCTCGTACTGGTACTACTTTTAGTTCACGTTCAACTCGCTGTTCATTACTAAATTCTTGCATGTATTAGATCGGAAGTGGTCGTTTGTTTTGCTCTTGGATGGATGCATTTTCATCCTGATTGATAGACTTAGTAAGATGAAGTTGAAGTACTTCGTTGTGCGGTTGAATGATTCTTCGTGTTGAAGTCGGTTGTTGATAAAAATCGAAGGAAGGCACTTCCACTGCTTGTTCTGGATAAAATTAGTTTCCACTTCTTGCTAACCTTGTGGTTGCCAGTTGTGCAGGAGCTGTGCCTGAATATTAATCTTGTGATCGCGAGAAGCTGCTCCGGGGTCGTTTTACTTCTAGTTGTTCCACTTTATTTCTTCTCCCGTCGTTCTCGGCGCCACAGCTGCCACTCCCTCCGCCTCGAGACGGGTAGAGGTGCTGTACTGTTACTTTTAGTTCATCACGTTCATCTCGTTATTATATTTTTGCATGTATCAATAGACCGGAAGTCGTTTGTTTTGCTCTTGGATGGATGCATTTGCATCCTGATTGATTTAGTGAGAAGTACTACTTCTAACGTTGTGCGGTTGAATGATCCTTCCTCTTCGTGAAGTCGGTTGTTGATAAAAATCGAAGGAAGGCACTTCAACTGCTGGTAGTTGTAGTGCTGCTTCTGGATAAAATTAGTTCCCACTTCTTGCTAACCTTGTGGTTGCCAGTTGTGCAGGAGTTGTGCAGAAGTTGTGCCTGAATATTAATCTTGTGATCGCCAGAACCTGCTCCGGGGTCGTTGTAAGTACTAGTTGTTCCACTTTATTATTATTTCTACTTCTCCTATCCAACGAAAAAACTGTGTAGGTGTAATTTTCTTGGAGGAATAGCATCACAAGTTTGCTCTGCATGACACAGAAAACCTGTCATGCGTATCCAGTACCTGAAAACACGAAGGAAAGAGCCTCCGACGCACATCCAGCATGACAAGTGTAGCAGTTTTGCATTTTCATCTGCATCACAGACTTACACTCACATAGTTTTTTTCTTGCATATCTCCCGTCGGTCTCGGCGCCACAGCTGCCACTTCCTCCGCCTCGAGACGGGTAGAGGTGTTGTGCAGAAGATGTATCCTGTGCAAAAGTATCGTACTCGTATTGCAATCATGCATGACACATCTTTTTCTTAACCTTAATCAGCATTACAAATTTTATTTGTCATGCTGAGGAAATTTGTAATGCATTTATACGAGTACGATACTTTTGCAGTTCATAAGATGAAGACGTGGTCAACTATAAGCTTGCCGCAGCAGCAGCCCCTCTGCTTTTGTTCCCAGCAGCTTGAAACAAATAGGGCAGCTCTTCTTGGAAGTTGGTAGTGGTAGTGGTCTCGTATTTCTTTGACGGCAAAATACCACCTTCTTTCGTGTGGTGGTATTCTTGTTTTACTTTTTTGTGTTAATACCAACGGCTTTTAGTTCTTCTTCTTTGATAGTCGCAGTCGCAATGTCGGAACTTCTTGTGAAGTTGTTGTTAATCCAATCATATAAAACCGCTTTGTCGAAGCGGTTTCATAGTTCTTCGAAAAAAATTCTCTTCGCTTTATTGCTCGTTCAGCCAAGAAAATTCCTTCAACATCTTCGTCATTCCTGAAGTAGTAGAAGATGCTATTGAAACCAATTACTGTCAGCATTTCTTTTCGTGTCGGCCTCGCCCTCGGTCGCGTCCGTTCTGTTTATTTTCGAGTTCAGGTCGACGTTGCCCGACAAATTGAAATTCATCTTGTTTTCGTTGTCCCTGTCTACGTGGTCTTTGTGTAGTTTTTGCAGAAGTTGTTCGCTACTTCGCCTTTTTTTCTCGACCCACAAGACAGGACCGGTTCGTCGTGGTTGTGGTGGTGGTCACAAAGAATCGTATCGCGTTCTTGTGGCGCTGGCGCTGGTTCTACCTTGTAATATTGATATTCTGTATTTTTCTACGGTACCCGACTGCTGCTTCGCTTCTGTTTGTAGTACAGCTTTCTTCGCCATTCACCATCTGCCCGCCAGATGTCTCCTTTACTATCTGTACCTTCACACAGCTGAAGTAGCTGTTCAACAATCTGCTGGAAGTTGTCTGGAGCTGCGGTTCGTTTAGAAAAAAACTACTGCAGCAGCCATCGCAATTTAATACGCCTCGATTTCTCGTCGGTAAATGCGATGCGCTGCCAGTGACTCAGTGGTCTGGGTCGGTAAAGTAATTCTAGCAGCGGTCAAAATGACAAATCGAACTTCTTCCCACGACCACTTTCTTGCCGTAGTCGTGCGCCCGCGAACGCAAGCACGAAGTACTTGTGGTCCTCAAAATAAACTGAATCTCCAGAGAACCAGGGCCAGCAGTAACAAGTACTAACTTGCTTCCTCGCCGGTGCTAATCAAAGTGTTGTTCTTCAGGAGATCATGCTTTTATTTCTGTCAAAGTTTCTCGCCCTTGTTGCGCCTTGACCTTGAAAAGCAAGTAGTTGTAGTCGCCTCCAGTATTGAACTGCGTTGCGATCGCCTCTACTTCGCATTCGCAGCAAAATAGTAAAATTCGGAGGAACAGTTGATGTGGAGAAACCAGCTATAATAAGCGGTAGCCATCAAGCGATTGGCAACGAAAGAAAAAGTGACGTCGCTTTGCCATGGACTTATTCATCCATAGCTGCGATATTACCAATTGTGCCAATACGAATTATTCAGTAGCAGTTGCGAAAATGCTTCTCTCCCAGAAGACACGCCCTGTTGACCATCAGTGTGGTACTTCAATGGTTAACTAACCACGACCAGCGACGGCACTAGGTCTAGGACTAGCTTCTCAAAAATCCTATAATTTGCAGTGGGATTCGATATTCAGTAAAATTCAAGGAAGTTGTACATGAGTTTCGATTTCTGAGACGAAAGCGAAGTCGGTTGAATAAATAACTTACCAAATACGTAAATGTTTGGATCGCTGCCTGGGTTATTGTTCTTTGTTGTTTTCTGAATCAATGTTCCTTCGTGGTTTCTTTTCTACGATTCTTCGGCACAGAAATTGTCTCTGAGTAAGGAACAGGTAGTTCCCAAAAAGAAAAAAGAAAAACGCCGCCGCTGCTTATTTGGTTTTTTTTGCTTTTGGTCGCGATAAAGCTTAAGCTCAGGGTTGTTTGTTGTTGTATCGGATCTCTATCTTTATCATCTCATGTTTCAGGAACAACACGCCGAAGAACTGCAAGACAATAGTACATCAAAGCACCACTACTTTCGCCGTGCCGGAAAATAAAGCGCAGCTAGTACAACTAGAACATCGAGGAAAGTAAAAAATGCTGCAGCCGATGAACGCGGTTTCGTTTGTTGAGTGAAAAATGAAATACGTAAAAAAACGAATCAGATCTTGGTCGACCAGGAGGATCACAACTCATCAAAGGTCGGATGTCTGTGCAAATAACGCGATCCAGCGGACGCGGAGCGTACTTTCTTATATCAATGAAGTATGCACCGTATGCACCACCTAGCTCTACTGCTACCCTCCATCTCGACGTCAATAGGGACATGTTGAAGGTGATGGTGAAGATCCACCTCCACGACGAGAAAGTAGAAACCTCCAGCCAAAAAGAGGATCGAATCTAACTCTAGCATGTGGAGGAAGACTAGTATAGAGTGATACGTAATTCTAACTGCCGCGAACGCGGTAGTACAACTCTACTAGTTTTGCAAGGAAGAACATCGAACAAGCTGCAGAAGTCCAGTGCATCTTCTCGAGAAACCCTTCTGTTTTGTTGTGTCTGCAAACAACAACTGCCAGTTTATTTTTCTTGTAGCGAAATAAAGTCACACCGGGACACGAGCGCAATCGTGTCCCCAGTTGCGTCGTATCTCTTCCACGAATTTATGTGACGATCATCGGTTTTCAACTTCGCGGCTTTTGACACAGAAGCGCGAAGATTGATGATTGAAATTGAAAAAGTCATACGAACTAAGATCATCATTCACATACACGTTCACCACACCACGGCGCGACAGGAGCAGACTTCAGCAGCTCTTAAGGAGCCCAAGAACTTGTCAACTGTTCATCTTGACCCAGCAGCATTCGCCAGGTCTTTCGCGACCACGGCCTGGCAGATCGGGTGGTAAAAGTTCTTGTGCGTCTCAAACAGCTCATTCGCTACTTCGACCGAGCACTTCGCCAGGGATCGGTACAGCGGTCGCGTGTACTTCATCCGGCCTTGGCTGGTCAGCATTTTCGCGACTTTATCGTAAAGCCGTTTCCAGTGCGGTGTTTTCAAATTCAGCTGGTACCACTGAAAAAGCAGCTCGCAGTTCTGCGTGGTATCCAAGCCGGTCAGGGACGATTCGAGCAGGTTATCAAATGTAAAAGTGTCTGGGTGTGGAAGATTCTGAGACTTGTCACGCATGTTCTGCATGACCCAGGATGTCTGTATTATGCATGACCTAGCATCACACATTTTTAGAGGGCTTCCTGATCCTGATGCCTACTCCGCATGACAAACGGCCTCCCGGCGTAGCACAAACTAGACTTCTCTTGCTGGTCATGCAATACAGATTTTTTTAGAGTCCAAAGTTAGCATCACAAGTTGGTTCCAACCTTCCCGACCCAGACATTTTTGCATTTGATACAGGTCTAACTTCGACAACTCGCTATACGGGTTTCCGTTTGTTGCTGCTGAGGCTAACTGGTTCAACTTTTCAAAAAACATATGGCGTTCTCAAATGTTACATTCTCAACTGTTAGATGAACTTACAATGCAAGACTAGGAAAAGTGAAAGGGGGGATATTGCGCCTTTTGCATTACAGGTTTGGTGCAGATTCTAATGCTACCTATCGCGCCAAGAACTTGTCATGCGAAGCAGCTTGATAATGTACACACTTATGGCATTTTTGCATGACAAATTCATGTAACAGCTAAGAATGTAACGTTTGAGAGTCCCATAAAACACCAACCTCTGTTCGGTTCGCCAGACTGACCAGAAGGAGTATGGGAGTGTCAGGATCGAAATCGACAAAATCGAAAAATTTGCAATGCATAAAATGGATTCCAGATCGAACCCAGTTTCTAAGTGGCGCATGACAAATTCTGGTAGTGCCTAAATCGAGTTTGTAATGCTGTTTAGGCAGAGAAGGCTGATTCTCTCATGCTGCTTTAGCAGCTCGAGCTATAACCCCAAACAGGCCTACAACCGGCCTCACTTGCCTGCTCTGCAACACACGTGTTTCGCGTCATGCATTTTATGCATCACAAATTTTTCGATTTTGTCAATTTCGATCCTGACAGTTCCATAAGGAGACTGTTTGCTGTATAACCCGCGCAGGTGTTACAATCTCAAACGTTACAATAGAATATGGAAATCTGTGATGCATGAGCGCATGATCTGGCCAGCTCTCATAGGATTGCGCATGACAAGTTCTGGAGTCCTAATCCGCACTACTATCTGGCGAAATTTGTATTGCAGAAAGTGGAATGCTGTCCGAGTCTGTCATGTGTATCATGCAAGACAAGTCTCAGATTCTATTGTAATGTTTGAGATTGTAACGCTTGAGCAGGTCATATGCTTCTTCAACTCCTGCGCGCCGTGGTCGTCCTCGCCGGCAGATAGAGTTAGCTCGTGCCAGTCTGTTACAGTGAAAAATGCCCCCACCCCCAAAGTTGCAAAAATTTGTGTTTCCAAATGAAAACTTTTTGCCATGCATAAAAGGAGTATGAATCTTTCTGATGCAGCGTCGAGGCGTGTATCGAATGGCTTGCATGACAAGCGCCACTTTTGCTGGGGTCTTTTGCAGTACAAACTTTTGCTATTCACTATGTCTTGGAAATCTGTCATGCTGATAGATGCAAGAGGGCGAATGTTTCATTTGGAAAGGTTTGCAATACAAATGCTACCAAGTTGGGGGTCGGGAGCATTTTTCACTTTGATACAGTCGCTCGCGAGCGTTTCCGCGTCCTGGATGGAGACGGACTCGAAGGGGTAGGGCAGGTCCGGCATCCCGGGCTGAAAGTACCACTTGCCCCAATCGAGAGTCTTTGGATTGTTCGCCACTTGTGGACACTGGGCGCAGACGAACTCCCGGAACTCCCTCGCCGTGATGGTTTTGAACTTGAAGGTTTGTATGTAGGGTTTCACAATCTCCTTCAGAAACTTCTCCTCGCCCACGATCTGCTCAATGGTGTGCAACAAATTGCACCCCTTCTCGTAGTATGCACTGCAAAAGTATGGCACGACTCGGGTCGCATTCATTTTTTCCTAAATTGCACCAGCAAATACGCATGACGATTTTTTTTCCTAGGAAAAATCCGCATGTTGACAAATTCGAGTTGTAAAGCTGAGCAACTTTGTAATGCAATTTCTACTAGTACGATGATACTTTTGCAGTGCATACGTACGGAACCGCGGAAAAAACGTCGTCTGGGTCGATCTCCTATCCTGTGCAACAGTATCGTACTCGTAGTAATGGCGTTCCTGCAATACAAATATTCCTCTTAAGGTAAATCCGCAGTACAAATTTTATTTCTCATGCTGGGAAAGTTTGTAATGCATTTATACGAGTACAATACTTTTGCACAGCATATCTCCGCGGACAGGTCCGGGACGAGCTTGGTGTACTGCGGTTGCTTATGCATTGCAAATATGTTGTCTGGGTCTGGAACTTGTGATGCAAGGTAGGGAATAATGAGCACACTGTAATTATCCGCTGCCCAGCATGACAAGTTTTTCCGTGGTTCTAGATCTAGGTTGCGTACTCTGCATGATAAACTGCGTTTTTGCATGAAAGGCAAGAGGAGCTCTTCGCGGCCACGCAATACAGAGTTCAGAGTCATCATGCCAGACTAGCATAACAAATCTCGTCGCAACTACTTTCCAGACTCAGACTCATATTTGCAGTACGTATTGCTTTATAGATTCAAAATGCGCCACCGAGGCCTTCAAGTGCGCCACCCCGTTCTGGGACGCGACCGAATGGGCTTCTTTCGCCAGTTTCTTCGCTTCGTCGTCGGAAATCGGTGGCTGTTGTTTTTTCGCCTGCTGGTACACAAACTCCTGCTTGATTTTCCGCTCCAGCCACACCGTCCACCCTTCGTTCAGCCAGAAGTGCTCCCAGGTACAGTTAGTCACGACCTGACAGGATCAAATTTTTAGATGAAATTTGCATTGCGGATATTAAGTGAGATCATGATACTTTATTCCCATTCGCTGCACATGATGATCACGCATGAGCATGACAAAGAAAAAGAAAAAGAAAAACTCAGATCGAAAAATATCAAGTACGTTCCCGGTCCAGCTGTGCGAAATTTCGTGCGCTACCACATCTGCCAACGACCGGTCGCCCGCGAGCAAGGTCGGCGTCACAAATGTCAGACACGGGTTTTCCATGCCCCCGTAGGGGAAGCTGGGAGGTAACGACAACACGTCGTACCTCCCCCATTGGTACTCTAGCCCCGTGATTTGCTCCGCGATTTGCAGAAATTCCTCCGTTTCCGCGAACTCCCACGCGACCTTCTCAATGTCCTCCCTCTCCGCCCAGACGTCGCAGCGGTGGGAGATTTGTTTTTTCACAATGTCCCCGCAGACCAACGCGATGAGGTAGCTAGGAACCGGGATTTTCTGCTCGAATTTGAACGATTTGTACTCCTGTCTTTCCCCGCTGCTCGTCTTCCCCATCGAAAACTGCTCCTTGCTGAAGACCGCGGACATCAGCGCCTGCGCCCAAACGGGGCAGTGGATCACGGCGGTATAGGCGCACTTCGCCGACGGGCAGTCCTGCACGGGGAGTAGACTTCTCGCGTGGATGGCCTGGCACTGAGTGAAAAGGTAGGGGTATTTTTTCCCGGTCGTCGCTTCGGGCTTGACCTATCCTGAGTAAAAACGTACCCACACCAGAGTTGCCATCCAGATTTGCCATGACAGGAACAGTTGTGATGCGCAACCCCATGACAGGCATTTTCAATCGTGTTTGGACACTTGTAATGCTGTAAACAGGATTAGCAGATCGATTTGCGATGCGGCTTTCCTTGCTAACTTGCACTACCTTACGGACTGAAACTTGTCAGCGTGACTCCCAAAACTCCTAGGTTTGTGTTGCAAAATGCCCATCTTGACTCTGGTGTGGGGACGTTTTTAATCAGGATATGACCCACTGCGTGCTCATCGCATCGACGCCGGTCTCGTAGCGAATGCGGAGTTTGACGGCTAAGTCCGGTTTTTCCGCGACCGTTTGCTTGTCGAGTGCCGAGGATTCCGGCAACGCGCAATGGAGTGACTTGCCGAAAACCTTGTGCTCGGACTGTAGCAACCTATACGGCGAAGACCGGAACACCGAGCAACTCTGGGCCGTGCACAGGGCGGAGCTGACCCCGAGAATTTTCATCCCGCCGTTTGTGTCCAGCACAAACTGCCGCATAGCCCCCGAAGTAGACTCGTCGAGCTTGAGGACGGATTTTGCCGGAATCGTGTAGGTGACGGAACCGAAGAGTTTTGTGTTGTCAAAATCGACGGTGAGGTTGAGCTCCATGAAGCTCGCAGTAGTCTTCTGCTAAGTAAAAACGTCCTGACCCCAGAGTTGTCTTTGTCATGCAAATCCGCATGACTAAAATGCTTCTCATGCGCAACCCCATGATGAGCAGCTCTTTCTCATGCTGTCTCAGTAATACTTTGTCATGCTCTAATCAGGATAGGGAGCCGGGTTTGTGATGCGGGATCACTAGCCAGACCCAGATACGACCACTACACTAAAGTCCCAAACTTGTCATGCGCAACCTCCAGAACTTGCTGATTTGTGTAGCAAAAGTCCCTTCTTGGCTCTGGGGTGGGAGCGTTTTTACCTACGATAAATCTCGCTCGCATTGGACAGCGTCGAAAAATCCTTGACGCGAGCGTCCATGGTGCCGAGCTTGGCGGCGTGGATTGCAAAAATGTCTGGGTCTGTAAGATTCTAAACTTGTAATGCTGTCTCTGGATTCTAAAAAAATTTGTGTTGCATGACCAGCAAGAGGACTCCAGTTTATTGTGCTAGGCGGAAAGGGTATTTCTCATGCGGTAGAGGCATCGAGAAGCTCTCTAAAAATCTGTGATGCTAGGGCATGCATCACAGACATCGTGGATCATTCAAAATATGCATGACAAACCTGGCAATCTTCCAGACGCAGACATTTCTGCAGTTGATAGGCGGCGAAATCGGCTTGATCTTCGCCGATAAGCGGGGACATCTTGCTTTTTTGCAGCGAGAACGTTCAGGAGCTTGGCCGGTCAGAATGAGAATGCCAAAATGATTCTGATTTCGTTGATACTCTTCTATGATAAACGTTTCTCTGATTTTTACGTATGCAGTCTAGAAGGAATTTCCATCATTCGTCGCTGGTTTGAAGAAAAAGCTTGCTCATTACTGAGGGTTCCTTCATTTTCTTCACAATTGTGCTGGTCGCTCGTCGTTGCAAAATCTTCTTCAAAAATTGTTCTCTATCTCTCCCTAGTTTTTCGGCAAAATAAAAAGTCTGTCTTCTTGTCGTAAACGTGATCTTCACATGGCAGTTGGCATAAAACACACCTTCATCTTCATCGTTTCACAACATCGAACGGGCGCTGCAGCATCTGCTCAGCACGACACCCGCTCACGAGGATGGTAATAAACAGAATTTGTGCTGCTCTGCTCGTTTTGAGCGGCCGATCACACTGTGAAAGCCGAAGCGGCTCCGTAACTGCCTGCTCTCTGTTGTGAAAAGTGCCAATCGACGGCACAAGCACCTCAACATCGTCATGATCTTCACTAGGTGTGGCAGTTCAAGTTCGATGGCATAATTGGTAAACTAATTGTTGTTCATCTTCATTCCTGAATTCTTTGCTTTCACTTTCTCATCACTAGGTGTGGGTAACTAAGAACTCAGATCGTCCATGCTCAGGGTAAGAACTCGTCACTGCTAGATGTGGGAGGTAAGAACCCAGTTTCAGATGCCACTGACTGCGCATTTATTTCATCTACTTCACACAGCCGCGGCGTTCATGGTCTTGCATCAGCTTCAGCGTCGTCGGAAAATACTTCCAGCGCCGGTTCAAACTGGCCCGGAGCTGCGTGTATCCTGTCCAGGTCCGCGTTGGAGGGCCATATCAAATGCAAAAGTGTCAGGGTCTGGAAACTTCTGATGCTGGGTGGCGTCTCATGATGAGGCCACAAATGCTGGCTCAGCATCACAAGTTTCTGAGCCTCTAGGTGTTGCCTATTCTGCATGACAAACTGCGTCTCTGCATCACAGAAAAATGGAGCTCTTGAGTAACGTGCATGACAGATTTAAGAGTGATGCCAGACAAGCATGACAAACGTGCATTCTTCCAGACCCAGACATTTTTACATTTGATAGGACTCGTCGAGCTTGAGGACGGATTTTGCCGGAATCGTGTAGGTGACGGAACCGAAGAGTTTTGTGTTGTCAAAATCGATATCAGACGCAAAAGTGTCTGGGTCTGGAAGAGTGCGCGATTTGTCATGCAGCTTTTCCATGACCCATGAGGTCTGGAATGCAGGACCTAGCATGACAGATTCTGTGCGACCGATCTCTCTCATGCCTATCCTGCATGAGAAACTCCCTCCCGACTTGGTCAAAACTGGGCGACTTTTTCTTTTGGTAATCATGCAACACAGATTTTTGCATGCTTCAGATTTAGCATGACAAGTTACATTCTTCCAGACCCAGACGTATTTGCATTTGATAATCGACGGTGCGGTTTAGCTCCATGAAGCTCGCGGTGATCTCGCTCGCATTGGACAGCGTCGAAAAATCCTTGACGCGAGCGTCCATGGTGCCGAGCTTGGCGGCATGGATTGCAAAACTGTCTGCGTCTGTAAGATTCTAAACTTGTAATGCTGCCTCTGGATTCTCAAAAAATTTGTGTTGCATGACCAGCAAGAGGACTCCAGTTTGTGCTAGGCGGAAAGGGTATTTCTCATGCGGTAGAGACATGATCGAAAAGCTCTCTAAAAATCTGTGACGCTAGGGCATGCATCACAGACATCGTGGATCATTCAAAATATGCATGACAAACCTGGCAATCTTCCAGACCCAGACATTTCTGCAGTTGATAGGCGGCGAAATCGGCTTGATCTTCGCCAATAAGCGGGGACATCTTGCTTTTATTTTGCTTTTGCTGCAGCGAGAACCTTCAGGAGGAGCTTGGCAAATCAGAACGAGAATGTTAGGATTTTATTCAAGATACTCTTCTATGATAAAAGTTTGACGTCGACATATACGGTCTAGTAGCTTTAGTTTTTATCATTCGTCGCTGGTTTGAAGAAGGAAAAGCATGCTAATGTTCTGTCTTCACATTTCTACTGGCCGCTCGCTGCAAAATATCCTTCAAAAACATTTCTCTCCCTTTTTCGTCAATAAATATGAATATAAGAAGTCTGTCTTCTTGTCGTAAACGGCAGCCGGCATAAAACACGCCTCGTTTTTCGTCTTGATCGCTGCACGACATCCAACGGGCATTGCAGCATCTGCTCAGCACGACACCCGCCCAGCACGAGGATGTTGGTAATAAACAGAATTTGTGCTGCTCTGGTTCTTTTTTGCGGCCGATCACACTGTGAACGCCGAGGGGGCTCATTGCTCGTCAATTCTTTGCTTTCACTTTCTCATCACTAGGTGTGGGTAACTAAGAACTCAGATCGTCCAAGCTCAGGGTAAGAACTCGTCACTAGATGTGGGAGGTAAGAACCCAGTTTCAGATGCCGCTGACTGCGCATTCCTTTCATCTTCACACAGCCGCGGTGTTCATGTGCTTCTTCTTGCATCAACGTCGTCGGAACATACTTCCAGAGCAGGTTCAAACTGGCCCGGAGCTGCGTGTATCCTGTCCAACTCCGCGTTGGAGGGCCATATGCATTGCAAAAGTATCGATCGCATTCGCACTCGTGCTCGTCGTATAAATGCATTACAAATTTTCTCAGCACGAGAAAGAAAATTTGTAATGCTGATTTACGTATAAGAAAAGAATTTCTAATGCATGATTGCGATACGAGTACGATACTTTTGCACAGGATAGGCCAAAAGCAAACTTGAATCCGGTTCTTTATCAGCACCTTAACGAACACCTCGAAATTGGTCAGCGGCGTTTTCGTGGCCTCCTCCTGCGAACCAGTGTTACTCTCCGGCACCGGCTCCTCCTCTCCGGCACCCGCAAAATCATCGTCCACGTTGTGGTGCTGTGTGTCGCATGTTGAGTCTTGCTCCACCTCCGGGGTACTGCAACTAGTTGTCCTCTCGTCAATTGATGTACTAGTGCCAGCATCCTCGTCCTCCTCGTTGACGAAGACGTCATGATTATTAGTAGCAGCTGCAAAGCCAGCCCGTTCAAGAAAATCATTTTCTTTTTCACGCAGCTGCTCCTCGTCCTCCACATCTTCACAGGTGCTGGCACTACAACTTCTTCCCCGGCTAGCCGCACCCTCACCTCCTGCTCCTGCGCGAAAGCTAGTGCTGCACTTATCCCGCTTCATCTTCACACTGATCAAAACGTGGAACAGATGCAGGCTCCCCTTCTCGCAGTTCTCCCTCATCACCGTCACAAGCTCCTCCGCATGCGCTCTCGAGTCATTCCGGTTTTCGAGCAACTCGTAGTGCAACAAAACCCGCCTCCCAGTCTGTTCGACGAAGTAGTTATGAATTGCAAAAGTGTATTGTCTCGTGGTCCTAGCAGAAATTGGAATTGCACTAGCGGTACACATTTTTTCAAAAACAAAAATGGTGGACTTTGTCATGCTATATAAGCACCAGGCAAGAAGTCTGTCTTGGACTCGTTTATGCAATCATATGACTGCAACGTGACTACGAGCACGATACAAAAACTTTTGCAATTCATAGTAGTTGAGTTCTTGCAAAACTTCCTCCAGCCGGTAAATTCGGTTCAGCGGGACGAGGGAATCCCTCTCTTCGGGGAAAGCCGAGCCGACGGTGAGAACCAAGTTGATTTGCCGCCCATAATTCCTCATAGTTTCCGGTGCTGCTCGCCCTCGAGATGGATGTCGAACACCAGTCGTGTCTGTTGTTTGATGCCCGTTATCATTCTCAAAATGTTGCTGGTGTTGATGTAATTGTACTTCTAGTTCTCCTTCGTCCTCTCCAACCGTCGCACGAGATGAACCATCTTCCGTTTCATCTCCTGTATGAACTGCAAAAGTATCGTATAAATGCATTACAAATTTGACTTTCCTCAGCATGAGAAATAAAATTTGCAATGCTAATGCATGATTGCAATACAACGAGTACGATACGTTTGTAATGCGTATCCTTCACAACTGAGCAATTTCCGGATCCCGGGAATCACGCCCGCCGTGTGCAGGAAAATCCGGCGCGGCTGTCCTGTGCAAAACTATCGCACTCGTTTCGTAGTAATTGCAGTCATACATTACAAATCTTTTTCTTAAGCTAAATCAGCATCACAAATTTTATTTCTCATGCTGAGAAATTTGTAATGCATTTATACGAGTACGATACTTTTGCACTTCATAGCGGCGAAATGCCGACCAGTAGCGGGTGCGTTAAGAGTTCCAAAGCTTCGAACGTACTCGGATTGGCAAGAGGCTCACCGACACCATTGAAATGGAGGAAAGAGAACGAGAAGGAGGCAGCTGCTGCACCAGCTCTTGGCTTGTTCTTGTTGCCAGACCTGCTGTGTACAACTTCGCCGCGGGTCGTGGAACAAGTGGAAATGTGCTGCGCCTGCGGTCCTAGTTGCTGCTCCTGTTGCATTATCAAATGTAAAAATGTCTGGGTCTGGAAAGTTGTGATGCAGGCCACTGAATAAGAAGGACACTGTAATGCGCCGCCAAGCATGACAAGTTTTTTCATGCTTCTGCGTTGCGTATTCCGCATGAGAAACTGCGTGTTTGCATGACAGGCTAGGGAAGCTCTTGGTTGCCACGCAATACAGATCCCAGAGTCATGCCAGACTAGCATGACAAGTCTCGCAATCTCCCAGACCCAGACATTTTTACAATCCATATGCATATTATTCATTCCCACGAAGTACAGCACTTGGTCCACGATTTCGTCACAAGTCAGCTGTCGCAGGAATTTCGGAGCCGTAAAGCCTACGGAATCCGGATCGTCTGGATTCGCAAACGCATACCCCTGCTGGGAGGAAATGGACAGATAGGATTTAGTGCCGAACCAGGTCGACGTAGTGAGGATTTGCAGGGCGGGACTGGAAGTAGAGGAGGAAAGGAGGTGCGCGATGGATGAAAGCGACGAATTTTTACTGCCGCCGGTGGACGATGTTGCTGTTGACCACGAAGATGAGTTCTTATTTTTCCCAGATGGATTGAAAAGCACCGCTTCGATGAGCGGTTGCAGCTTCGAAACAGAGGTAGAAGAACTTGGTGGTCTCCTGTAGACCACGGGAGTTGATGTACCAAGCACAGCTTCTGGTTCATCTGCTGCCTGCTGAGATCCATTTTCGGTGGAAGACACTCCTCCGGTAGAGGTAGTGCCTGACATGATGAACACGCGGCCCCCGCCAGCGTCCTCTCTACAACTACCAACGCGAACGCGCTCGTCTCCACTAGTAGTTTCCACAGGAGCCACCTCGAGGTTTGTTGCTGACAACTCAACATCAGGAAAATGACCCGTCTGCAGATACCGTGCTTTCTCGCACGCTTCCCGGCTTTTCCTCCTTCTTTCCTTCCACTCCGCTTTGATTTTCAGCAGTTGGTTCCGGCTCGCGAGAAATTCCTCCCGAGGGAGGAAGAACTGCTTTTGACACGTGGAAAAGCAAGAACCGCCCATTGCAACATTCATTTCTGATGCACAACTACTTCCTTGCTGTTGGTGACGAGAGCTGCTGCGGGGGCCATCGTCCCGACCATTTCTTGATTTTGAATTGCTACAGGCACTGTCGCCTCGCTCCTCAAACCCGACGTCCCGGTTCCAGAACGGGACCAAGGAGCTCACATTCCGCCCGAACTCGTTTCTCAACTCGTACAGTAGTGGTTTCGGCACGTGCGTCATGTCGCACCACTGCTGCGTATGAGAGTGCACAAGTACTCCCCCTCTCGTCCCTCATTTGTCATGCAAAACCCCATACCCAAGTGCGTCCCCGTGGCACCGTTTGCGTGACAGATTCCGGAACAAGAAGCCCAAACAGTACTACAAACACTAGGCGCATAAATTTGCCATGCACAACCTGTCAGGTTCCACGTGTGCTGGTGTTTGCATTTTTGCTGTTCATGCAATACAAATGACGACGCGGGGGAGTTGTGCACCACTGTCATACTGCACCCCGTGCTTGTAAACTTCCGTGATGACCTGCTGGAGTCGGTAGTTCTTCTGTTTGTGATGTTCTTTGTCCTGCGGTTTCGAAGTGGAAGTTGTTCTGTGCTTGTTGTTTTCTGGCACAGTGGCTTCTCGTGACGAAATAAATGCCGTTCGCGATTTCGTTTGTCTCGTCTTCGTCATTGCCGCCTTTGTGTTCTTGCCGTTGAAAAACTGCACCAGTCGCTTCAGCAGAGGCCCACCTGCAACGGAACAAATTCTACCTGGTCCAGCAGTAGCAGCTCGCGAGGAAGACGTGGCGGTCCCTGTGGCCTGCCGGACGAGAGGACCACCCATGTTGGCCGAGGCGGACATTTCTTTGGGTTACAACCGTGCGGCTTCCCTCACTGATCATTTCAGAAACCAAACTGCATCCAGAAATATCTTCAAATACGAAAAGCAAAAGGATCACTTCTTTCATCCTGCAAGACGGCAGCGGAAGTAGACATCAGCCCTTTCCGATGTTGATCACGTATGATCATTTCTGCAGCTTGTTGCAGTGGCGGTGTTGAACACTTGAAGTGACTAAGTCGCAGCTCTCCCTTGTGTCAAAGATCGAAATCCAAGACGAAACTGTTCATCTGTTCCTCCTGATAGTACATGTTGATGTTTATAGGTTTTCCGGAATTTGTCGCAAAGGAATCAGGTAAGACAGTAGCAAGGTTCTTCTTTCTGGCCGCGTTCTACTTGGCCGCTAGAGAAGTAGCCAACGATGAACGCCCGTCTTGCAGCTCTTCAGTCTTTGTACTACGGTGGATTTTCAGTCTTTGTACTCATGGTGGATTTTCAGTCTTTGTACTACCGATCTGCGTTTTCAATGCACTACCGGGATAATAATTCCCATACTAAATCGGTAGTGGCTGCGTTTCCTTCATTATTTTCGTACGGTAGTGCAAACCCGAACACCCCTGCTACGGCGGATTTCAGGTCTTTGCGCTACCGGGATAGCAAAAGGATTCGCAACGAAAAAACAAAAAAAAACTGCTCCCAAGGTCGCGAAATTTATCGCGATCGGAGTGGGATTCGTGATTGTTATCCCGGTAGTGCAGCAAAAATGTGAGCCAAAGATGTGAGCTCAGCTCTTGGGGCGCCTGGCCTCTGCTCTCCTCAGTCTCTTGAGGCGAGCGCCGAGGCGCCCGCCGGGAAGCCACCGGCTCGTCTTCAGGCAAGGCGAAGCGCTCGACTTTCTCCGGTTGGGCATCAGCTCTTGGGGCTGGCTCAACTCTTGATGATGCGATGGGGCCAGGCGCGTAGCCCCCCGCGGATTAGGGTCCGGCGCCAAGGTGTTTTTCCGGATGAAAGGGAAGCTTTTTTCCCTTGTTTTTGAAGATGGGTGCTACGGATGAACTTCCCGACTTACGCATGACAAGCGTGACGGAAGGTCTCCGCAAACGCGGCACTTTACGGTCTGAGTCCTTCGATTTCATAGAAAAAACAGGACGCAGATGCATGCAGCCTATGCATGACAAACCTGACGGAAGCTCTCTGCAGACGATGCATTTTACGGGCTGAGTCCATCGGTTTTCCACCAAAAACAGGGCAGACGAATGCGAACTTATGCGCGACGAGCTTGACCTAAATACACAAAAGTAAGGCACTCGCAAGCGATGCATTTTACGGGCGGAATCCATCGACTTCCTATAAGAAACAAGACAGAGACTGCTGCACTAGCTAGGTAGAACGACGAGGATTGCAATAGTGTGAAGCTTTGCAATGGTGTGACTCTGCTAGCTAATGATGGCTCATGATGACGGTGAAGCTTGCTAGATTTCGGATTTCGGCTAAGTAGCTACGTAACTAGCGTGCCCAATGTCGGCCCGTTCCTTGGCTTTGCCGACCTTGCCTGTTTTTTTGCCATGACCTTGACTAACAAAATTTGGGGCACCTTGACTAACCCGGTAGTACATCGAGTAACCCGGTATCGGTAGTACAGCTACGTTCCATATTCTTCTTTCTGGCCGCGTTCTACTTGGCCGCTAGAGAAGTAGCCAACGATGAACGAACGTCTTGCAGCTCTTCGCCAAATCATGTGTCTCTTTTTCGTTGCGTTCCTTCCGAGTGTTATCCAGAGCACACACCCAAGCGGCCCGTTGGGCCGCGCCTATTGGGGCTGGGACTGGGTCAAGCAGGCCGTGCCTAGCTTCCGTAGCGGGGAACGGCCCACTCCACCACAAACACGTCTGTCCGGACGAACCGGCACGACGTGAGCGGCCAGACTCAGGCGATATGTGGTCAGCTGCACAGGGCGGATCACATCAGAACAGGAGCAGCATTTCCCCAGAGGAGTAACAAACCACTGCGCTAGCGCAGCTAGAGCAGCAAAGCACCGAGCTAGCTTCCCACTGTGGCACCCAGGTCTCTGCGATCCGAGAGTGGCAAAGCAAACAAACTAACGGGAGGAAAACAGCCATCTCGTCCGCTGCCGCTAGCTATCCTAGCCTAGACGCCCTCCTCGGGACAAGCGGACCGCCCGAAACTTCCAAAAAGCAGCTCCCCTGTGGCACGCAGACAGCCAAACTCCTTGCGCTGCCCGGTTAACCAAACCGAATAGACGCGCACCTCCAGTGTGCCCCCAGCCTCTGGCTCGCTGGGCAAATAGCAAGCGGCCCGAAAAAACAAACCCAGCCACTGCAGGCCCGGCAAACTCCCATCGAACCCCAACGAGCAGACCGCCGCTGCTGGAAGACTCACCCACGCTGACCACGGACGTTTGCGCCATTCCCCGAAATTACGGCCAAGGCCCGTCTAATCGCTAGGGAGGAAAAATTCCTTTCGGAAGGCGAGGAAGGATGTCTTATCGTCTGAAAATACTGCTGTCGACCCAAAGCGAACCAGGCTACCCTTGCTAGAAAGCCGCCCCCCCAAGGGAAATCCAAAACTCAAACTGAGCAACCACCATGCCAAACGACCCCTGTTCCCAAAGCCAGGCTAGAGAAGTAGCCAACGATGAACGCCCGTCTTGCAGCTCTTCGCCAAATCATGTGTCTCTTTTTCGTTGCGTTCCTTCCGAGTGTTATCCAGAGCACACACCCAAGCGGCCCGTTGGGCCGCGCCTATTGGGGCTGGGACTGGGTCAAGCAGGCCGTGCCTAGCTTCCGTAGCGGGGAACGGCCCACTCCACCACAAACACGTCTGTCCGGACGAACCGGCACGACGTGAGCGGCCAGACTCAGGCGATATGTGGTCAGCTGCACAGGGCGGATCACATCAGAACAGGAGCAGCATTTCCCCAGAGGAGTAACAAACCACTGCGCTAGCGCAGCTAGAGCAGCAAAGCACCGAGCTAGCTTCCCACTGTGGCACCCAGGTCTCTGCGATCCGAGAGTGGCAAAGCAAACAAACTAACGGGAGGAAAACAGCCATCTCGTCCGCTGCCGCTAGCTATCCTAGCCTAGACGCCCTCCTCGGGACAAGCGGACCGCCCGAAACTTCCAAAAAGCAGCTCCCCTGTGGCACGCAGACAGCCAAACTCCTTGCGCTGCCCGGTTAACCAAACCGAATAGACGCGCACCTCCAGTGTGCCCCCAGCCTCTGGCTCGCTGGGCAAATAGCAAGCGGCCCGAAAAAACAAACCCAGCCACTGCAGGCCCGGCAAACTCCCATCGAACCCCAACGAGCAGACCGCCGCTGCTGGAAGACTCACCCACGCTGACCACGGACGTTTGCGCCATTCCCCGAAATTACGGCCAAGGCCCGTCTAATCGCTAGGGAGGAAAAATTCCTTTCGGAAGGCGAGGAAGGATGTCTTATCGTCTGAAAATACTGCTGTCGACCCAAAGCGAACCAGGCTACCCTTGCTAGAAAGCCGCCCCCCCAAGGGAAATCCAAAACTCAAACTGAGCAACCACCATGCCAAACGACCCCTGTTCCCAAAGCCAGGCTAGAGAAGTAGCCAACGATGAACGCCCGTCTTGCAGCTCTTCGCCAAATCATTATGCAAGAAAAAAACTGTGTAAGTGTAAGCCTGTGATGCAGAAAATGCAAAACAGTTACACTTGTCATGCTGGACATGCGTCAGAGGCTCTTTCCGTACGTGTTTTCACGTAATAGCCGCACATGACAGGCTCTCTCTGTCATGCAGAGCAAACTTGTGATGCTATTCCTCCAAGAAAGTTACACTAACACAGTTTTTTCCTTGGATAATCATGTGTCTCTTTTTACTCTTTGTTTTTCCGTAAACGTTACCGTATCACGCGCAGTACTAATGTGTACAGAGGCTGGTCTGGTGCAGCTTTTAAGATTAAATTTGCTTCTTCAAACCGGTCATCTACTTGAAAGATTGATACCAAGGGTGAATTGAATAAAACGCCAATATCTTTAATCCGCGTTTTTCAGTTTGCCTTTGATATACCAAATGCTCTGCAAGCGCAGGTGCTCGAAGAGAAAGACCGCTCTACTTCCACTACGCCAGCACCGAGCGCGTAGCAGCTGCGCGTGTAGTTGGTGGCAGATTTCTTCCCCTCTTCCCCACATACCGAATCATCCGCGACGCTATTTCCCTTCGTGGTCCTGTTGCGCAGAAAACAGCACCTCCCACCATCAGTAGAGCCGTGCACAATGCTCGTCGTGTTCTTTCGTGCAACAGCAGCACCTCACTCCACTGATTGGAAGTCTACTGTATTTATTCCACTTGGATTTGCATTCGCCCCTGCAGCAGCACTTGCTGTTCCGCCTGCTGTCGTGGAACCGCCACTAGATCCTGCCCCACCAGACGGCGACACCAGGGGCCTTGGGGGCGGCAGAGCCGGTGCGGCCACTGGTGCGGAGGACGTGCTGTCTTGCTCGCTAGTGGTCTCTATTGTGTCTAGTGCCGCAGTCCTAGTGGTTCCGCCGTTAATAGCAAAATCCTCCTGTGGTTGCACAGGCACTTGTTCTATCGCGGTAGAAGTCGAAGATGAAGCGGCTGCTTGTGCGTTCAGCATGTCAAAATTCGCTTCGAAGTCGCTCATTTCCCCGCCGGAAGTCGTGGTCGCACCACCTCCTGCCGGTCCACCAGCAGTTCCGCCGAAATTACTTACAGAACCGTAGTCCGGCGTACCGAATGTGTTCGGGTCTAAACTCGCATCTCGTACGGTTTCCAGGCCGAGCTTTTTGAACAGTACCTGCATCTTCCGACTGTTCAGATCTTCATCCAGGACTCCAGACAGGGTTAACCGCAAATTCGCTAAATCAGTGACGCAGTTCTTGACCCCGGCGGTCAACACGAACTCCTCGCGCTGGTAGAAATCGATCTTCTGGTATGCATGGCAAATATGTCTGGGCGTTCTGGAACATGACAACTTGTCATGATGCCAAATCTGAATCATGCAAAAATCTGCGTTGCATGATTACCAAAAGCTGCCCGGTTTTAGTGCCCAAGTCAGGAGGGGGATTCTCATGCGGCGGGAAAAGCATGACAGAGATCTCACAAAATCTGTCACGCTAGGTCCTGCATTCTAGACCTCATGGGTCATCATGTAAAACCTGCATGACAAGTGTGCATATTTATGTCAGACCCAGACATGTTTGCATTTGATATCTGAGCGATTTCCGCGAATTCCTGGCATGTGACGGTATTCGAAGACAGGAACTGGATGCCACCTGAGGTGGTTTCGCTTTCGCTTTCATATTTCGTTGGATCGATAAGTACAAACGAAAGCAAACACGCTCCTTGCATTCTTCTCAGCCAACATGCGCAGCAGGCCACCATGAAGAGGAAAGAACTACCGATCTGTCATTCAGAATCAGATCAATGCAAACGACCGTCGCATATTAGCGCTACTTGGTGAGAAAAATCACATTTCAGATAACTATGTAAGTACGTGCTCGTCTCAAGTTCCCATCCGGCTGTCCTATCAAATGCAAAAATGTCTGGGTCTGGAAAATTCCGAGATTTGTCATGCAGTTTTTCAAGCTCCGCCAGGTCTGGAATGCAGGGCCTAGCATCACAGGTTCTGCAGCCCCTGGGTGATGCCTATTCTGCATGAGAAATGCCCTCGCAACATGGCCAGAAGTGGGGACCTTTTGCAAGTCATGCAACACAGATTTTTGTATGATCCGCTACACGCATCACAAGTTCGGATTCTTCCAGACCCAGACATTTTTACATTTGATATGTCCGTCCAGGGCGCGGAGCAGGGACTATCAACTGCAAATATGTCTGGGTCTGGAAACTTGTAATGCTGGGTTGGGAATAGTGAATGCTCTACTGTAATGCACAGCCAAGCAAGAGAAATAAGATCGCTGCTTAGTGTTGCATTTTCCGCATGACAAACTGCATTTTTGCATGACCCGTAAAAGGGTCTCTTCGTGGACACGCATCACAAACTCTTCATCAGGTTCAGCCATGCCAGACAAGCATGACAAACCTTGCATCCTTCTAGACGTCCAGGGATATTTGAATTTGATAGCGACTCCAAGGTTTCCATTTCTCGCATCTCGACCGTTTTCACGTTCGCGGCTGCACCGGCTCGCAAAGTTGACCTCGAACCGGTGCTCGTGCTTGCCGTCGAGGCTGCCACTGGTATCCCGGTTGCCACGCCACTCTGGCCTTCCAGGCCACCTGAGAACATTTGTATGAGGAGTTTCTGATTCTGTTTGTCATGCCCATCATATTCTTATGCGCAAAAAACGAAGGAAAGTACGCCAAGTGCAGCTGTGTAGAAGCAAGTAAGTACTACAATACCTCCGCCTGTAAACCCTGTTCCCCCGACCACGCTGCCTGCTTGGTAAACCGTCCCCATTGAAGAATCCGCTGGCATTCCGATGACCGGAACCCCCAGCGTGTTCGGCGTGCCGCCACTTCGGAAATTGTAGGGCGTTATGCCGCTTGCACCACCAGCGGAGTTCTTTATCAGCGGCCACGTGTTTTCCATTTGTTTCATGGTGGAGCGCGTATCGAGTTGGACGGCGCAGAGAAAGATCATGGATAAGGTGCTATCAAGTCCAAATACCTCTGGGTATGGAAACTTGGAACTTGTAGTGCCACCTTTACATTCCTGGAAATAAATCTGTATTGCAGAACCAACAAAAGTCGCAGCCACTTTGTCATGCAAAAAAGCAGACTCTCATGCGGATTGCGTATGAGAATAAAGCGATCGGGAAAGTTGTCATGCTGGGCTGCATTCGGAAGTAGTTCCGTCATCCACATTTTAGCATCACAGGTTTCCAGACCGAGACATATTTGCATTTGATAGGTACTGATGATGGACAAAACTATCGCGAACATGGCGTAAGACTCGCTCGACCTTGACTGCTATCCTGTGCATAAGTATCGTACTCGTAGTAAAACTCGCAATTATGCACTACAAATGTTTTTCTGAAGGTAAATCCGCATTACAAATTTTCTTTCTCATGCTGAGCATCAAATTTGTCATGCAATAAATTATACTAGTACGATACTTGTGGAGTTCATAACTGCTCTGTTTGCTCCGTGTGACCGCCGAGGCAGGCTATGGGATTCTCAAACGTGACATTCTCAACCGTTACATGATTTGTCATGCAAAACTACCATGAACCACCAGAAAATCAAGCCACCTCGCATGACAAATCCCCGAAGGGCTAAACAGCGCCCTAAATCTGTGCCGGATTTGTGACGCGAGAGTTGCAAGCTTGCCCCTTTCACTGTTGCGGTTCTTGCATCACAAATTCATGCAACAGTTCAGAATGTAACGCTTGAGAACGCCATACAGGCGCAGAGCTCCGTGCAGAGCGGGTAGGACGGGTTGTTCAGAGAATTTTCGTACCTGATATCGCAAGAAAAAACTGTTTCACTGTATTAAACTTGTAATGCAGAGAATATATCTGGGAAGTGTTTGTCTTGCTACACATGCAAGACAATGGATGTTTAGCTGTGTTTCCCCTTAGGGAGCACACATGGCAAATTCTCTCTGTGACGAAGAGCAAACTTGTGATGCAGAACTTGCAAAATCCTTACAGTGAAACACTTTTTTCGTACGATACCTGATAATCTTATGTTAATACGGTTGTTTTCTTATGCTTTCAAAAGACTTAGACTCTTAGAAAAAGCGTGCCGCTATGAGCGCGGCACCCCCCATTTCATGCGAAAAAATACTCAAAAATAAATTTTAGCAGCCAAACGAAATAATAAGTGTTTTAATCACGAACCATCAAGTGTTGCAACAGCAGCAACGTTCTTGTCACAAATGATACCCGTGACATGTGAACCCGAATACGAGCTGCTGAATCCAGTTGTCCGTCCTGACATCGTACCAAAGCGAATTCCTCTTACTTGAATCCACCAAATCGATTGTGCCGCTGTTTTCCGGGTAGTAGGGACACTTGTAGCTGTAACTGGACTCCGTCGGGCCCCCTTGTATCCACCCCACTGTCTCTACCAAATGTAAAAATGTCTGGGTCTGGAAACTTGTGATGCTGGGTGGCGTCTCATGATGAGGCTACAGATGCTGGCTCAGCATGACAAGTTTCTGAGCTCCTAGGTGTTGCCTCTTCTGCATGACAAACTGCGCTTCTGCATCACAGAAAAGCGGAGCTCTTGGGTAACGTGCATGACAGATTTAAGGGTCAGGCCAGACAAGCATGACAAACATGAATTCTTCCAGACCCAGACATTTTTACATTTGATAGTCTCTCTCAGAAGATTATTCCTATCATGGTAACACGGGTCCGCCAGCAGGTTTTGGCTCGGCGCCCCGTATGAAATGCAAAAGTATCGTACTCGTATAAATGCATTACAAATTTCCTCAGCATGAGAAAAATAAATTTGTAATGCGGGTCTGCCTTAAGAGCAAGATTTGTAATGCATGTTTGCGATTACTACGAGTACGATACTTTTGCACAGGATACCCCGCCCGGGCCGGCCATGCAGGTGTTCCAAGAGTCATCGTAGTACCGCCATCCCCCACCGGCGGCCGTTACCTAATAGTTTTTCTTTGACGGTTCGACTTTAGCTTTATGATTTAATATTTTGTTTGGGTAAAGGTGTAGACCAGGGCCCCCAGGACCAGGGCCCCCAGGACCAGGGCCCCCAGGACCCGGGCCCCTAGGACCAGGGCCCCTAGGACCAGGGCCCCTACGGACTGGGGCCCCAGTCGTGTCTCAGAATCTGGCGTCCCGGAATCTGGTGTGCCGGGGCCCATACGGACTGGGGCCCCAGTCGTGTCCCAGAATCTGGCGTCCCGGAATCTGGACTGTCATGGTGACAAGAATTTGAGATGTCTCTCGTTAGCACTTTGAGCTGCATCCCTGTCCACTCAAGCAGTGCTTTTGCTGGGAAATACAATACAAACGGCGCCCGTCGCATTGTAAATAGATCTGGGCCTGCACAACTAAGAACTTGTGACGCGTGTCGAGGAATATAGAAAGCGAAAGAGATGCTCTGGGTAGTCAGCAGACTGCGTCACATATTACGTGTGGCCTGCCTTCTTCCACCTCCTGGCCCGATGCTAGGACTTACATGACACGCATACTTGGTGGCCCAGATACGCTGGCGGCAGCTCCGGTTCCGGCCGCGCCTCGCCGTGTACCAGATTCCGGGACGCCGTTCAGTCCGTAGGGGCCCCAGTCCGTAGGGGCCCTGGTCCTCGGGGCCCTGGTCCTGGGGGCCCTGGTCCCAGGGGCCCTGGTCTGAGCAGGGGCCCTGGTCTACCCGGATACCTTTTGTTTGCCATGCTAAAAATAAATAAGGCACTGAATTTATTCCTCGACCATCCTGATTTATGTTGATGCCACTAAACCGTCGAAGGACCCCACGTGTCACAAGAATCCATGGTGATAAAAACTGCACTAAGACAGGCACTGAGCAGTTTCAAAAGTATAAGGTACCTGACTGGTGCTGTTGAACTGGAAACAGGTCGCGCACTTCGCTCGGGAGCTGTACGTGCAATGGTGATCTGGGTAGACGAGAATTCCTTGCGCGTAGTATCGAAGAAAAAAGTGGTAACGTTGAAACGGTTTTCATAGATTGCAAATATAAATGAGAAATTTCGCCTAGCATGCATGCTATGCTTGCCAAGTTTGGGCACGTTTTGTGCTGCACTACTGCATCACAAATTCCGTATAACGTTAACACTTTTTCCTGTGGCACGTAGGCGAAAGCGGCAATCAGGGAGATCGACCATCCAAAAATGCCGACGAAAGTCAACGTCGACCAAAGCTTCACATTGTCCGCTGGCTTGCCGTCTATGCAATACAAATTTCCCTTACATGTACAAGGTCAATCACAAATTTCACCAATTTAGAGTGTGACGCTTGTCATGCTAGTAAACTAGGATCGGAGCCAATGTTTTTCATGCAGAGACCGCATTTGTAGTACGGGAAATTTACTGTGGATACCGTCCACGCAAATGCAACAACATTGCGGCTGATCCAGATCCTGTTTTTGGATGAAGAGGAGTTCCGAAGATACCCAACAGAGAGTGTTAGACCAAGAGCAACATGAGAAATCATAGATCACTTTTTACAGTTTTTTACTTGTACTTCTCCACGCATTCTAAGAACGACGGACCAAGGAAAATGGCCGCTGCTATCAAGGCTAGGCAAAGTTATGTATGAAGGGGAAGACAACAATCTTCAGCTACATCTCTTCATTTCTCTACTAGTAAGTACCCTCGGCACCGAGCTGGCTTTGTGTCCAAAAATCGCCAGCCAGGGGGCGACGCAACAGTTGGCGCATATCCTGTGCAAAAGTATCGCACTCGTACAAATGCGAGTCTTATCTTGTTTCCAAGGCAAATCCGCATTACAAATTCTATTCTATTTCTCATGCTAAGAAAATTTGTAATGCATTTATACGAGTACGATACTTTTGCAGTTCATAGCGCAGTAGTTGCAGCAACCGGTGAAAAAGCAGATGATTGCGCAGGCCACTGCGAGATTTCCGTTTCGCCTGACCCGGTCGATATCCTCGGCGTATTTGGATTCCATGGATTGTATGCATTTTCGCAAATTAAGATGTCACGTGTATCTGGAACTCAAACTCATTTTTGCAAGACTCGTAAGAGCGTCAGGCTGGAAAGAGGACGCCGGAACAAGATGAAGCAGTGACGCACCGTGCGCAACAGCACAAGTGCTCGTTGGTGATATGCAGAAACGCGATTTCATTTTACGCGGAGTAGGCAACTAAGTAACAGATAGCCGCTCGGAAACTTGTCGTGCGCACTAGCTCCGTATCTATTCACGTGTGTTAGCGCAATAGAACTTTCCAGACCAAAACGTACTACATACTTGCATGTGATAGATTGGTGCGAAGAATTCGGATTTACCGGGTTCGCCGGGTTGTCGTTGGACAGAGGCTATGCATTGCAAAAATTATCGTACTCGTATAAAAATAAATGCATTACAAATTTCCACAGCATCAGAAATAAAATTTGTAATGCAGATTTGCCTTGGACTGCAAAATTTGTAATGCAAGACTTGCATTTGTACGAGTACGATACTTTTGCACAGGATAGAGGCGTCATGATCACGTTGGGATTCGTGGACATGTTCATCTGGTCGTTTTGCCGGTTATTGCTCCTGTAGGACTGATATCAAATGTAAAAGTCCCTGGACGTCTGGAAGAATGCAACTTGTCATGCTGTCTTTGGATTCCAAAAAAATCGGTATTGCGTGACCAGCAACAGGAGTCCAGTTTGTGTTACGCGGAGAGGGAATTTCTCATGCGGAATAGGCTTCACTAGGGAGCCCTCTAAAAACCTGTGATGCTAGATCATGCATTACATGCATCATGGATCATACAAAATACGCATCACAAATCCCGAAATCTTGCAGACCCAGACATTTTTGCATTTGATAACTGATTCGCGGTCGCTGCGCTGGGAACGCCGACCAGGACGCGGTGCGAGGTGGAGGAGGCTGCGGCGGTTTGGCCTGTAGCTGGAACCTATCAACTGCAAATATGTCTGGGTCTACTGGAAACTTGTAATGCTAAAAGTGGATGATAGCCGGACTGCAATACGCTGCCAAGCATGACAAATTTTTGAGCTGCTGTGTGTTGCGTATTCCGCAATCGTTTTTACAGGACAGGTACGAGAGCCTTTTCGTGCCCATGCATCACAGATTATCGACTCATGGCATGCCAGACATGCATGACAAATGTAAGAATCTTCCAGACCCAGACATATTTGCAATGCATAGAACCTGGTAAACCAGCGTCTGACTGGACATCATTCCGACGGGGGGTGCAGGTGCACCTCCCCCTATGCAGGAAAAAAACTGTGTAAGTGTAACTTTCTTGGTGGAACAGCATCACAAGTTTGCTCTGCATGACAGAGAAAACCTGTCATGCGTAGCTAGTATCAGTGAAAACACGTAAGAAAAGTGCCTCTGTTGCATGTCCAGCATGACAGTTATGACTGTCTTGCATCGTCTGGAACACAAAGTTACACTTACACAGATTTTTTCTTGGATACCCCCCCCCGCTGGTGCTGCACCGGACCGACCTTGCTGCTCAAGGGGTTGCATCCTCGTCTTTGGGGGCGTCGGCGTGTGTGGTCCAGTAGGTTCAGGCAGCGACGAAGCTGCGCGCAAGAGCAGGGAGTTGTAGAGCGTAGCACTTTTTAGACGCGCGAGTCTTCCATCTTCTTTTAATATCCGACAGTTGTATGGCTTTGAAAGGACACAACGATAAACAAAACTTCTTTAGCTTTGTTTACGTTTAAAAACCAGGCAGAGCAATACTTTACATCCGGTTTCTTTTTCAGAAACCTGTGCTCCAGAACAATATTTTTTTTCCGAAACAATCTTTGCTATAACGCACGACCACTCAATCGCTCTTGCTCGTCCTTGTCGTCGCACACTGTGCCACTGTGCCACAGGGGAGGGGTGGTGGGAATAAAGAGTTGTAGAACTGCAGTAAAAATATTGTTGATGCAATAGCACATTGAGACTTTCTCCGTGCCGCGGCGGCTCCCTCAAATGATACAACCTAGAGAGCAGAGGCTTCATCGTTTCTCTCTGTTACTTTTCGCGCTCCTGAAGAGGGGCAGTGAATGATGCGTACTTATCACTCGTTTACGTATATGGAAGCGTCAGGTTTGAAATCGTCAAAGTTGAAATAATTTGTAATGCATAAAATGCATGACCCGAGGCACGTGTGTTGCAGAGCAGGCAAGTGAGGTCGATTGTAAGCCTGTTTCGGGTTACAGCTCGAGCTGCTAAAGTAGCACGAGAAAATCGCTCTTCTTTGCCTAAACAGCGTGACAAACTGGATTTAGGGACCACCGAAATTTGTCATGCGCCACTCGGAAACTGGGTTCCAACTGGCATCCATTTTATGCATGACAAACTATTTCAACTTTGACGATTTCAATCCTGACACTCCCATATCGTAGCTGGCACGAGTTCAATTTCCGAACACGGCACGACGAAAGGAAGCAGCCTTTTTCCAAGTAGAAGAACGGGTTGAAGAAGAACGGGGTGATTCGCAATTGAATGAGTTTGAGTCAAGGGGGGAACTATAGTTGTCAATGGGGCTGTTGATAACTGATGCTGATTCGTGCGGGGTTGGCTGGGGGTGAAGATTATACTGGTACTGTAAAAATATCACTCAAGTGAAAGCAATTGGCTTACCAGGGAAACGGCATCGCTGTGGTCGTGGTGTGGGTGGATCGGAATAAACTGCGATGCTAAAAAACGGGCAACTGCATATAAATATCATTTTTACAACTAGAGGCGAAATTCAAATTTCGAATGTCAAATGGATGGGCGAGAAGCTGAAAAACTGACTACTGATTGTTAGAAGAAAAAAACGAAGATTTTACCTAGATTCAAATATGGACCAGAAAATTAACGCCCAAGCATCGCGGTCGTCCGTGTTTGATTTGTAGTTTCTTGTACGACGCAGTCCGTGGGGAAATCCTTTGCGGTCCTCTTTTGGGATAGTAGATAGTAAAAAAGAAAAACTGCAGCATTATATATACTACAGCACGACTGTAGCAGAAACTTGCTGCGCAACTACTTTGTCAGCATGCTCGTGGGGCCCGCGCAATACCAATCCCTTTTACCATTACCCTCGTGGAATACGGGGGACGCTGGAACCCCATCAGCGTACTTGAATTTGCTGCAATATTTTGAAAATCGCGCTTGCCGCTCTTGCAGCTGTTTTGGTGTCAGCTCCGTCTTCGGATCCCGAAGCGACTCGGGGTCGCCGAACACCTTTCCCATATTAGACTGGATCTGTCCTGGGAGAGCTTGAATTCCTGAAGTGTTCAATTTGAGCAGCGACCTTCACATTTGTGTGCATTCCCGGCAGAAGACAGCTGGGCCTTCCATCATGGACATGAACATAAAGAAAGTAGAAAGAACCCAGAACGAGAGGCGGACAACCACGCCAGAAGCGACGAGCCATGGCCTTGTCCGCAAAAGAATGAATAGCGTAGGACCCATACTTCTGCCTTAATACTTCTATTTGATATTAGTGCCGTGGTAACTTTACTTACAACGAGCAGAGCCACGCTTGGTAGGTGTCTACTTGGAGGCTAACTACGGGGACAGCCGAAGCATTGCACCTAACTCATCTCAGCTTCCGACACGAACAAAACTCGTCATGCTTCCATCCAAATAACCAAAAAAGCTGGTAGTACCGATGAATTCTTCCTACGGCATAAATCGTGCGAGGAAAAGATGGACATACACAAAAGATTCAATTTATGTAGTACCACTCCACTTCTTCTTCGCCGCCATTTTCTTCCCCTTCCCACCCGCGCTCACCTTTTTCGTCCCAACGTCAACTTCCAAAAAGCTCCCCCCGTCCTCGCTCCCGACCCACTGATGAGTGGGGCGGGGGGGGGGGGGGGGGGGTGGATTGCCGTGGCGGACACAGCGGCGGACGCAAAGAGGACTTTCTTCATTTTTTGCGAAAGGGTGGCGAGAAAAATTTGAATGATCTTGTACTGAACCTGAAGTGCTGTTTTATTGCGCTCGTGCTAACGATATTTCCTGTGGTTCTGCTTTGTCCTTTTTAGTGTGCTGTCTGTGAGGGCTCGTCCTATGTACTTCTACTCTCGAACCGTGGTGATTGAGTTTCTCGAAGGAGAAAACTGCAAAATCTGTCCTGTGGATTTTTCGTGTGTGTCTGTAGAAGCCAATTGTAAAGCAAGAATGGATTCACAATTGATTTTTTGATTTTTTCTTGCAGCGCCTCACGTCCGCACCCTTTACTGGACGAGCATCCTCGGTAGGAATCAAAAAGAGTTTCTTTTACGAAGCTTTCTACGAAAGAACGACAATCACGCTACGCCTTGTTAAGTGGAAGCAGGACGAGGACGAAAAAGAACGATATTAGCAGGACCACGAGAACTAACATTGCACCAGACACCCACGAAGTGCATGGTGCCAAGGGGACAGGAGAAAACGAGAAGCATATCAAGCTACTAAAACTCGAATGTTGAACGGCACGGAGACGAACAGAGACAGAGGTAGCGTTAGCACGACAACCCAACGACTACAACGAGGACCTCATAAATTGCATAAATTTCAACGCGACATCAAAGGCGATGAAGTATCTTCATCTCGATAGGGTTACTTTGTGAGAACAGACTGCTTGTTGTTGTTCCAGCGCGGCGTTTTATATTTTCTTTCATTACGACTAGAACTCCATAGTCAATGTGGAAAAACTTCTCCTCATGTCGCTGTTAATGTTATGTTAGTTAGTCGCTGCAGAAACATCAAAAACGCGAAACCACTCACATGATTCACCTGCGTCTTTTCGCAGACGGTCGTGTAGATGAAGTCACAAATCTTTCCTTATAGCACTTACATCGCAAGAACTGGCGTCGTCAGAACACACCGAGGAGCTTCATTCCCCCCTCGCCGCGTCCGCTGACGCTGCTACAGCTGCACTACCTGCTGAAACCCCAGACGACGCTCCTGCTCCAACTGCATCCAGCCCAACAGTCATGTGGTCCGCACCAGCACTTGTTTGTTCTGTTTCACGTTCAATCACGTTCTCATGCACTTCCTTCTTCAAGACCGTCTCCTCCATGTCGCCGATAATGTCCTTGTACTGCGCTTCTGACTCTTTCATCATTTCCTCTTCCCGTTCCTGTACATACTTCGGTTTCTCCAAAAACTCGCACGCTTTTTTCGAGACGATTTTCCGGAACAGCTTCTCTGCGGTGAAAGCTTCGTCTTCGAGTATGCATTGCAAAAGTATCGTACTCGTATAAATGCATTACAAATTTCCTCAGCATTAGAAATAAAATTGGTAATGCTGATTTACCTTAACAAAAGGATTTGTAATGCATGATTGCAATACGAGTGCGATACTTTTGCACAGGATATCGAGAAGGAAGAGTGAATTCGGAAGGAAATCGTCGGTGTGGAGGTTGGTATCAAAAGGAAAAATCCCCCCTCCCCAGATCAAAAACGAAATTTGTCATGCTGTCTTTGAGTACACAAATCGGCTTGTAATGCCAGAAAGCCAAGAGCCGCAGTTGTGGCCTCGTTTGTAGGCAATTTGTCATTCTGTTTCCCACTTCCAGTTGCTCTCCGTCATGCTGCAGGCGCAAGGCTTTCCCACGCCAGCCAGCACTACACTCCGCACGTCTTTCCTTCTAAGTAGCATCACAAAGCTGATTTGTGACCGAAAATCTGCATCACAGATTTACGTTTTGATATGGGGAGGGGGGATTTTTCTTCTTGATAGTTGGCGAAGGTGGTTCTCGGGGTAGCTTGCATTGCGCCTTGTGCTTGTTGTTCAACTTCAACAGGATCTGGATCTACAGACGGGCTATAATCTGTAGAAGTGGTGGATGACCTTGTAGTTTTCACCCGCTGTGCGTACGTGAGCTGCAAGAGAACTTTGGTTTTCGGCATCCCCGGCTTTTCTTCTCCATTTAGTTCAACTACATCTTCGTAGCTGTACTGCAGCAGTTTCCGTACTTCGCAACTCAAATTTTCCAGCGCCTCGGCTAAAAGCTTGCTCTCATGTTGGTCTTCGTTTATTTCCTGATGCACAACATCCTGCTCTGCTGTCGCCGTCGCGGCAGTTGTTCCAGTGGCGGTTCTTTTTACTATATCAAAGACCTGCGCCGCGTGCACCGCGTGATAGCCCTCCGGCACCGTTCCTGACCGGTGGTCGAGTTGCATGATTTGAATCGGATTTTTATTTCTGTTGCACGATTTGGATGGGATTTGTAATGCTTGCTGCGGAACCACACAGAACCCAAACCCGGGAATCTCCAACAACGGCGAACCCGTGGTGACCCACAACAATCGGAGGGTGTATTTGCTGCTGGAGCTGGCTGGGTGCAGCAACTTTTTACATTCGAGGTCCCTTGTTCCTGTCGTAGTTGGCGCAGTACTATTTTTCTGCTGGTGCATCGGGACCGAATATTCCGGCCCAAGGACAATCGCCTCTCTGCACCGCACGAAGTCCTTGTTTGAAGCCCGGATACCGCGGACGACTTGGCTATTGTTCTTCGTCCGCTGATTGTTTCTGATCGTCCCTCCAGCACCTCGACCGGCAAGAAGAACATCAGCATGAAGCTCGTCTTTATCATCATCACCTTCTTCACTCTGGTGCTCAACATCGAACAGAATCTCCTCGACCCCACACTCCAGCGCAAACACGACTTCGTGCAACGCGCCCATCCGAGTTTATCAAGTGTAAATATGTCTGGGTCTGGGAGATTGATGCTACATTTGTCATGCATGTCTGACATGACTCGTCGAGAATCTGTGATGCATCGGCACGAACGAGTCGTGTTACTTGTCATGCAAAGACGCAGCTTGCCATGCGGAGTACGCAACACCTAGGAGCCCAAAAATTTGTCATGCCTGGCACCATATTGCAGCGCGCCTCCCATTCACTTTTAGCATTACAGCTTTCATCCAGACTCAGATAAATTTGCACTGGATAGAGTCCAGGCCTGCCCCACGTCGCTCGTGCCGTACATGGGGTACAGAAACGGGTATCCTGTGCAAAAGTATCGTACTCGTAGTAATTGCATTTTATGCATATACAAATCTCTTTCTCAAGGCAAAGCAGCATTACAAATTTGATTTGTAATGCTGTGCTAATTTGTAATCCATTTATACGAGTGCGATACTTTTGCAATCCATAACGGGCTATCCGTCGCAAACCGGGTCATTGCGGACGCGAATTGCGTCATCTTCACCAAGCCCTCCTCCTTGGAAAGAAGGGACGCTGGCTTCGATTTTTCCTTTTCCTGCTCCATGCACACCACGTGCAACACGTAGTCCTGCAGCCTCTGGCTCAAGTTCGCTTCCTTCAGAAAATCCGCGAAGAGCACGGTTTCGCAGGATAGCAAATCAACATCTTGGTCAACAGCGCTAGAAGTAGTTGTACTTCGGTCCCCGCCGCGGCTGCTTGAGGGTCCACGTCCACCAGCAGGAGCAAGTGTATTGAATATTGAATTCTTCTCGTGCTTATCGTGCCCCAACTTCGCCTCAGAGTTCAGCGCTACCGCGGACGTTTGGTTTAGGAACTTCATCAGCTGGCGCTTCTCCGCAAGCGAGAGATTCTTGCTCTGAAAGATGCCGGATTTCGAGCACGGGACTTTGAGAAACTTGCTGGAAGAGGAGGAGGAGGCTGAGGAAATAGCTGTTGAGCTGCGGGTGGTTTTTGTTTTTCCTCCTGCACCTTTCGACGACGTTTCTCTTCCTGTATGAACTGCAAAAGCATCGCACTCGTATAAATGCATTACCAATAATAGCCGCCTCAGCGGGGGTAGTGAGGTCATGGCGGTTTTTTTGTCTTCACTTCAAAAAACGACGCGGCTTCCCTTCCCACCATGCCGCCGTGAGTAATGTTATGCACGACGGCACGGCAGTCCCTGAAAATCTCGATCCAGAGGCGGCCTCCATTTGGTTTTGTGGTTAATCCCGGACATAGGCAGGATCATCCCCCCAAGGATCACCCCCCTCAAGATGCAGGGGGGGTTAGGGGGGCCAGGGGGTGGGCCGGGGGCAGGAAGGTAGGGGGCAACGAGCGAGGCCGGGGGCAGGCAGCCAGGCTACGGGGGGGGACAAGGGCAGGCGGGCCGGCGGCAGGCAGACCGGGGGCAGGGCGGGGCGGCGTTGGTATTTGCTGGAAGGCCTTCCCAGAGGTTTCCTGGGCCAAGATGTGCTACAGGCGGGCAGCCACCCGAGGAAGCCCGGGAGCGCCTAGCGCCTCGCCCCCTGAGGCAACAAAGGCGGCACAGTGAGCGAGCCCCCCCGGGCGGGGTCACGGCAAACCAACGAAGGGGGAAAGGGGGGGCAAAGAACAGAGAGGGGCGCGAGGGCGGCAAGGCCGGCGGCGCGTGCCTCCGGCCCGGAACAGGAAGGGGCAAAGGGGAATCGTCTGGGCCAGCCGTCGCGACGGCGCCGTCGCGACGGCTGGCCCAGACGACACCGCCGAAACCCTAAACCCTAAACCCTAGCCCAAACCTAAACCCTATGCCCTTGAGGGGGGTGATCTTGGAAACTTGAGGGGGGTGATCTTGGAAACTTGAGGGGGGTGATCTTACCTTGAGGGGGATGATCCGGCCTACGTCCCGAATACTGAACACTATAAACCACCAGAATGCAACGCAAATGTAGCAGAGTACTTATGTTCTTATTACAATTGGAAACTACCAGCCTGGCATGCAAATTGTATGACTCAAGGCATGTGGAGTACATTGCGCCCATGGGAATTCCATTCGTCAACATCTTCATAGAATTTGTAATGCTGTTTACGATTTCATGATTGGACTTGTAATGCTATTTATCTCTTTGCGTTCTTGTTTTGTTGTTGCGCTGCGATCTTTATAACATTGAGACTTTATCACTCTGGGTCGAGTGTTGCGCATTTTATCGTTGGAGCGTGAGCATATGCTGACACCCCCCCTTGCTCGATACTCGACCAGTTTTGGAAACTACAGTAGAAGTAAAAATAGTATAGGTGTTGAAAATCCATGATGTTACTTTCTGAAAATCAGTGAAAAAGTTGCGCTCTGAATGCCATAAAAGTCTATACGTAGAATCTTGCTGCTATGCCGTTTATCCCCCCTACGTATAGACTTCTGGAATCTATATCGTAGGTGTAAATCGTACAAGTAGTTCTTGTCTTCGATAGAGTATTTTTGAGCTCTAGGCTTGGAAAGTAATGCTTTTATAAAAATACGTGGTGAGAAATTTTGTCTTTGTTCATCATACATTTTTCTTGTTCATCATACAATTAGCGTTCTCGGGGTAATACAACATCAATAATTTTTATTTTTTTTAAATCGAAATAAAATCCGAATCGAGATAAAAACAACAATCACACAACATCTCACATTCAAAGCTTCGAGAAAAATAGAAGAATTGCCTAGCGCGAAATAGTCATAATCTTGCGTGGTCTTTTTGTCATAAAAGTGCTCCTTTTTCATAAATTTTTGGTTGTGCAATTTTTCTTGAAAACCAATGCAGAGGCCCAGACAGATAGAAATCTTTTTTCTTTTATAATCCGTAGTAAAGTAGCGCGGTAGTAATTTACTTTCGACTTTTGTTTTCTCGAAGAGTTTGACTTTTAGTCTTCTCCTCCCAAATCTTCTTTCCTCCTCCTTCGAATCCACTTGAAATTTTTCGGATCGGTGTCAAAACCCATCGGAAATTCGAGTCGTCTTGTTTCGGCATCATTACTGCGCAGCATCAAGTTGTCGAGCGGAAATCGACCTACTACCGGTTGAGATCAGTCTGCCGGGCCCGGGCGAGGATTTTTGCTAATTGGCGCCTCAATTTTTGCTAAATTTTTTTTTTCGCCCCAGCCGAAAGACGACCCGGCCCAAGGCGCAAAAAAGTGGCGACGCGGGGATGCTACCGATCCGGGGGGCTGGGGTAGGAGGCCCATCGGGGCCGCCGAGCAATAACATGCAGGCGGGCCGATAGCGGAACGGGCCCCCATTTCCGGCAAACCGGAAACGCCCCGGCAAAGGGCCCGGCCCGGCCGGGCCGTCCGTCGGGGGGGTCCGCCGGAGTTTCAGGCGCCGCTATTTTTCGTCTTTCTGCTCTCCTTTCCAGGGGTCTAATTTTTGTCAAGCGTATGGGGAAGGAAATGCTATGGAAAAAGTTAGCCTGCTAGTTAGCGCCGATTTTATCAAAAATCTAGCCCCCCCCCAATCCTCGAACTTATCCGCCGCAACCTCCTTCCCGGAGGTGCCGCCGAGCCGCCGGCCCGGCAAAGAAATGGCGCCCGCCGCGCCCGGCGGGATGGCCCCGCCGGCGAAAGAACAGAAACGCGGCGGCGGCGGCGGCCGGGGGGAAAGGAAAAAAGAACAAGGGCGCCGCCCCCCGAGCGGCAGGGCCGCGGCGGAAACAATAGCAGCACGCGCGGCGCTTTTTCAAGATAGCAGCTCTTTAGGTGCTTGATAGCGCCTTTATTCGCCCGGGCCCGGCTGCCTGATTGAGAGGTGTGGAGAATAGGCTTCCCCGACCAACACGCATGCGAATAGTTTTCATCATTTCAAATCATACAAGTAGCCAAGAATTTGCTTGAAGCTTGTGCATATACTTTGCATCGTCAGAATCATCAGCAATTTGCTCACTTTTCTTCTTCTTTCAATTTCTTTCTTTCTCCTCTTTTTTCACTTTCTTTACTTTTCTTTTTCTTTCACTTTCTTCATTTTTCTTCCTCCATATTCAGAAACTCAAGAAATTTTCTGAATAGAATCGGAGACAAAATTTTAGTGAGTCCGTCTGCGCGTTGTTCCTCACTTTTTGCATATGATCCCTTGTGTGTGCCATTCTCGACGTTGAACCTTACGAAACAATGCCTAATGTCAATATGTTTGAGTCTGGAATTGGATTCCAGGGACGTGCTACATTTCAAGCATCCCATATTATCCAAATGCAATGGCATGGGTTGCACAATAGTCCAACCTTTCAACATACCAGATTCCATAACTTCTGCAAGGACATTCTTCAAGTACGTCGAGAGCTTGCACGTTTGCGAAGCTGCATATATTTCGGCTTCAGAAGTACTAGCCGCAGTCCCACTCTGGGTCTCTGCCTTGAAGGCAATTGCACAAGAATTCAGGTAAATAAGAATCCCAGACGTACAGAATCTGCCCTGTTCTGTTGCCCAATCAGAATCACTCCAACAGTCTAACACTAGCTGCTTGCTCTGTGTGAGCTTCTCGTCTTTGCGGTAAACTAGCCATCTACGCTTGCGCAAATAGCGAATAATACGCCTCAGACACTGGATAGAACTTTGAGTCGTTTTCGCTTTGCTAGCATATTTCAACGCTATCAAGATATCCGGCCTAATGCTGCACAAGTATTGCAGTGAGCCGCATTCATAGAGCCATCTTTGGACCGTAAAGAGTTTGATCAGGCTCTTCCAGTGGATCTGGAGCAGTTTGCACTGGCGTACTGTACTCCTTTCCATCTTCTCCTCCAAATTTTTCAAGCAATTTTGTAACATAGGCACCCCCAGACAAGGTAGCGGAGCCATCTACCTTGCTGCGAATGGCTGCAATGCCCAAAACGTCCCAAGTCTGGGCCAACTCATTTTCCTCTGGTGGTTCTTCAACCAGCTGCAGTTCTTCTTTCAATTCTAAGTATAGTTTTTGAATTGTTTCCGAATCACCCCAGAAAAAGAAGTTGTCGACAAAAACTGTCAGACAAGCGCCATCTTTGTGAAAAGCTGTTCGGTCGTTGTAGAACGGCTTCCAACCTTTTTCCAGCAAAATTCTATTCCGATGTAGTGCCCATCCTATACTGGAACGTCGCAACCCATTCATGCACTTTTGAATTTTACCCACTTGATACCCCAAAAGATTCGATAAGCGAGAATCCAATTGGATCAAAGGCATTTCGTCACCATCCAAAAGCGGATGGCCAGCTTGCAAAAATGCTGAAGTTGCATCTGCAGAAAATAACTCAACAGTTGGCACATTGGCAAGCAAAGCCAGAAACATCCTAATGATTTGCATATCGGTAACCCCCACATAGCGCGCGATCCCGTTGTCGGGTGCTAAAAACCCTAAGCAAACCAAACGCGCTTCAAACCTTCCGCATCTTTTCACGCTCAGAATCAATTTGCACGGGATAAGCTTCTTGTTGGCTTTCTGGTACTCAGAAATTTCTTGGTCCGTAGCCTGTACAAAAACTCCTTTGCGTGCTTTCAATTCTTTCGCGATAGCTTCCGCCATTTTTGGGTCTTTTTGCTGTTCGGGAGTAAGATTGAAACAAAAATCTTCACTCTCAGCGTCGTGCTCAAAAATCAAATTTGCCACAAATGCACAGAAGTCCACGATCTGAAACGATTTGTCGTCCTTGTATTGGTCGCGCAAAGCGCTTGCCACTTTTTCAATTTGCTGCTCTTCCAACGATCTCAACCGAGTACCCACTCTGTTGCCAGTGGTCCTCTGGTGTGCTTTGATTTGCTTTCTCAGAAGTGCCTGCGTAAGTTCCTTGATTGCTTCTTTTCGCTTCCCATATGGAATTTTTGTTCCCGGGGAGCCAGGCGATTGTGGCAAAATTTCTGGACAGTCTTCCTTCATTTCACGATAAAGCTCATTGGTGTAGTTTTTCGTGACTCTAAATCCTTTGTTGGAAATATTAGCACGCTCCATCTGATCCTCGAGGAGAGGAGTGATGGCGTCGCCAGCTGTTCGACTTTCTTCTACATCAACAGCGCGAGATGCAAACTCATCAAATTCTTTCACATCCGCGACAGTAGTAGCCTCGGCAACTAGCCTGCTGTCGTCTTTCTTCTTTTTCTGTTTCGCGTCCAGGGCTGCAGCCCCCGCGCGATTTTCTTTTTCCTTTTTGCTGTCCTTCTCATCCCCTACCTTGAGCGAATCCGATCTCGGTAGGCCAGAGGCCCCAAGGGTCGGTTTGGATGGGTGGTTGGCCAGCCTCTTTTTCTTTTTCATTTTCCTTATTTTTCTCATTTTCATTTTTCTCATTTTCCAAAAATTCAGCTTCGCAATTTTCTTTCTCTACCTGAGGTTTTTTCGGGGAGCTTCCCGATAAGTCAGGCTTTGGATTTTGTGGCATATTCAATCGCTGTCGGTGTCGTAGCAGTTCTTCTTTGGCTTCTGGCTTTTGCTGTTCAAATTTTTCAAGGCGATAGCGATCCGATAGCACCGCGCTAGGGTCGCTTTCATCTTGTTGGATTTTGTGCGTTCGCTTTGCAATGCGAAGAATACTAGGTGGAAAAGTCATCTGGTCAAGTGTAATACGCTGTCTGATATGTGCGGGATGGATTTTGGAATAGAAACCGTTCCTATCGACCACGTGCGTTTTGCTTGTCGCGTGGTGTTCGATGTAAATCACCTTCACAGGTCCTGCCCAACCTTTAGTGACATCACACCAAATTTCAGCAAAATCTCCAATCTTAACTGCTGCAGCTTCATGGAAAAATTTGCGCGAAGTCTCAGGAATTTTCTCAAGTTCCGCAACATGATTTTTCTCGCGCTGAAGTGTTTCATGCTGTGAACGGACTAGCATTCGAAATTTGTAAGCTTCTGATGCTGTCGAGCCATCTCTGTATCTCGGCAAAGCTGGACCCTCGCGGTCCTCCGGAGATTCGTACAGAGGCGGGCTTTTTGCGTACTGAAACTGGTAGGGAGACAATCCCACTAGAACTGTTGTCGGTCGCTCATTTATCGCAGCTACAGCCTCTTCAACTACCTTTTGCATAACATTCGGCCCATAAATGAGTCGAAGTCTGGCAATAAGCATTTTGATTGTCAAGTGGCGTCGCTCGATGGGATTACACCAGTGCGCTGCCACTGGTGCGAAATGCATCTTGCAACCATAGAGCTCACTTTGTTCAACCGCTGCAAGGTTGTAAAATTCCCTTCCTAAATCACGCATGAGATTCTTTCCCAAAACACCTCGCTCACGGCAAAGGCGTAAAAAATTTACAGTGTCGTCAGCTGTTGGCGCTGCCTTTTTCAAAACTTTCACAACTGAATACTTGGAAAACAAATTCACGCAGTGTAGCGCTGTGAGTTGTTTACTTTCAAGATAGAACGTGTCCAAGGCACGCCATTCCTCAATAGTTTCAACTTTGATCCCCCCTTTTTTGTTGTGGTGGAACGGGAGGTGAGTCAAGCGGTTCAGATGCGTTTTGCAATATTCAACCACCAAAGCCTTGGCTGCTTGGCGTGGATCATGCTTTCGCACAACTTCCCAAACTGTCTGAAAATTTGGATACCCCACGCCATGTGCTAGCTCAGCAACTTTCTCCGCCGTCATTTTCTCAGTGGGCGGAAGTTTTTCTGCAAATTTTTCCTGTTTTTGTGGAATTTTGGATCCCTGAAAAATCACACGCAGAGGAAAGCGATCGCCACACCCTCGCTGGATTTCAGGTATAGTTTTTACATCCTCGATCTCCTGCTTGTGCGATTCGCTCACCCAAGCAACATCGATTCGTAGGCCTTTTCCATTTTTATTCTCAAACTCTGGAAGCCCCCAAGTTGTGCAGGTGTACTGCACCCCCTCAGGATTCAAATCGCGATAGCGATCAACAAGCCTAAACTCTTTCAAAACAGCAGAGCACTCTGCCCGGTCCGCATCGCGCGTGCCCGGTAGGCCTGCTAAAACAGAATCAAAATCTTTTTCCCCCAAGACATAATCTACATCTCCAACAGCCAAAATCTCTTGCCCCAAAGACTGTAAGCATTTGCGGAAAGAAGCATCCCACTCATGCGCGTCTTTAGCTCTATTTTGCGCATACACCCCAAGGATTTTCATTGTAGTCAGTCGCGGCATTCGTAAAACTATTCCTCGACCTTCAGGCAGGTGCGGGGCACAAGAAATCGAACTCTTTTCACACCATGCATCGCGCAGGGCAAGCGCTGCCATGCCTGCTCTGGCATTCGCAGTACTGTAAAAATATACTTCATATCTCAAGCCTATCCCATGCAAAACTTTCTCTTTCGCCTGTTTTTCCACTTTCTTCGTCATCCTAGTTTCACCCAGGAGGACTAGTGGTGGAGAATTTTCGACAAGTGCCCGTAAGTGCTTCGGCCTCGAAGACAGGACTTTTCGTAGCGATTCACCGTCGTAATAAGTTACCTCTTTGCTAACTAGATCAGGCTTGTCATCAGTAGCAAGACAAGACGCAGGATCTAAAGCTTCAGACAAATCCTCATAGAAATTCTGCATTTCTTTGGGGAGTTTTACGGACGGGGTGGACCTAGACGCAAGGCCCACCGGAATAGGAGTAGCCAGGTCGTGTTTCGCGATTTTGTTTTTCGTTTTCTTCTCTCTTTCTCTCTTTCTTTTTCGTTTTTCTCCTTCCTGCTTATGGCTATAGAGCTGCCCAGCGAGTTTAGCAGCGCCGAGATACTCTTTTGCAGCGAAGACAGCCGGACCCATCGTAGTCGACCTCAGCCAATCCTTACTCTCACAAGCCGCATAGTAGTCGGCATCCTGCTCGTAGTAGTCTCCATCCTGCGACCCTTTGACGTTGGTTCCCATCTTTACGTAGAAGAGATTCTTTTTCTGCAGGATGGGTGTACGCTCTCCATCGGAAAACTCCAAATATTTTTTCTTGAAGTTTATGTCTCCGCCTGCAGCTACTAGCGCCCCCACTGACAAAATCGACACATTGGCGCCCTTGATAAAATTGACATTGCGGATTTTGCATCGCTTTTCGCCGATTCTACCGCATAAAGTTCCAATCTTTGTCGCTATTGCTGGGGTGCCGACTGTGCGAAATGGTCGATAAATTTCCTCGGTATTCTTTAGGAATTTTTCTTCCGCTGCGATGTGGGCCGTGGTTCCACTATCGAGTAAAAAACTTACAGTCACTACGCCGTCTTCTTCTTGTTCCTCGTTCCTTCGCGAAGAAAGCCTGTTCGATTTCTGTCAAAAAGAAAGTCCGTTCCGAGGACGAAGACTTTTTGCGTTTCTTCGTTTTGTCTTTCTTCTCGCCATCGCCGTAGTGCGACTTCTCCTTCTCGTCTTCGCCGTAGTACGTTTTTCCTTTTTCGTGCTTGCCTTTGCCTTTGTCCTTGTCTTTTCGCGGCTGCTGCCAAGAATTCCAATGACCATTGTGCGGCTGCCAAGAATTCCAATGACCATTGTGCTGCTGCCAAGAATTCCAATGGCCATTTTCCTGGTGCCTGTTCTCCCCTGCTTCGTTGTTCCAGTTCTTCGCTGGGTACGGCGTGGGGCTGAAATTATAGCTATACTCTCCACCTTTTCCGTCCTTTCCGTATTTGCCTTTTCCTTTGCCATCTTTGTCGCCGGCAAAGTAACTGGCACGCTTGTCGTTCTTCTTTTTCTTTTTCCGGCTTTCTCCGTTGTCGCTGTCATCGGAAGACTCTTCATCTTTCTTTTTTAAAAGTAAGTCCGCATCTGCAGCAGCACTGGCGAAATCCACAGGCTCCGTCGCTCTTCTCGCCACGATAGCACTGAGGAAGTCGCTATTGCATATCTCTTTGAGAGTTCGAACTTGTTCCGTGCCCGTCAATTTTAATTGGGAGGCGCGTCGCTCGAACTTCTGTAGAAAAGTTGTACTATTTTCCGACTTCTTTTGTGGCGCCGCCCGCAAAAGTGCCGCTGCACTTTCCTTACCCTCGTAAAGGCCCACGCACTGAGCCCGAATACTCTTGAATTTTTGCGCAGAACCCCGCAGCTTTCCGCTTTTCATTGCGGTGTCTCTCAGAGTACAAAATCGCGCTTTTACTACTGCAGACTGGATGCGATCATCAAGATGCCTCAACAGCGAATAAAGCGAAGCCCTTCGCCGTTGTCGATGCATCCACGTCGAAAAAGGTTCGGACTGTCCTTCGCGCCAAGCTTGGATGTTGGAAATTTTGTCTCGATTTTTCTTTTTGTCTTTCTTGTGCTTCTTCTTTTCTTTTTTCATTTTCTTATCATTTTTGCTCTTCCTGCCCTTTTTCTTGTCATTTTTCTTCTTCTTCTTCTTCTTCTTTTTGTCAGCCTGCGAGCTGCTGCCGCTGCTGCTGCTGCTCGAACTGCTGCTGCTGCTGGTGCTCGGCTCATCATCATTTTCACTCGAACTCGAACTACTGCTCGAGCTACTGCTGCTGCTGTCGGAACTGTCGCCGTCGGACGGCGGCCCGTCCTTTTCTTTTCCCTTTTTCCTATTTTTCTTGTTCTTATTTCCACCAGAGCGTTTGCAATTTTTGTCGCCGTCGTCTTTGTCTCCCCCGCCGGGGTGCGAATTTTTCTTGCCATCTCCGGGGCCCTGTTGCAGCTGTCCCGCGTCGGTATTTTGGTGCTTCCCAGAACTATTTTGTTGGTAAGAATGCATGCATCCACCCGGATTCTGCGCCTGAGTAAAATCTTGCCCGATCTGGAAACTATCTATTTGCATCGCCATCATACTGGAATCAGCATCAAATTTCTGCTCCCCAGCATCAAATTTGTATTCGCCGATACTAGCACCATGCTCCAAAGTTCCCCGATGATCTTGAGCCTGGTGCTGGGGGGTGGAAAATAAATTTCGCCGCTGTTGCAGCATCGAGCTCGGCGCTTGCGGTGCTGCTGCTGCTGTTCTTGTCCCGAAGTCGATGCGGTAGCACTTTCCGTCGGACCCAAGAGCGAAGGAGTGCTGGACAGGTTGAGCTTCAATTATCGGCTGTTCCGGGTCCACCAGCGAGATACTATTTCTCTGCTTCGAAGCCTGTTGCTGCTGCAACTGCTGCGGTTGCTGCGTATCAGGAGCAGTCGCAGTGGTTGCGTCTGTAGTTGCAATTGCTGCTGCTGGTGCAGCAGTAATTGAAGTTGTTGCTGCTGGCGCAGTAGTAGTCGAAGTTGTTACTGCTGGCGCACTGGTAGTCGAAGTTGCTGCCGCTGGCACAGTAGTAATCGAAGTTGCTACTACTGGCGCCGCTTTTGCAATTGCTGTGGTGTCCGCGGGTGCTGCTGCTGCCGTGGCGTCACCACTGGACTCCGCTCGGTCAGGATTTCTTTTGTAATTCCCGTCCACACCAAGGACATACCTTAATCGGTGTTCTTCGTGCGAATACTGCTGGCCGCCCATATTCGCGGCCACTGCCTCCATTTTTCGCGTTTCCTCTTCTTGTTTTTGTTTCTGCCGCTGCTGCTCCGCCGCTCGTCTTGCTTCTGCCTCCGCTGCCTTCCTTTCTGCCTCTTGTTGCTCGGCTTCCTCTCTTTCCCGGGTCCTCTTCGCTTCTTCCCGGGCCTGGTGTTCCAGGTGTGCACGCAACTCAGCGGCGTCGCGTTGCTGTTTCTCCTTTCTCAGTTTTCCCGCTGCTGCTGCTCGCTCGCGCTCTGCTGCAGCGGCTTCACGCTGCTGCTTCCGCTCGTGCTCTTCTCTGGCCGCTTGTCGCGCTAGTTCTTCCCGGTCTTGTTCCGCGACCTGCCGGCGTCGCTCCGCTTCTTCTTCCGCGGCTGTGCGTCCCCACGAATACTCGCACACATCCCCATCGTCCGGATTGGCCAGGGGCGTAGGCACGCCGGGATCGTTGGACCAACCCGCCGGGGATGATGTTTTTGCGGTCAAGCAATGCGCGAGCGTCGGCATTTTTGCAACGTAGTTTTTGTGTTGCGCGAGAGCGCAGAAACGATAACGATTTTTCAAAAAAGTAACGTCGTGGGAATGCGATAGGAAAGACAAAAACGCTTAGCTTTTTCAGCGCGTAAAACTGGATATCTCGGCAATAGGCCAGTCGGAGGGGTTTGGTAGTGTGTGCGCCCGCTTTCTGGCTACTAGGCGCGTCTCAGCTAGAAAAAAAATTAGCGTCGATAGTTTTTAAGCGTAAACGGTGAGAACAGATTTTTCGTAGTTCTTGTAGCTTTTCCGGTGGCCAAAGCTGAAAAAATTCTAAACCCTGTCGCCGTTGTCTTGCGGCGGTCCAAGTTAAAAAAAAATAAAAATAAGATCTGTTTTCCCGCGTCAAGGTATGGTAATCATTTTTTAAAACGAGATACCAAGTGGCAGTGATCGGTTGCAAAAAATTGCATGGAAAGACTTAGGTCGCGCGAGTGCAGGCAATATGGAAAGCATTTACGCCGGTAGCAGTGTGCATGTGTAATCTGAAACAAGTGCAATTCTTTTCCCGGTTGATATGTGGACAGTTGGCCTCTATGCATCTAAATGCTTCCTGTTCGTAGTGCGATCGCGTTTGTGCAAAAAAAAATTGTGGTCAGGAGCTATACCCTAGAAGCTGAAAACTAAAAAAAAAATGTAGTCGCTATCGAATGCAAGAGTATTCGGCTTATAATGCAGGTCTCGCCGTTTTTCCAGGATTTTGCTTGAAAATACCTGGAAGGTAAAAAATCTACGCTAAAGCTCCAGCAAAAATCTCTTTGAAATGACTACAGCTATTGCGCTTTTTTGTTAAGGTGCTTGCGACCTGCTAAGCAAGTAGATAAAAAAAAAATTGTCTGTCGCTTAAAAAATTCTTTGGCGCTAGTGGAAACGGTTTGGGCTCATACCTCTGTGGCTAATCCCGAGCCAAAGCAGACGAATGCTGAACACTATAAACCACCAGAATGCAATGCAAATATAGCAGAGCATTTATGTTCTTATTACAGTTGGAACTTGCCAGCTTGTCATGCAAATTGTATGACTCAAGGCCTGTGGAGTACATTGCGTCCGTGGGAATTCCATTCGTCAGCATCTTCATAGAATTTGTAATGCTGTTTGCGATTTCATGACTGGATTTGTAATGCTGTTTATCTCTTTGTGTTCTTGTTTTGTTGTTGTGTTGAGATCTTTATAACATTGAGACTTTATCACTCTGGATCGAGTGTTGAGCATTTTATCGTTGGAGCGTGAGCATATGCTGACAGGTTTCGACATGAAAAACCTTCCCCGCATGCTATGGCCCCGCCAGGGCCCCCGCCAGGGTCGGCCCCTTGGGAGCCCCAAATCGGGCCCATAGCATGCGGATTGGCTTTTTGCTTTTGGCGGACTTTGTTTTTTTTTGTTTTTTTTATTAAAATGCCGCATCTTCTGGCCATAAGTCCGCCTCTGAAGTGGCGGATTTTGGTGGCGTCTTTTGCGGGGCCCGAATGTAAGCCAAAATGGGGCCCATACTGTGCGGATTCGCTGTTTTTTTCGGATTGTTGCTTTTCGGGCCCCCCTTTCTGGGCGCCCCAAACCGCTAGAAACTAAGGCGGTGGGCGCCTCAGAAGGGCGCCCCTTTTGCCGGCTCCCCTGCGTCGTTTTATCGAGCGGGAGTCGATAGCTTTCGACCGAGCTTGTTTGACGGCAAAGCCCCGCCCGCTTGATAATTGAAAATTTTTTATGTCCAAAAACACTTCCGCCCGCTTGATAACTGCCGGGCGTTTTGCTGTCTGACTGGCAAAAAAACCGCTAGGATAGAACGTTCGTGACCTCACTACATACAAATTTCCTCAGCATGAGAAATGAAATTTGTAATGCAGATTTGCCTTGGGAACAAGATTTGTAATGCAAGACCTGCATTTATACGAGTACGATACTTTTGCACAGGATATCCTGCAGAACTAGTAGTTTCTTTGTCATCGAAGAGTGATAAGTTTCCGTCGTTCAGACTTTGGAACTCCAAGTACCGACTCACCCCGGTTTGCTATCCTGAGTAAAAGCGTCCCCACATCACCACGGAGTCAAGATGGGAAACCTGCTAGACAAATCGGCCAACTTTGGTTGATTCGCATGACAAATTTGTCCTCGTAGCGTTATCCTGTTTAGCCAGTTCAGCAGCATCACAGATCTAGCATATCATGCTACTTCTAGCATCACACATCCCAAAACACGACTAGAAATCGCTTCTCATGGGGCTTTGCATGAGAAACTTTCTTGGCATGCAAATTTCTTGCATGACAGCTCTGGGGTGGGGATGTTTATACTCGGAATATTTGCAGAAACAGCTCCACCAACGAACTGTTCGTGAACATGCAGCGAGGAAGGAGGTCCAGGGAGAACTTGTTTTTCAGCTTCCGGAGTTTCTCCAGTTCGTTTTCAAAACCAACATCTGCTTCCCCGATCTTCGTGTTGTTGCCTACACCATCAGCGGCGCTTGAGGTGCTACTGCTAGTAGTTTGCTCAGGCTGCTTTTGCTGACCTTCGCAAGACGCTGTCGTTCCATTTTTCGAGTTCTTATTCTTTTTTCCCTCAATGGAATAAAAATGCCCAAAGGGATTCCAGGTAAATTTCCGGTTCCGGCACAGCTTGTGGTTGGTGTGAAGCAGCTTCTGTCTCCGTAAATTCGGGTTGTCGTGCCATAATTTTTCTTCTACTTGTTTCTTGTCGTCTTTGTTCTTTTCTACAAGTAATTCTACCGTCGTGGCTCCACCTGTTTGGTTTCTTTTTAGCTCGTCTTGAAGATCTTCCCCATTGCCTTCATCCACGACTTTGATGTCTGTGCTGGCTCCACCGTCTGCAGCAGTAGATGAAAATCTACTTCCCGTGGTCCTCGTCGTGGTCTTCGTGCCATATCCTGAGTAAAAACGTACCCACCCCATAGTCAAGATGGGGATTTCGCAACACAAACCTAGAACTTTTGGGAGTCACGCATCACAAGTTGCAGTCCGTAGTGTAGTGCAGGTTCGCAAGGGAAGCCGCATAACAAATCCGTCTCCTTATCCTGTTTACAGCATTACAAGTTCCAAAACACGATGGGCAATGTCTCTCATGGGGATGCGCATTACAAATGCTCTTGTGCTTGCAAATCTGCATGACAACTCTGGGGTGGGGATGTTTTTACATATGATATGCCAGCATCTTTGCTCATCTCCGTTAGTATTTTCTCGCTACTCGGCGTTCTTGTGGAAACCGAGGACCTAGTCGTGTTGCTGGGGGAGATCACTGGGCCTGGGACTATTTGCTTTGTTGATGTTGAAAATCCTTCAACATCTCCAGCAGCTGCAGAAGTGTTGATGTCGTTATTCCCCGACGCTCCTGCCTCCACCGCTGTCGCGGCTGAAGAATCTTTCGCCGGTGCTGCTGGCAGATAGCTGACGTCGTACCGGTAGGCAGAGTGCGAGAAGAAAGAGGCGAAATTCCGAATCGGCTCCTCTTGCGTGATAATCTCGTCGTTGTTCTCGCGCTGTTCGTGAAGATCTTCATTTCTCTTTTTATCGACATCCTCGGCACGACGGGCACCGTTTTGTTCTATACTCGCTGACGCTGACGCTGCTCCTGATGTAGTTCCTGCATGAGAATAAATCGAAATCGTCTTCGTCTTTGCCCACTCTTCCAGCTGTGTCAGGTTCAAGGTCGCCCATGCACCCCCATAAACCGCGTTCGGGTCCAGATGGAGCACCTTCTTCCCCGCTCGCCCCAGGGCGGCGGCCAACAGACAGTTTGGCAGCCCGGTGCCAACCAGGATGACGTCCACATCCTTTTCCTTCTCCGTGAAGGACGGCGGGGCGGACATTTTTGTCGTGTCTATTTCTGGGCTTTGTCCTCTCTACTATACTACACTATTTATTAGCACTTGTAGATTGCGATGTTCGAGTAGTTGGGCCACAGAATACCATCAAACACAAGTCCATACGGTAAAAAAGATGCGATCGATCGGACGACGATGAGCCATTAGAGGTGGAACCTATATGACTACTTAGATCCCAAATTCTAACCGGTAGAAAGAACTAGAAGTAAGATCGGGCGGAGGATCAAAACGAAAAATGTAGTAACACTTCATCTTGAATAAAAAAATGAAAAAGCAGTAGAGCGGAGAAATTTCTTCTCGCTCGTTCGAGGATCAGATCTATCGTGTGGTCGCTGAAACAAAAGGATCAAAACTCGAAACAAGGATAAAACAAATTCACGACCAAGGCCGCAAGTACTAGCGGCGAGATAAATTAAAGTGGTGAAACAAGCAAAAAGATCTTTTTTACCGCAATTGTCCTCGCGAATATTAAATGGTCCTACAAATAGCGCGATTTTTCATGCGGTCTGATCGGTCATGCTGATCTTCAGCTTGTTGTTTCACACGCGGTTAGGCCAGGATAATTGCTTTAATCACATTTTCAAAGAATTACCAAAATTTTCGTCGCAACTCGTTACAACAAATCTGCGCTCTTTAACAACTTCATTTGATTTGTTGCTTCTTCATTCGCTAAGTATAATTCGCGTATTGGCAAAAGTTCCGCTCTTTTCTGTGATTCGTCTCGTCAGATGACCTGTAGAAGTTCCTTGCGTCGTGCCTGAGGGGGCGAAGTTCATTCAATTTTCATTCTAGCTTGTCGTGTAATATACCAAATTTCTCAGAAGTACCGGAGACATCACGAGCGCATGAACATTTCATGCCGGCGTCGTGCGTCAACAGCAACCACCTCCGATTCCGGACATCGGCACATTGGTGTTGCTGTTCTCTAGTTCCACTTCTCGCAACCCGTCCTCCACTGGAACCGGGGCGTTTCGCTTATGCATTGCAAAAATGTCTGGGTCTGGAAGGGTGGAACTTGTAATGCTGTCTGCGGATTCCAAAAATGTCTGTGTTGCATGAGCAGCAAGAGGAGTCAGCTCATGGCACGCAGAGAGGGCATTTCTCATGCGTAATTAGCATCAAGAAGCTTTCAAAAAATCTGTGATGCTAGAACCAGCATCACAGACATCACGGATCATGCAAAATGTGCATGACAAGCCCCGGCTCTTCCAGACCCAACCATTTTTGCAGTTGATATCGGTTGCTGCGGTGCATTTCCGCGTAGATTTGGTCCAAAATTTGCTGGAACGCTTGCTCTATGCACTGCAAAAAACTACATGTAGTTGCCTGGGTCTGGAACATTTTAAACTTCTGATGTTCTTTTTAACACTTCTAACAAAGCTGCATGGATGATTGGAAAAACTTCTTGGACGAGTCCTCCACCTAAACACGACGAAGATTTTTTTCGTTGTTTCTCATACTTACTACGTAGAGTGCTCCGGGTTGCATACTAGAACTACGTTAGTACTTTTGGTGACAAAATAAAAAGAAGTGGCCCTGTAGGTGATCTGTATTGCGGCGCATTACAGGTTTTACAGGACAATCGTCAGAGAGCAGGCAATAAATACAAGAAATGCCATTTTTAATATTTTTTCCGAGGACCCAGATGACATCATTTTCGCAGTGGATATGCTCCACGTTCGTGCTGTCGAGCGCGCTGGTCTCTATGTGTGTCATCCCGTGCTTTTCCGCGAGGGCGGACCCGTCCTGTTGTGATGAAACATCAGTATTGAAATTCGTATAATATACTTTTATTGTCACGAATTATATGCGCGCAAAGCGACATGAAACAGGAACAGCACAAGTAGCAACTCCCAAGTGCTGAAAGTGTCAGCTGAATCTTTCGCAACAAATTATACCTGCGCCGACACCGTCCGCAAATGCTGCAGGTCGGATTTGTTTCCGACCAAAAGCGTTTGTATGTTTGGGTCCGCATGATCCTTCAATTCGGCAAGCCATCTTTCTATACTCTCGAAGCTCGTCCGCTTTGCCACATCGTACCTGAGTTGTCGTTTTGTAGTTCTTGAAGGATTTTTCTAGGGTCTGTTTCTTCATCCTTCCTTGGGCCGAAATCTTCTTTTGGGCCAGAAGTGCCCCTATTGCTACCTCTTGCGGATAGAAGTGAAACAGATGTGCAAACTTCTAAAACTGCATCGATCTGGCCGCGTTTTGGCACCGCGGTCCGCCTCCTCGGCGCTCTTTTTTTCTCGTCTTTGGTCTCGGGGTGCCGCGCTCGGTTTTTTTCAGCGGATTCGCTCATGGTCATGGCAGATTTTGCTGCAGCGCCGAAAATTAAAAACATGAGGCGCCGGCCCTTTTTTTTCTGAAAGCATGGGAGGCGAAGCGAGTAGGACAACCTTCTCCGCGCGCGCAGCGCCCGCGAAAATTTTGTTTCATCTCGCCCCCGCTGCCGCGGATTTTTTTTCTCTGGTGCCGCTCGGCGGCAGGCCGGCAGCAGCTGTGAGGCACCCGCACGGCAGCTGTGCAACAGCCCGAGCAGCAGCCGGAATCAGGTGCGCAACAAGTGCGCAACAAGTGTGCAACAAGTGCGCAACAAGTGCGGATGGGTGTGAAATAAGTTCGTTTTCTTTTAGAAAACGACTTATTTCACACCTATCCGCACTTGTTTCTCACTTGTTGCACACTTATTGCGCACTTATTGCGCACTTATTTCACACCTCTCTCACACCTGTGTAACATTTGTCGCGAGCCTGCCCCCAACCGGCCTCACACATGTCTCGCAGCCGTGCCGCAGGTCCCGCGCAGCGCGGCCTGCGTTGGGGCCGGGCTGTTGCACGGCTGTCGCACAGCTGTCCGCGAAGCCTCCCTTTTGCCACCCGCGAACGGTTTGGGGGCCGGGGGCCTGGCTCTTGACCCGGGCCCGGTGATCCGGTCGGCCCACGCTCGCCCTAGGCAACCCCAACGCGCGATGGCCCGCGACCACGGGTCCAGTCGATTACTTCTCGCCGTGCTGTGCATTGTGAAAACGTGACGGCCCATGCGGAACGGGCCACCCCTTTCGTCCGGCTGGAAATTTCTGCACTACTATTTCACCTCTATCCGCAGAGTAATCCTATAGGGTGCTTTGCCTTTGGGGCCAACTTCTTGCTGCATGAGGTAAAGTGGTCTTCATCCAATGAATTTATTATCAATCATCGAACTACAAGCAACATCCTAAAAACTACAGTACACAAGCAGTGCTCCAAGCGCTCCCCGGTAGTAGGCGCTCGTAATTGCTCTGTATCGCTCTTGCCCCGCGGTGTCCCATATTTGCGCTTTGGCAACTTTACCTGATGATAGATGTTGATGATGCTCATGTTCTTCTACGAGCGACACCACAATATTGCTTTAAGCTTCTGATGCAATGCCTTCTGCTTTTTATGCATTGCGCAGATTTCACGACTTTCACATCAGCTGTTTCATCCCGCCGCCCGTGAGGACAGACGAACAAGCAGCTTCACTAGTACCATCCGACAGCTTCACAGCTTTCGAGGCGAATTCGACTCCTATTGTCGACCTTGACTCAAGGTTAAATTCATCCCTGGTGAAGCGGAGGAGCAAGTTTGATTTTCACACTATCCTGTGTAAAAACGTCCCCTCCCCATAGCAGTTGCAATGCAAATCTGCATGCTTAAAATGATTCCCAAACGGCGGCCCATCATGAGAGCCTTTTTTTTAGGGCTATTTTGAGATTTGTGATGCTTGAATCAGCATGACATGCTCGATCTGTGATGCTGCGGCAGTACGTAAGACCAAAGACGACTACATTGCGAGCCCGAATCTGTCATGCGCTACAACCAAAGCTTTGTGGTTTGTCTAGCAGATTTCCCATCCTAATCTATGGGGAAGGGACGTTTTTATTCAGGATACCCACCTCGGAGTCACCGATAAGCACCACTTTAAACAGATAGTCATACTCGTCCGCCCTGGAAGACCGCTTGGTGCCCCTGCAATATGCCCCGCTCAGGCGTTACAATCTCACAAATTACACAACCCGTGGAACAAAAACTCTTCGCGGATATAAGCGGAGCACTGTGCGTATCTCTCGTCATGCTGATCATGCAAAACATCAAAATCCAGACTCGTCCATTGTAACAGTTGACGAGCTTGTGAAGACACCTGAGCAGGTCATATGGAAGGCGTTTGATTTGTTTTCGCTTGTGGTCCGCCGGAGGACGATGCTGCGTCGGTGTATCCTGTGCAAAAGTATCGTACTCGTAGTAGTCGCCATTATGCATCACAAATCTTCTTCTTAAGGCAGCTCTGCATTACAAATTTTATTTCTCATGCTGAGTAAATTTGTAATGCATTTATACGAGTGCGATGCTTTTGCAATGCATACGGTGCCTCCGGCTGCCATTGTTCGTATTTCTTTGGCGGGTTCGTAAAAGACCGTAGGGTGGAAGAAGTACAAATTGAAATTCCTCCGAGGCAGAAAGGCGGAATAAGTTTATTACGCTGTAGCTCCTGCTCCTCTGTGCTCAGTCGTGTGAAGAACGTGAGGAGGACGGATTTGAAGATTCCGCATCACCGTACTATTGTGTAAATATCCTCCAGCTTTTTTGTTTGAAGCTGAAGGTTGTGAAGAGAACAGAGATGTAGAAGATGCTACGAAAATATTAAACCCTTCTGCAGCTCCTTCACCATGATCTGAAAATATTCCCTCGCTTGTCGTACTTGCGTTTTTTCCCGAAGGAAGATGTTGACGGTCGTATCCTTTTTGCAGGGACGAAGAGAAAGCCCCAGCAGTGGTCGTCTACCTTTCGTCCTCGTCGTCCCGTACTGTACAAAGTGGTTCCACTTCTGCAACAGCAACTTATGTGCTGGTGGCACGGTGCGGCAAGTGTACTAGAGCCTTCTCCTAGAACAAGTAGAGCTCTTGTTTCCACCCTGCTCCTGCTCCATCTCCACACAAGCTCAGATGAACAATGTTCGTCCAGATGCAGATCCAACGACCATTGTTCTACTACTGCGCGGCCTCGTTCACAGTTTTGGATCTAATATCTTCAAGACGTTCAAAAACCGAGGTCCCAGCTCGGTCGTCGTCACGTCGGTCAGCGGCTCTGGGTGGCCCGTGTCGGTGTTATCAAATGCAAAAGCGTCTGAGTCTGGGAGATTCTGAGACTTGTCATGCACGTTTTGCATGAGCCATGATGTCTGTGATGCATGTCGTAGCATCACAGACTTCTCGAGGGGTTCTTGATGCCTATTAATTTCGCATGACACATGCCCTATCCGCGTAGCAAAAGTTACACTCCCATTGCTACTCATGCAATACAAATTTTTTTGGAATCAAAATGCAGCATCACAAGTTGCATTCTTCCAGACCCAGACACTTTTGCATTTCATAGGTGTTGCAAGAAGTTTTTGTCGGATCGAAACTTCACCCAGACACGAAAAAAATTCGCTTGCCGTTGCCGTGCGGCCTGTGCCAGGGGGACGTCATCGTGGTGCTCATTTCTAAAAAGATGCTCAATTGGGCAGCTTTCAGCAGGGTGGTGGTCGATGGTCTTGATTGATGCTTCAACGAACTACATATTCGGTGTACTAAATCCAAAGACGAGGACAAGATTCATGGTAGAGAACAGCTACAAGAGTACTAAAAACTTAGACTTACAGAACGAGAACAATTACACCTTAGACGATCTTATTTTTCGCATCGTCACGATCCGTTCTCGGTGACAAAAGCGCAAGAAATGCGAAAAGCTTTTTCGCCCGAAATAAAAGCCACACACCAATTATCAGCGAAAAGACAACTACACACTAGTCCGTCGAAAGAAAACTCCTTCCTTATTCAAAAAACTAGTATGAGATCATGATCCTTCAACTTCACATTCTTCAGAAAATCGTAGTTTATAGAAAAGCTAAAGATCAGACCGCGCAGCGAATTTTGCAAGCTCGATCGATTTTGGAGGTTGTTCTTTTGATCAATTTAGTAGAAGTAGAATGAAAACGACTACACCGAGTCGTGCTACTTTCACCTGCAGAGACTGCAGGCAGTGTGCAATCTGCGGAGAAAGAGACAACATGATCCGCGATAAGACCAAAACCGGTTATAGTACAAAATTTGCCACACCAGCACGAACTTCACGGCCCCCAGGCGGGTCCACAATCAAAACGGACTCAAGCGCTCCTGCTCATCTTGTAGCTTTTCCAAACACTGAAAAGCCGAAGAACAACTTCAACTTCTAGTACCCGCACTTTCTCTTTGCTAGAAAGTCTGCGCGCGCACGCACCCCCGCGCTCGCGCATAACGTGCTTTCGTACATGATTTGCTTTTATGCGAGTCTACATTCATCCTTCCACTTTCTTCGACTCTTTCTCTTCCGTTTATCTCCTGTGCTGCTCTGTAGTCATGTCCGACTAACTGCGATTTGTCCAGAGTACGATGCTTTTGCGGTGGATACACAGCCGTATGCTTCTTATTTCCTGAACGCGACATGAAAATTTCTTCTCCTGGGGGGCGGCGTTGCTGGGGCGGCAACGGGTTTTGTAGAAGTAGAAGATCTCAAATTGGGCAAGTACAGCCCCACCTCCTTCGAGGGTGTTGGAAGTCGGCCCGACGTGGCCGCTTGGCCTTCAAGTCGACGCCGAGGCGCTCCTCCTCCCCTCGCCCTTGTGCGTCAGTAGTGTATCATCAATTGATAAGTTGTAGCTGCTCCCGCTGTACTTGGAGTGGATCTGGATCCTCGACCCCTTCTGCCTGTGATAGCTGCTGGGGTCCCGCCGCTTCGATTACCTCGTCGTCGTCGTCCATCACACTTCCTGCCATTGCTGCGCCCACCCCCACTGCCGTAGCCGCTGCCCTTGCCGCCCTAGCCGTTGCCTGCCGCACCGTTGCCGCGACCCAGTGAGTCACCGTCTTCGCATATCACACAGAAAAAAGCAGGCAGGTCACACTCACATCTGTAATGCAAAAATAAATACACAAAAAAATCTGTATTGCATATCCTAAACGGCATGCTATGGGGCCGCCCAAGACAAGTTCTTCTTCTTCACTTCTGTGTATTAATTTTTGCATTACAAATCTGACCTGCCTGTCTTTTTCTGCGGGATATCGCAGTCATCGTTTCAATGCTCTCCCGCACGTCGTCGATTCTTGCGCCAGAAACACGCATATCGAATGCAAAAGTGTCTGGGTCTGGAAGGATGCGAACTTGTGATGCATAAGTACTTAGATCACACAAAAATGTGTCATGCTTGGACAGCAAAAGGAGCCCTTTTTCCTGTCGCCGACAGAAGGCGTTTGTCATGCGGATTAGGCATTGGGTAGCCGTCTCAAAAGCTGTGATGCTAGGCCTTGCATGCCTTCTGTGTCAAGCAGACACAGCATCACAAACCTCAGCAATCTTCCAGACCCAGACATATTTGAATTTGATAACGCATGTCGCTGAACTCCTTGATTTATCCAGTGCAAAAGTATAATCGGAGATTCGTAGTTATTGCATATTTTATTTACAACGAACATGACTTAGCATTGCAAAAGCACTTTGTCATCGTCATGCAACTTCTATAGTACGATTGCTTACAAACTTTATTTGCACTGGATAGGATTCCCCGCTCTCCGTTGGCCTTCACCTCCGTGCCCAGAAAGACGAAAGTCGGTAACTTCCTTATCTCGAAGGTCTATGGGAGTGTCAGGCTCAGGACCGAAATTGACAAAGTCGAAAAATATGTAATGCATAAAATGTAGGGCACATAGGGCCTGTTTTGGAGGAGGCAAATGAGTCCGATTGCAAGCCTGTTGAGCCCTACACATGTACTGCCAGAGTAGCATGGCAGGCGCAGTCTTCTTTGCCCAAACAGCATGACAGACTGGATTCCGGTTCTCCCAAAATTTGTCATGCGCCACTTGCAAACTGAGGCTCCCACTGGTATCGATTTTGTGCATCACAAACTATTTCGATTTTGCTGATTTCGGTCCTGACGCTTCCATAAGGTCTGCCCGAGCTGTTTCCCCAAATCCTCTTTCACTGAAAGTTTCATAAAGCTTATGCATTTTTGCAAAAGTACTTATCACAATCACGACAGCGCTACAGGACCAGTAGTGATTTTTGCATGACAAACCTTTGTTTCCAAAAGTAGGAGAACAAAATTTATCACAAAGCGGATTACGAGAATCGTACTTTCACACACACAGGATACAGCAGAAGCGGTCCTGAAACTCGGCGACATTCGACAACTCTTCAAACAGGGGCCCGCTCCGCTTGCTATGAAAGCGTCAGGTTTGAAATCGACAAAGATGAAGTGCATTCGCATACGCACTCCTGCTCTATGCATGAAAATGAAAATAATCCAGGCTGCACACAATGCCTGTCTTGGATTTTCAATAGCAGAAGAGAAGACGTCCTTCCAGTCGTAGAAATAGCAGGTTGACAAATCGGATTTACATTGCTTCGGAAAGTCAAAGTTGCATGCCATGTGCGAATTACATATTCGGGGTAAAGCTGTAATATCGATTTTACCCGTCACATCAAAGTACAACTTCACCGGATTTCGATTTCAACCTTGACGCTTCCATACTTGCAGGGCCCGCACTTCGGGGAAAAAAAGTCGATCACAGCTATGCATTGCAACCGTGTCATCTTCTGGGTTTGGAAACTTGTGATGCTGAACTTTAGTTGAGCGAAGCCAGTGGCAGTTCCAGTGCTCGTGTTGGCTGCAAACATTACACATTAGTTTGCAGAAACAAGCATTCGATTCTCATTCGTACCCCGCATTAGTTAGTACACAGTACCACTGCGTCTATTTTGTGGCACGTTGACGAAGCAAGCCACTCTTGTTCTGGTGGCCATGCAATACAGATTTGTTCACAGGAAAAATGCAAACGCAGCATTGCAAGTTTCACTTTTCGTTCAGACCCAGAGACAAATTTGCACTCGATAACGGTGTACTCGCATTTATTCTTGACGTAGTAGCTCAGGTATCACTCAGGAAAAAGGTCGTAGCACATCAGATTTGTAAATGCACAGAATGAATACAGATACACCGAACGATCGTTCGAGCGGATCGCTTCTAGCACCATGCTGTGTCTTGAGACGAAAACGAGATGCAGCTGAGACTTATTTTTGCACTTCTATGCAAATCTGGTCTGAATATGCTACTTACCTTGTTTCGCTCGGATACCAGGTCCTCTTTGGTTTCCGGCACCATCAGCTGATAATTCATTTGGATACGTATTTCTGTTTATTTTAGTTCTTGATGAAATGCACGAGATCAAGAGAAAGTGAAATGAAAAGGTATCAGAATGAGAAAGTGAAAGGAAAAAGCTCGGTAGTTGTAGAAAGACCATTTGTGGAATTGATATATATATGCATTGCAAAAGTATCGCACTCGTATAAATGCATTACAAATTTTCTCAGCATGAGAAATGAAATTTGTAATGCTGATTTGCCTTAACAAGATGATTTGTAACGCATGACTGCAATACGAGTACGATACTTTTGCACAGGATAATACATCTTTCGTCTTTCCGGTTCGCACTTGTACGAACTTGCCCGGCGGAACAAGATGTTGCTGCTCGGCATATCAAATGCAAACATGTCTGGGTCTGGAAACTTGTAATGCTGAGTCGTGATTAGTGAATTCTCTGTAATGCACAGCCAAGCATGTTGAGAAATATTTGCGCTGCTTGGTGTTGCGCTTTCCGCGTGACAGTCTGCGTTTTGCATGACAAGCAAAAGGGTCTCTTCCTCCTTGGACACGCATCACAAACTCTTCAGTCATGCCAGACAAGCATGACAAACCTTGCATCCTTCCAGACCCAGACATATTTGCAATGCATGCGGCAGTAGACGACTGTGCATTGTCATCTTGCGAAGAACCCAAAATCTTGTCCTCCTCGGCAGAAAGTAGAACCGCGCCCGTGTGACTGACGACTGCACTAGTACTTCTTCCAGCAGAAGGTGTGGCTGAAGAAGAAACAGAAGGAGAAGAAGATGCTTTTTCAGTTTTCTGATCATCATCATCATCGTCATCTTTCCTCGTCGTGTAGAAATCCGGCGGAAGCTCGATAAAATCAAGATCCTTCTCCTGCTGCAACTCTGCAGATGAACTAGCACCTGCTTCATCTCCACCTCCTGTCGAGGGACTTCTTGCAGCTGCGGCCGACGAGTCTCCGTTTCCATCCTCGTCCCCACTCGACGAGTAGTTGTCAGCTCCGACGAGGACCCCTCCTGCGTTCGACGACGGCACTTCTCTGTCTAGTTCTTGTGCCGTGGTCCTGCTCGCAGATGGCTTCGAGGATGAAATAGCAGTTGTGTCGACGTAGCTGAGGTCCAAACTGGACGAGGAGACAACCAGGTCGTTGTGGTGGTCGACATCTTTCTGCAACACGGAAGCTCCTGCCCCCGCGGAAGAAGATGTTGAAGTTCTTGCGTCGAGACCTCCTTCCAAGGCAGAGGATGCGGGCTCTGCAACTGCTGCCGTGGTTGTCGTTCCTTGAACTGCTTCTTGCAACTTCACGTCGTCCTGAGAAATTGCTGGTGATGAAGCACCAGCAAGGTTGTCTGCAGTGGTACTTTTCCACGAGGACGAGGACGCGGCCATGTTTTTACTCGGTCCTCTGCTACTACTCGCATCAGCCGTAGTTGTTCTGGAGAACGCTTTTGGTTTTTGTTCTGCTTGCGCCGCGTGTAGTTTTGCCTGGTCATTCGTTGACGGTATTACAATGTGGTCTTCGACTGCTTCCTGCGGTTGTTCGTGGTCGGTGTTTTCAGCAGCAACCAAAATCGACGGCGCCGACGTCGCCGGGGGGACGAGGAAGTTGCTCGTAGACGTTGTATGCACCAAGAAGCCGCACATCACTGCAGCGGTGGCAGACCGCGTGAAGAACATTGTTCCTGGCGTGGAGGTCGTGCGATTTCTTATGTTCAACATTTCCGTATGTATTTTTGAGGTTGAAGAAGAGCTTCTACTGTGGCAAGAATACTGTTCCGCCCGATGTGGTTGCTGGCTTGTCTTTATCCCACTACCGGAACAACAGGGGCTCTGGCCTGCTGGCGATCGCGATCCCGCACGTCTTCCGGATGGAAAGAACATTTTTCTTTTTGCGTGTCAAATAAGATATCTGTAATGATACGGTCACCAAAAGATACCACGTAGAAGACGACCTTCACACGTATCCTTCTACGACTTCTTCTTCGAGACACAATCTCGGTGGCGCACTGGTTCTTTGCAGCCCTTATAGATGCACCAAAACGAATGTCCTATCGCCACACGCGCAATGAACTTCTCTCTTGAAGAAGCGCGCGACTGACTGTTGTACGTGCTATCTGAGTTGTCGTGTACTTCTACTTCGTAAACTTTTACCCTTTCGAAGAACAAGAGTTTTGCACGCCAAGACCGATATTTAAAGTGGGAGGTCACCGACAGCCTAGATGATGACCACGGGCCCACTCTCAAGATAGAAACCCCGACGATATAAAATGTCCTTGAAAGCGAGTCGTTTTTATTTTTTCCTCAGGCAAAAGCCCTGTACCTGAAGATGATTCGTTGATGCTCGATGGTACCACTTTCCCGATAACTACGCCTTCTCTCAATCTTATCTATTCACCCCGGCGGTGGACCCGTTGCTAAACCAGCCAGGCAACTACTCCGCACTAGGATACAAAATCGTCCCCTGTTATCTGTAGACCAGACAAGACGCGTGAGAACAACTGCAACGATAGGATTTTGGGTTTGCTAGAATGACGATGAACAGGTAATCCTCGACGGTTTCCGTTTTGATATGCTTTTATTTCACATTTATTTCCTAAGTAAATTCATCCCACTCACAGAACAAATTTCTTGTCCTTCTGTAGTGTATCCATGTTGGTCTTCAGGAAGTCTAGCAGAACTTTATTTATCCGTCTCAAATCGACGCCATGGTATCCATCACGGGTCCGGGCACGAGATTTATCTCTGTCGTCCAGCAACTTTTCGGCTGCTGGTTCAAAAACCAGTATACATTGCAAAAGAATCGTACTCGGCTAAATGCATTACAAATTTCCTCAGCATAAGAAATAAAATTTGTAATGCTGATTTGCTCTTAGCAAGATGATTTGTAATGCATGATTGCAATACGAGTACGATACTTTTGCACAGCAGGATAACCAGTAGCAGTCCGCAATGTCCGCGGGTGGCAAAAACTGCTCAGCTGGTTTATTCGGCATCCAATCCTTTGTCTTCGGCATCTGCACCACCCCATCAATGATGGCGTGAAACTATCGTATTGGAAAACGCCCATAGCTGTAATGCAAATCCGCATGCTGGAAATGTTTCTCATGCGGAGCCCCATAAAAGCCTTCTCTAGTCATGTGTTGGAATTTGTCAGGCTCCAAGCAGCATGATATACTAGATCTGTGATGCTGCTGAGCTAGCTCAAACACCACTACACTAGCTACGGGTTCAAATTTGTCATGCAAAACAGCCAAAACTTGTGGATTTGTTTAGCCGATTCCCCATCTTGACTATGGGGTCGTCGTCGTGGGGACGTTTTTACATAGGATAGAAACACGTGAATGTTCTTCGGCCCGAGGTCCCGCGCCAGGGCCTGGGATAACGCGCGCAAGGCGAATTATCAAATGCAAAAGTGTCTGGGGCTGGAAGGATGCGAACTTGTGATGCGCATTCCATTTCACATGACACAAAAATCTGTCATGCATGGAAGCCAAAAGCTGCACCTTTCTGGCCAGCGAAAGAAGGGTTTTGTCATGCGGATTACGCATTAAGAGACCTTCTAAAAACCTGTGATGCTGGGGCGTGCATGGTAGCCCTTGTGGGTCATGCCAAAGCTGCATCACAAACCTCTGCATCCCTCCAGACCCAGACACTTTTGCAGTTCATACGAATTTCCCCGGAGCGAATCCCGGGGTGAACGGCATGCCGCGCCACGAAGCGGTCGCGCCTGGGAGGTCGTGTGATATTAGACTGTCACAGTTTGTCGCCGGTGGAATTTTTGCATAAGAGAGACACAGTAGACTAACTTGACTACAGCACTAGATCACACCGCACATCAAAGTGAAACACCAAACCCGAATAAAAGTCGATCTCGAACTCGATGAGGAGACACTAGTATTACCAGTGAACCCGATCACCCCGCCTGTCTTTTTCCCCTCCATCAGCGGCACCACGCATTTCGCCAAGTTAAAGGCCCCCTTGCAGTTGACCTGAAGCGACATGTCGAACTCTTCTTCCGTTACTTGATCAAACGGCTTGAAAACACCGGCGCCCGCATTGTAGATCGCCGTGTCAATGGTTCCAAATGTCTTCACTACCTCTGCAACGGTTTGCTTCATCTGAGTCATCTCCACGGCGTCACAGGTGTAGGCTTTGCAAACAGGAGTGGTCGTATTGGTATTAGTATTACCACCCGCTGCTGCTGCTGCGTTGATCTCTTCTGCCAGTCGTAGCACGTTCCTCTCCGTCCGGGCACACACCGCGACCCGGTAGCCCTCTTTCGCGAATTTCTTCGCGACATGGTCACCGATGCCCTGGCCCCCAAGGCCGACGACGAGGCAAACTTTGCCCGCGGACGATGCGGTCGTGAAGGCCATTTTTTTTTTTTTAACGGTCGCGTAGCTAGTAGCTGCGCGCGTTTAATGCTTTTGCTTTTCGTTTTCCGGTGCAAAAACGTCCCCGGGGAGGTCTCTAGCTCTACTACGTACTCTCGGGTGGACGTGGATCTTCCTCTTCGTCATCGTCTCACTTTGGAAGGCCCAGAAATAAAAGTAAAGCCGGCACAGGTCAGCCGGAAATAAGTAACCTGAACCGATGAGGACCGAGCACGTTGCACCATCCTGTCGTGGGTACGAGCAGAGCATCTTTTCCTGTTTGAGCAGTCTACTTGGAACGGAGCATGATCCCGGGAAAAGTGCAGCCGTGTGTGCGGAGGCCCGGTACCCAGTTGAAAACCAGAATCGGAAAGTGTACCTCTCAAGCGCATCTTGAAAATGTGCATCTTCCGTTGTAGAAAATATTTCCGTACGTTTCTCGTCGTGTGTCGTGTTGTACAACAAAAGAGATTAATTGCGCCCCAAGCTTTTCTAGGAAACTGAAATCATACAAGGCTAAGAGTAAGATGAGCATGGGAAAAAGAAAATATGGCTCTTACTAGCAGAATTTACATTTGAGCCGACTGGCAATAAACCAATGTCGTGTGGTAAAACGATGTAGAATCTGTTGCTTTTCAAAAACAAGCGTAGCAGAAAAGCGCCAACAATACGTCAAAAGCAAAACAATCTGAACAGTTTTTATTACATGCTGTACTAGTGTCCGTAAGAAATTATGATGCATACAGAAAAACCTGAAAGAATTTTTAGAACTACGATCGCATATTACCGTGTGTGGTAGTTGCAGCTGCATCACCCGCAATGTTTTGCCTCCCTTAGGATTTGTCCCATCTCCGCTTGTGATCGCGGTACACCTTGACCAACATCCCGAATGCAATATCGTTTGTGAAATTGCCGCCAGTTGTATCCATCTCAGCCATCAACTCGCCATGCTACTACTAGCCACGAATAGGGAAAGAACTCGGTTCGTCATCATACAATGTTCTTTGCATGTCAATGTGTTGTGCATGTCAAATTCATCTTCAAAGAAATAAACGACAATTTCACATCTTCATGCGATAAAAGATGCAGGCCAGGAGGAACGAGATGAAGAGTGACACCAACCCGTCGATCAGCTGGGCTGTTTGTGGCCCGATGTGGATCAACCTGAATAAAGAGCAGTTATTTTCAGCTTTTGAAAACAAAATTTGTGTTGCCTGCCGCGGCACGCAGTCGATCCTTGTCATGCGAAAATCCATATATGCAACTTCGAAGAGGAAGAAAACAGAAAAAATCTTACCACATCGTCAAGCTCATGACGAAAACGCACACGCCTCGCATATGAAAGTGCACAATTCCCCCTCCCCTCCTTTCTATTGCGCGGAAAGCAATACAAACAGCAGCACACATCACCGAGCATGTGCATGACAAAGGCGCCTAGTGTAGTACTGTCTGGCCTTCCGGAATCTGTCATGCACACAGTGCCACAGAAAAGCACTTGGAGTTGCGTTGGAATTTTACGATCACAAATGAGAACGAGAGGGAGTAGTTCTTGTGCACTCTGATACCGCATCACATCTGCCCAGAAGTGGATCAGCGCGGCGTCCACATTTGCGTTTGGACCGTTGGTATCCCGTGCAAAAGTATCGCGCTCGTGCTAAAAATCGCAGTCATGCAAGACAAATTTCGTTTTCTAGCTAATAAATCAGAATGACAAATTCTTCTTGTCATGCTGAGGTAATTTGTGTTGCTATACTACGAGTACGATACTTTTGCAATTCATAGTTGGACGTGGCGGAAGTACTCGTGTAGTTTCGTTTCAACAACAATCGAATGCTGATAATCTGCCCAATGTCGGTCAGCATCGCGAGAACCGCGACGATATGGACTGCAAAAGTATCCTATCGCACTCGTATAAATGCATTACAAATTTTATGCAGTTACCGCGGAGGGATCACCCTATGGATGATCGCTCGATGGGAGCATCTCCCACTGCGTCGTACTAGGAGGGCACTAGTATCATAGTACTCGAGAAGACCAAGCGCTTCGGCTTGGGAAAAAGTTCGCAAGGGTACCGGGTTCGAACCGCCAGTGCCAAACGACCCTCCTTCCCAAAACAAGGCGAGACCGCATGATATGTGTATTCTTGCTGCGTGTAGCGGCAAGAATGCATCAGTGTGGCCAGACTAGCTTAGATGAAACTTTCCGCAAGCGGATGATGCCATACTTTCCGACAAGCGGATAACCAAACTTTCCGCGGAGCGGATGAGACCAGACTTTCCGACAAGCGGATGAGAGAGACTTTCCTAAGGCGGATGGACCATACTTACTACCAACGGCAGGGGCGTTACTCCCTGGGACTTGTTAGAGAGAAAGAAAACAAACTTCAACCCAGAGTGGGGAAGAGGTTCGCACCATCGATCTCAAAGCCCTGGCTACCGTAAAGGGGCTGGATGCGGACACATATAAAATACCGCCCGACCAGCCTCAGCCTAGACTCCCAGGCTCGCTAGCCTGCTACTGCCCGGGCATACATTTTCTCAGCATGAGAAATAAAATTTGTAATGCAGTTTTGCCTTGACATAGAAATTTGTAATGTTGCAAGACCTGCATTTATACGAGTACGATACTTTTGCACAGCATAGACGAAAAAAACCGGTTTGAAGTTCGGCGTAGATTCTTGTTGTTGCGATATTACAATGAAAAATGCCCCCACCCCCAAAGTTACAATAATTTGTGATGCAAAGTTTCCAAGTGAAAACTTTTTGTCATGCATGAAAGGACTATAAATCTTTCTGATGCAGAGTCTAGGCGTATATCGCATTGCTTGCATGACAAGCGCCGCTCTTGCTGGCGGGATCTTGCGCAATACAAATTCACGATTGGGAATCTGTGATGCTGATAGATGCAATAGGGTGAGTGTTTCATTTGCAAAGGTTTGCAATACAAATGCTCCCAAGTTCGGCGGTGGGGGCATTTTTCATTGTAATATGCGAATGGTTGTAACTACCTTCGTTATCCTGGGCTAATCCCGCCAACTCGTGGTCTTTGTGCATCCACAGTCGCGTTCGGTACAATCGGTGCTGATAGTAGTGGATGTGGTGCCTCCCCGCGTTTTCGATCCGAGAGATACTCTGACTCGCGATAGAGACGGTGCAGAAAAAGAGAAGACCTGTATTTCATTTTGCTGGATGTTAACACGAAAAAGGATAAATCTCTACGAACTCATGTAAAGGATTTTTGCGCAAGCTAGCAGGAGATCTTCGCTCAACGAGATTGATTCCAATGACAATGTCGGACAGGTTGCCGCAAGACCGCACGAATCTCCGAGTAGATTTTGAGACCACACAACGATAGCCAAAAAATGAAAATCACAGCACACTTGATTTTTTTCTCTATACCGAGCGACAAGATCGCTCCGAGCAGATCGTAAAACTGCCGGCTGTTGCTGGACACGGTATTTCTCTTCGCATATTCCAATATCAGATTCACCGCGTAGCCCGCTGTGTCCGCGCCCACCGAAAACCCGTCCGCCCGCAAAGCGACCGAATGCGCCAAAATCGACACCCAGACCTCCACGATGCAGAGAAACAGGGAAGACCCGACCAGGATCCACAGTACCATCATCTCTCGCGTACTCGCGGTGGAGCAGTTAGCCACCCCCTTCGGACTCAGCATGATCTGCGCGGTGGGTCCGAGCTGGGAAATGAGCGCGGAGTGTTGTTGTTGGAGCAGTTGCTTCTCATCCTTGCTGGAGACAGGTCTGTGGTCATACTCCGTTTTCTGGATGTGTCAGAGTTGAAATCGACAAAGTTTGTCATGCATAAAATGGATGCCAGTTGGAACCCAGTTTCCAAGTAGCGCATGACAAATTTCGGCGGTCCCTAAATCCGGTTTGTCATGCTGCTTAGGCAAAGAAGACCGATTTTCTCATGCTACTTTAGCAGCTCCAGCTGTAACCCCGCCAAACAGGCTTACAATCGGCCTCGCTTGCCTGCTCTGCAACACACGTACCTCGGGTCATGCATTTTACGCATTACAGATTTTTTCAACTTTGACGATTTCAAACCCGACGCTTCCATACGTTTTGTAGGTACCGTAGGTCGTCGTTGTAGCGTCGACTGTATCAACAATGAAAATGTCTGGAAGATTCTGACACTTGTCATGCACGTTTTGCGTGAGCCATGATGTCTGTGATGCATACCCGCCTAGCAATACAGATTTTTTGAGGGCTTCCTGTGCCTATTCCGCATGACAAATGCCTTCTCAGCGTAGCAAAAATTGCATTCTGTTTGCTACTCATGCAAGATAGATTTTTTTGGAATCCAAATACAGCATCACAAGTGGCATTCTTCCAGACCCAGACATGTTTGCATTTCATAGACTGGCCGACCAGGAGAAGTGAACTCCTCCTCGGAGTGTGCAGCCGCGGGTCCTGTGGAGCCCGGCATGATGCTTGCTCCCTGCGAAACAGGCTCAACACAGGAACGGCTCAAAACAAGAAGCGGCTGGAATTTGCTACATGTCTGGTCACTTACAGAAACACCAGCTTTTTACGGATTACATTATCAGTCATACGCGCATCTCAGCAATCACGTTCGATGGATGTTATAAAAAAACCGCCTAACCGAAAAAAGTTGTAAAGAGCGGGAGCAAATGGTTTCGTCCAAGTAGCTTACTGCACGTTCAGTCAGAGACCGCACACATCATGTTCTCGGCTGCTTTAACCACAGTCTGCGAGACGATTTTACTATTGGCGACCCTATACGGATAAACTTTCCACGACCGAGACTATTTTCATGTAACAGGCAGTGCAGGAGCAACTGATAGGCTCGCGGCTTAGTCTGAGAAGTAAGTATCACGATCACCGCGGCCAGATAGTCACAGTGATACGACATTCCCGACGACGACCCACAACGACCTATTGGCTTTACGGCGCATTTATCCAGGCGCGACAGTTGATATAGGCGATTTCCTCTTCTAGGTCTACTATAGAATGCGACAGCGCGACGATAAGGACAGCGACAGACGCACGACTACACACATGAAGATTGCGACACAGTGAGTTTTACAGTGGGTCCTGTTCTTCCGATGTTGCAGTCGGACGAGAAAGCCCCTCCTGACATCAGTAGACGATGGCTGTACCAGTTGTCACAGGTATAAATATGATCAGAGCAACGTGCTGAACACGGAATCATCAAACGTCATTTTCCTTCCAGATTTCTCCTGTTTGCACAGGAGCGGTCTCTTCTTTTTTTTGGCACGGTCTCACATCGTTCTAGCGTAGAAAGTTCAACTTTTCGTTCCGATTCTCACTTGACCTCACAGAAGCTCAACATCTTCGCGCGAAAAGAACTGTCTTGTCGTACACCATCAATGTTGCGAAATGTGATTCGAACTCTCAACAAGAAATCAAACCGCTAAGTACATCAAACATCAATGTAGTCGAGCAACACAGCTGGTTCATCCCCACGACGGTGCAAGAAACCTCTGCGCGGCATGATCTTCCGAGCTGCACCCCAGACAAGCAAGTTCTTGCATATACCAATTTAACGGTACTTTCCGCCGAAGGTGGACTCGCCGGCCTTTTTCTTGGTGTCACCACCGAGCTCGAAGTGCTTGCAGCGCTTGATGGCGATGCAGCGCTTGGCCTTGCACTTGGAGCACTCCAGCTTCAGAGCGATCTTCTTGGTCGTCTTGGCCTTCTTACGGAAGATCGGCTTGGTCTGACCACCGAAACCCTTCTGTTTGGCGGCGTAACGACGGTCACCCTGGGCAAAGCCAGACTTCTTCTGGGTCTTGTACCTGAGGGGGGATTATTTTGCACAATTGAGGATTGTGACGATAATTCTCAAAAAGCATGATGAGAGAATGGTGCTGTCTTGCTCAGCAATAATTCTGCATCCTAGAGAAAAGCCTTGCTTTCCAAAACTTTCTCAGCTACCGCACGCTGCAGTTGTTCAGTTGGTCTTGTACTTGTTGACAGCATCTTTACCACTGCATTAGAGCCAAGTTGTCAGTTCAGAAGCACAAATCTAAAAAATCGTAAATGAAAATCAAATTTCTTACTGGGTGACTTTATGCTTGGTGTGCTTCTTGCACTTGCCGGGGCAGTAGGTGCGGCGCTCCTTCGGGACGTTGACCATTTTGAAGAGGTTTTTTGTGTGCCTTTTCTACGCTGAAAAGAAACGATGCCTAAATCGAGACTTTGTGTGTCCGATTTCCCTGTTGAAGTTTTGGTTATCAGAAAAGGATTGCGAAGTGCAGCTCAGGAAGCGCACCTAACTTAGATATTAGCGCCAGAAGAACATTGAGTTTTAATCAAGAGTGAGGATCTATTTCGTTCACACCACACGGATCTTCGAGTGATTTTCTCAATTCATTTCAATTTAGAGTTCACTTTCCACCAGGTGTCTAGATCCCTATTTCCAAATTTGGACCTAGCGATCTGATTTTCGACTGCGCTCCTAAAGATCTCGGACACAATTTTGCTGGATCTTGAAAGGACTCAACAATCTCCTCCTAAGCAAGAAGAAAATTTTTCTATTGCAGATCCACTTCTTCACAGGACACGATAGCTCCTCCTTCTCACGCTATCAAAATCGCAGCCGTGTATTGCAAAATCTCGGCACGAAAAGGACTTCTTCGCGGATCCGATTTGATCGCGACCATCGTGCATCCGATTTAGATCGACTCTCAAATAAGCAAGAGCCTTTGACATCGAACTCTTTGAAAGACCTCGAGCATGGAAGAACGTCTTTGCTTTGATCAATTCCTCAGATTGGATCTTCAATTGATTTGTAGACCTGAAGGACCGTAATTTTCGCGTAGAGAGGACCGAAACCAGGGAAACTACAACACTACCAGCCTAAAAGAATAGTATCCCCTGCCTTATTTCGGCTCTAGGAGTCCGCGCAAAAGCAAGAACAAGCTAGCCTTCTCGATCGGCCGCCATGCGCCGCGCTGCTGTATTATTCTCGGCAATATGGCACAGTGAATCCAGGTATCTTGCTTGCTGCTGTCAAATCTGTTCATGTGGTGCTTGGATGAAATAAAATCCTCAACTCGTCGTGTGTTCTTGATTCAAAGGTTCTTTTTTGTGAATGCTGGAAAGAAGAAAAAGTTGAACGCACTCTTTATATCCTGTTCGTTCTTGGGATGGTGCTGTAGCCCCTCGGAAGGTTTGCCTGTGTAGCCGTCGACAAGGCAAAACGATGTCTTATACATTAAATTACTTGAGGAATCGCAGTTAGCCTCCTGCGTTGCGATGTATCATTAAAAAGAGGAAAAGGCCGCGCGATGCTTTTGAAAACTAAACCATTCTTGGAACAACTACATGAGAGATAGAACGACCGAGGCGAAAGGACGGTACGTCTATGAAACTTTATACTGGCGTTTAGAGGATTTAGAAAGTTAAAGTTTGTATGTCGCTGTATTTCTCGTCCTTTCACGCAAGAACTTTACCTCGTGAAGATCCCATCTCGATCTCAGCTGTATTCCCAAATAAGTTTATCAACCCCTCGCCCGATAAAAAGAAAACTGTATTTACGATTTTTGTGACATTCACAGGTTTAAAAACTAGTACATCAAGGACATTGTTCTACGTCGCATTTTGACAAAAAATCTTTATCTGCCCTGCTCGCGGAGGATAACCAATAGCTTGTCGCTCGCTTTTTTTAGAGGATGGACCACTTCTAGTCTTCCTCGTCTACCCTGAAGATGACAAGTGGTTTGTTCTTCCTGGTTGTGAAACGAGAAGACTCCTCCTGGGCCACGCGCCTACCTTCCCCCACCTCGCCTTCCTCTTCCCGCCCGCTCACTCTCTCCGCCCGTAGTTCTTTGCCGCTCTCGGTCTCGGTCCCTGTCTCCTGTTTTCTCCCCCTCGCGGTGATCGCGGTGTCTCTCCTCCCTTCGTCCTCGCGTGGTCTCATTGTTCTCGTGGTCCCCGGGGGAGGATGCGTTTTGCCGTCTGCGCTTCGCCTCCGGATAGTTGCTGCCAGCGCGATCTTGATGTTGTTCCCGGTCCTTGTAGCTGTCCTTTTCGTAGGAGTGCTGGCCCTGATAGCTGTCGTAGTTGGCGTTCCTGCGTTCGCGTGATCGCTTTTTCCGCCGCTCGTACTCCTCCGCTTCCTCCCGCCGTTTGGCCTCCAGCTCCTCCTGAGAAGTTTGGCAATTCAATTATGTCAATATAGACGCTGTAATGGACGATCTATTGCCACGAGGACAAATCGAAGTGAAGACCAAGATTTAGATTTTAGTAAAAGTAGTACACACGCAGCTAATCATCTTCACCATCTCAGTCACGTTTTTTCTGGTTCAACAAGATGACAAATCATCGTCACCAACAGTACTGAAATCCAATAAATCCAAACGCTTTATATATTACTCTTCTTTTCCTCTCTTCCGCGTGCTTTTCCTCCGCCGACCCGACGATCGACAGTATTCTGTCCCGACAATGCCTGCAAGATTCGGCGTCTTCCGCGATCAACTGCACTTCTTTCTCGTCCGGCTTTTTCTCCTTGATGTTGTCCGGATCCGTTTCCTTCTCACTAGTGTCCTTATCACCACTACCTCCGCCTATCGGCATGTTATTTGGGTTATCCGGGTCCGCGTCTTTCCCCTTTCCTTTCCTACCGCCCTTAAAACCTCCGGAATTGTAGGATGACTTTGCGTTGTAGTTCCCATCTTTATCTAGAGAATCTTTGATGAAGATCTTCACGCCCATGTCCCTTTCGAGTTCCTTTATGGTCGAACCTTTCGTCCCGATAATCAACCCGACCAGGTCGTTCCTGATCATCATCACATCTTTCGGACCGCGCCAGCTGTTGAAAGTCGCGTTTTTCAGGGAAAGCGGTCGAATATTCTGCGGCCAGATATCGGATTCCGTCCAGGAGTCGCCCTCGTAATCCAGATGGTAGTTGCCGTTGCTGGAAATGCCGGTTATTTTGGCGACGTACCTGTGATGTAATATGTAAGGTTGATATTTAGAAGTATGGATTGCACGTACTTTTTCCTTCGTCACTCAGGGTCGGATCAGGATGACCTCGACGTCAAAATAAACGACCACGGAACAAGTTTCGCAGCACTGAATTCTTCTCGCAGCTACAGTACATAATCTATAGAGGAAAAGCCATTGTATCTCCGACCTATACCGGATTCCCACTAAAATCTGTGACTTTGTCACAGAGGAAACGCGGCTCAAACTGGGTAGAATTTGCTTTAGCGCCAGCTAAAAAAGGAAGGCAATCAGCTATCGATCAAGCCAGAATGCCCGCTGGAATGACGCGTAGAAATATCAAGAGATCTTAGTCTTCTGGTAGAGCGATGACACAGCACGACAGTCGGACGACAGCTCTCATTCCTTCTGATAATTTGGTAAAGCAGGAGGTCGTCGTCGTCGCATGGTCATGGTGTACTATTTACGTATCGAAATAAACCTTTCTGTTGATGTTGAACAAAGCGCACTACTAAAATCAGTATACCATTTCCCCTGTCTCTTGAAATTTCCCTCCACCAAGTCTCCGATGTGGTACTTTCCGTCGTCGAATGGATTTTCCCTTTTCACCGCGCCAAAAGGCCCCTTCTCCCCCTGGTCGTCTTCAAACGGAGACACTTCAAACGGCAGACTGTCTGTGTCCTGCTGACCAACCGCGCTAGATTTTTTTCTTTCTGTTGTTCCGGGGGCGGCTGCTTCCTCGTCATTCGCGCCCTTTTTGTCCATGTCGACGTCATCATCCCCCCTCTCCTTATCGTCCCCGCCCTCGGCATCCGATCCGTCGTTCTTGTCTTTACTCCTTTCCTTCTCATCGTCACTTTCGCTCGCCGACGATGCGGCGTCCTTGCTGTCGCCGAAGGGGCCGCGGGTGAGGGTGAGGCCGGCCTTGGTTGGGCTGGTGCTTCCCGGTGGCGCGGTGCTTGCGGTGGGAATGCGAGGTAGGGCGGATTCCTGATATATGGATAATTGGACAAAAATCAAAATCGATAACCACGTAGTCTTAGCTGTAGGGAGGACGAACGCAGAGGAGGACCAGCAGGGATATAGTGCGCTATTCAATAATTGAATTGACCGCATTTGTGTTGAGGCCAAATTTTGTTGTAGCAACAAGGTGCTGAGAGTCTATCACCAGTAGAAACTACTACACAACAGATTTATCATACCTTGATGGGCTGGGAGATCCACGGATGGGCCTGACTGCAGGCTAAATCCGCGCTCGTGTCCACCGGAATGAGCTGATGCCGGTACTTGTTGGGCTGTTGCGGGTTGTATGCCGGGTGGCCCATCAATAGTTCCCCTGTGTTCCGTCGAAACAGCTCTTCCAAAATTGGTCTGTGCGCAATGGGGACGTCTTTCGCGGAGCGACCAATCGGTGGGATCACTAGGTGGAGGTGGACCTTTGAGGTAGTTTTTAGATTTAGATTCGCTGTGCATTTTCACATGACAAAGTCGACAACTTATGTGAGTGAGTGCATCACAAAGTAAAAGTTTCAACATTGATATTAATGTTTACCTTGAACAAGCAGGCCTGGTTGCTCGCGGACGACAAGCTCATACACATGGGCTCCGGCTTCCCAGCGATGTACAACATCGATAATCTCGTGTCCGCCGCGAAACTCTTTCTCGCCACAATGTGCCACTCGTTGTCCGCCGCGCCCTCCCGCGGGATGTAGATGATCCGCAGCTCTTTCTGCTCAATGTCCATGCAGAAAAGAAAAACTTCGATCGACAGCTCCATGGGGATCGCCCCGTTTTTCGTCGCGTAGGCGGCCGGATTGGGGTTGTTCGTTCTCATGTAAACGGGCCAGATGCGGAACTTCGTCTGCGGTAAGGGCAATCCGTTCGCCGAGCCGAACTGGGAGCGGTCCACCCGCTTCCACTTCTCCCGTGCCGAGTGAATTTCGTACAGTTCCGCGGCGTTGTAGAATTTCTGGCTGGACTTCGCGTTGGCCCTCGAGGCCGCCGGGTTGGTCGACGCGGCGTCGGGCACCGCCTGGACCCGGTCGTGCACGATAGCGTAGGGCTTCCTGGTCGCGGGGCAGTAGAAGATGTGGATTTTATGAGAGTGCATAAGAACTCCCCCTCTCTCTCATTTGTATGGCATGAACAGCAATACAAACACCAGCACACGTGGTGCCTGTGCATGACAAACTTACGCACCCCGCGCAGTACTGTTTGGGCTTCCGCCGGAATCTGTCATGCATAATAGTGACGCAAGGAAGCAATTGAGTTTGGGATTTTGCATGAGAAATGGAGGGGGGTTCTTGTGCACTCTCATAGATTTTCGCGTGCTGCGAGAAGTCCATGGAGTCTTCATTGCCTTCGTCCTGTATGGCGTTGTCAAACGTTACCTTCTCAACGGTTGCATGGATTTGTAATGCAAGAATGGCAAAAGTGCAAGGGTGAAGAGTGCGCCATTTGCATTACAGGCATGGCACAGATTTAGATGCTGCTTAGCCCTTCGGAAGTTTGTCATGCGAAGCAGCTTGATGATGTAGATACTCATGAGAATTCCGCATGCCAAATCATGTTGTGACAGTTGAAAATGTAATGCTTGAGAGCGCCATATCCTGCAGCAGCGCCTGGTAGCAGGTTTCCCACGCCTCGTTCGGGTCCCGGATCTTGTACATGATCAGCTTCTTGTTGGGCCGGTCCAGGCAGGCGAGGTAGGATTTCCCGTCAATGTTGAAGGGTTTGAAGTGGCAGTCCACTATCACACAGAAAAAAGCGGGCAGGGCAGATTTGTAATGCAAACATAAATACGCGGAAAAATCTGTCATGGGCAACGCCATAGCATGCTGTTTCGGAAATGCAAGCCAGATTGCTTTGTCTATTTATTTTTGCATGACAAATCTGACCTGCCAGCTTTTTTCTTTGGGATATCCACCGCGGAGAACAGTTCCACGGGCGGCGCGACCACCGTTTTCCACTGCTCGCAGGGGAGTTTCTCCTCCACCACGCAGAGCTTGATTGCCCCCGTGGTTCGGTGCTGCAAGATGACAAACAACTGGCCTTCCTTGCCCCACCGGAGGGGGTACGCCTTCCAGTTCTCCCCCCCAATGGTGTCGCACCACTGCTGCCAGCGGAGCTCGGAACCGACTAACGCAATATGGAAGCGTCAGGTTTGAAATCGTCAAAGTTGAAATAATTTGTAATGCATAAAATGCGACACAAAAAGTGACTCTATTGCAGAGGACCCACGGGAGGCAGATTATAGTCCTGGTAAGGGTCAAAAGTTGGACTGCTAACTAGCATGACAGAAGGCAGCTCCTTTGCCCTAAATCGCATGACAGACTCGCTTCCAGGACCGGGAAAATTTGTCATGCACCGACTACAAACTGTAGGTCTAACTGGTATCCGTTTTATGCATGGCAAACTATTTCAACTTTGACGATGTCAAACCTGACACATCCATAGGCAACCGCCTCGCAATACTTCTTCGTCACAATCTTGGTTTCGTACTGGGCAGTTCTCTTTTTCCTCTTCTTCGGCTTCTCGGTTTTCGCCTCATCCGGGTTTGCATTGTTCATGTCAACGTCATTCTCGCCGGAGGAATTTTCGTTCTCATCCTCTTGTATCAAGTGGAAAAATGTCCTCAACTCCTAGTCCATCCAACCCCGACTTGTCCGCGCAAATTTATCTGCACGCGGCCTATATCACTGTTTCTCATGCACAGCTGCCTCCTGAGGAGCAGTTTCAAATTCTATCAATCTGGAAGCTCCTCATGCTCATGCTAGAATCAGGAAACCAGACTCTTTGATTTTGATTTACAATGCAGCTGCACTAGCTATTGCTTTCTACAACAACTACCCTGTGAACTGAAACAGCATTTCATGCAAAACTGTATATGCAATCTCAATCCAAATCATGCTGTTAACCACTCGTCTGGGGAACAACTACAAGTGAGGACGTTTTCACCATGGATATCTTCCTCTTCCTCGTCATGATTCCCCGGAATCTCCACTTCCACGGGGAATTCCGTGTCGATCCGCTTGATGAGCAGCGGGATCTTAAACTTCTCATCCAGCATGACCGCACCACCCTGTGGCTGCTGCTGTTGCACTCCGGGCGGCGCACCGATGGGCGGCTGCTGGCCGTAGTGCACATTGTGTGGAGCCCCGGCGCTTCCTGGCGGCGGAACCACGGCAGCTCCCGCCCCGTACTGCTCGTACTGTGGTGGTGGCCCGCCGAGGATGTGCGGTGGTGGTGGTCCGCCGTGGATTATCGTGCTGTGCGGGCCACCGGGCGGGGTGGGGTGGCTGCCCGGAGGAGGCGGGTGACCCTGGATGATCTGCGCTCCGGGCGGGAGTTGGTGTGGGTGCGGGGGATGGTGTATCAAATGCAAATATGTCTGGGTCTGGACGAGTGCAAGACTTCTCATGCAGGTTCAACATTACGCATGGGGACTGGAATGCAGGATCTAGCATGACAGACTCTGTGAGATCTGTATCATGCCTATCCTGCATGACAAACTCACTCCCAACTTGGTCAAAAGAGGACAGCTTTTGGCACTCATGCAACACAAATTTTTTCATGATCCAGATTTAGCACGACAAGCTGCGCCCTTCCAGACCCAAACATTTTTGCATTTGATATGGTGCCCGGGCGGGGGTTGGATCAACTGCCCATGCGGAGGTGGAGGTGGACCTCCAGTATGGCGTTCTCAAACGTTACACTCTCAACTGTTACATGAATTTGTCATGCAAAATTGCCTTCAGAATCGACACGAGCACGACACCATCAAGCTGCTTCGCATGACAAATTCTCAGAGGGCCGAGCAGGCTGATAATGGGTGCCAAATCTGTCATGCAAGACGCGTAAGATCCCCCCTATCACTTTTGCCATTCTTGCATCACAAATTCATGTAACAGTTGAGAATGTAACATTTGAGAACGCCATATCCAGCACCTGGGGGTTGCTGTGGTCCTCCAGGTGGTCCTGCTCCCATATGCGCCGGCGGCGGACCGCCCTGGTGACCGGGCGGTGCGAGCACCTGCGGGGGTCCACCGTGCTGCTGTTGCATCGGCTGCCCATGCGGGTGCTGCTGCTGGACAGGCGGGGGTCCGCCGTGGGGCGGCTGCATTGAACCAGGAGGCTGCTGACCCGGTTGCAGCGGCGGGCCGCCGGGAGCGCCGGGTGGAATGAACACGCCGGAAGGGGGTGGTTGGTGGCTATATGGCTGGTTGCGCGGATCGTCGCGAGGGTCCTGTGTGAAAGAAGTAGTTTTTGATGAATTTGTATTGCGCATGCGACTTCATCTGTGATGCATTTTGTCTTGCTCTTTTCCGTGCATGAAGCTACAGATTTTTCAGACTGACGTGCAAATTCGTTTTTTCCACACCACAAGCTTTGTTCAGCAACTTGAGTATAGATTCGGATTTCGGTCATCATAGGAAACTGAGAGGACGAGCTCCAAGTTTTGGACAGAAAAAGACTTTGAGTTTGACCCCTCCAGTTGCACCACCATGAAAAAGTAAGTGAAAGTTTCTATCTAAGTCTCAGCGATGTCTACTCAACATACCTGAAACGCGTAGGTGAGTTGCTCGAGCCAGATCGGTTTAGCGGCTTCCACCGCGTCAATGGTTGTCCCCGGGTCGCAGCACAACACCAAATGCAATCTCGTGCAGTTGTCCGTGGTGCCGAATCCCTTCATACCCCGCCCGGTCAGAATTGCGCGGTTGCAGCCAACCTTGGACTGGATCTCCTGCATTCGCACCGCCTTTTTCCCCATCAACTTTCCGATCAATTCGTCCTTGTATGTCCCCTCCTTTCCGCGCAAAACCCGCTCGGACTCGGACATGGTACACTGCAACTGGTCCGTCGCGATCTCATCGACGCCGACGTGCAACGGTCGCTCCGACAGCTTCTGCACCGCGGCAAGCGCGTGCTGCTGGTTCGTGAACAGCACGTACGCCATGCCCTTACTTACATCGCCTCTGTCCGGGTTATGAAATCCAGAAATGTCCGGGTCTGGAAGAGTGTGAACCTGTCATGCAGGGTTTCCATGACCCTTGAGGTCTGGAATGCGGGACCTAGCATGACAGAGTCGGCGAAGTCTCTCTCATGCCTATTCTGCATGAGAAACTCCTTCCCAACTTGGTCGAAAGTGGACAGCTTTTGGCACTCATGCAACACAGACCTTTGCATGATTCGTATTTAGCATGACAAGTTGCAATCTTCCAGACCCAGACATTTTTGCAATCCGTATGGGTCCTTCAACAACAAAATCTCCGCGACATCCGAAGCGCCGATGGCGCACAAACACTTCCACAAATATCGAGTGCAAAAGTGTCTGGGTCTGGACGAGTGTAAACTTGTCATGCAGATTTTCCATGGCCCATGAGGTCGGGAATGCGGGGCTTAGCATGACAGACTCTGCGAGGTCTCCTCCATGCCTATCCTGCATGAGAAACTCCCTCCCAGGGCCAGCTTTTGGCACTCATGCAACACAGATTTTTGTATGCTTCAGAATTACCATGACAAGTTACCACCCTCCAGACCCAGACATATTTGCAATTCATAACAAATCCCCCTCCGCGATGTCGGTCCGCATCCCGGACTATCCTGTGCGAAAGTATCGCACTCGTACTAATTGCGTTTATGCATTACCAATCTCTTTGTTAAGGAAAATCTGCATTACAAATTTAATCTGTAATGCTAGGTCAATTTGTAATGCAATTCATACTAGTACGATACTTTTGCAGTTCATACGGACACGAAGACCTCCATCTCCTGCGGGTGGATTTCCAGCACCTGTTTGCGCGGGAACGGCATCTCGTCAATGTAGAGTTTGCGTTTTTCCTCGTTCTGCCGCCGGTTTTTGCCCCCACCGTAGTTATCGTGGTCCTTGTTGTAGTTCTTACCGCCCTTCCGGTCAAACCGGTCGTATTTGCCTTTCCCTTTATGACCACCGGAGTCTTTGTCGTAGTGGCTTTGGTAGTTGTTATTCCCACCTCCGGGTGGTCCTTTGCCGAAGTTATTGTTGTTTTTGTCGTTCATCTGGTTTGGCTGCTGTTGGTCTTGCTGGGGGGACGACGCCGGCTGGGGGAGGTGTTGGTTTAGAAGCTGCTCAACTAAAGATTTGCCCCGTTCCACGGACTCGTGTGTGTTACCCTTGATGATGCAGGTGTACTCTGTTTTGGTTTTCGAAATTTTCTTATGGATAATTCGAATTTTGCATAAACACAACATGATCACGCGGTAGTTCTTGTTTAATGTAAATAAGGGCAAAACAGATATAGAGGTTGCTGCTCACATTGCAGTTCCAGATCCAGTAGCAGTACAGTATAAAAAAATAGCCCTTTATTTTCATGTCGATGACAAGCTACTTCGATGAAAACAATAACAAATCAAGGCAAACATAAAACTCAAAAACCTCTACCATCCGTGTCGGTCCCCACCCGCACGATCGACAGTTCTGCGCCGCTGTCTTCCCCCAACTTCCGGATCGTGACGCTGTCTTCGCCGATAATCAGGTGCATTTATGCATTGCAAATATGTCTGGGTCTGGAAATAAAGTGTAACTTGTATTGCGTGTCCAGGATTCCACGAAAATCTGTGTTGCATAGAAGCAAGAAAAGCGCCACAATTTCGGCATGAAAGAACGCAGTTTGTAATGCGCACTAAGCATGAGCAAACGTCAGAAAAATTTGTCATGCTACCCTCCTCTTGCAGGCGCAGTCACTCATGACCATTCAGCATTACAAGTTTCCAGACCACCCAGACATATTTTTATTTGCTTTCCATAGCATTTGCTGTTCGTTTATCGGGAAATGGCAGACGAACATGCCGTCCTCCTCCTGCTGGAAGATGGCGTTATGGATTGCAAATATGTCTGGGTCTGGAAGATTGCAACTTGTCATGCTAAATCCGAATCATGCAAAGATCTGTGTTGCATGAGTGCCAAAAGCTGCCCACTTTCGACCAAGCTGGGAGGGAATTTCTTATGCAGGATAGGCATGACAGAGACCTCGCGGAGTCTGTCATGCTAGGTCCCGCATTCCAGACCTCATGGGCCATGGAAAATCTGCATGACAAGTTTTCACTCTTCCAGACCCAGACATTTTTGCATTTGATACGCGTGCTGTTCCTGCATAATCGCCGCCGCCGTGCGGTCCATGGCACTAGACTGTTGTTGGTTTTGTTCGTTCATTTGCTGCTCCTTTCGCTTCTGTTCAACCACCGGTCGCAAAACCTCGTCCATCGCCGCGATGCCCCGCTCGATGTAGCTCATGTCGGAGGCCTCGAACACCACAATCTGGCTGACTCCCGGCTTCCCGCGTGCTTTGTCCACCTCAATGCGGCACCCAGATTCCGCTTGTAGCCGCCGAATGGTCTCGCCCTTGCTGCCAATCACCAAGCCAACCACGTCGGTGGGAACCTCTCGTTCGTGGCGGATAAGCTGCTGCACTTGCTGCTGCTGCTCTGGAGGGGGTGCTAGTACAACGCCGTTTGGCGCCGATCCCGGATGTTGCGGAGCCGCGGCAACTGCTCCTTGTAGTGGCTGGCCCGTCGCGGGGTCGACCGCAGCTACCGGGCTTCCTTGGGGGGGAGTGCCCTGCGGCGACCCTTGTGGCGGTGGATACTCGTGGCTGCCTTGCGGCGCGAGGGGCTGGTAGTTCGGGTTGCTGTCGTAGCTGCCTTTGTGGTCCTTCTTTCCTTTCTTCCCCTTGCCCTTAGCCACTGTTTTGTTTTTCATAGAGGGGAAAACATTTTTCCGAATGGAAAACTTGTACTAGTACCAACTGAACTAGACTCCATACCACAAAACCCTCGAATCATGTCCTCCTGAGTACCACAACACGTGGATGCACTCACGTTGCCGTCTGTGTTGATTCTCAGCGCCAATAAATTATCCAAAACTACTAAATAATCAATACTTCTGTTTGCCGCCTCGACTAAGATCTCTTCCACGGTCTGTTTTGCCCTCGCGACGTTTGCTGGTTCGCCGGTGATCTGCACAGCCCGGCTCGCCACCGGGTCCTCCTGGCCGTCCAGTAACCCGATTTCGATCTCGCACCCGGATTCCTGCTTCACCCGCGCGATGGTCTCCCCTTGTCTGCCGATCAGCATGCCGATCGTCTCGGCCGCCGTGATTATTATCTCTGAGCCCTCCCTCGGGGTCAGAACCTTGTCCCCCCACTTGTTTTCGCCGCCCTTCGGTCGCCACTCCTTGTTGCCGTACTTGCCGTGGTCCTTTCCACCGTACCAGTCCTTTCCACCGTACCCGTATTTGTCGTGGCCAGAACCCTTGTAGCTGTGCTTCCCGCCTTTGCCATAGTAGCCGCCTTTGTTATCATGGTATGAACCACTGTTGTTGTTGTTCCCATCAGCACTGTTGCCGGCGCGGTTCGCCATCTCAGTTCGAACCATGTCGTCAATGATCTTTTTGGCGTGCGCAACCTGGTTTGGATTCGATTGTTTCCACAGAAGTTTGGATTCTAGTTCTATGGTCAACATGTAGAAATACAAGTAAACGTAGACCGACTCTGGCGAAGTTTTGCTGCAGGCTTGTCCTACGAGCGTCATGAAACTTTCTTCACCGCCGCCCATGTTCAAACGAGCACGAGGGTACGGAGAATCAGAACTGCATTCACAACGATGCAGGAACGAAAATATTATTCGAAGTAAAGTTGGAACTCTATCCAAGAAGTAAGTAACAGTAAGTACTTCTACTTAAGTACCTGTTCCGGCGTTCCATCGAGCACGGAGACCTGTTTCTGGTCGCCGACTAAGTTTTGATTTTGATCCTTTGCTATGTCGAGTTTCGCGCCCGTCTCATTGCATATCCGGTTAATCGTTTCTCCCCGCTTTCCGACAATCAGGCCTGCAGTTGGTTTTTTGGAGGAAAAAAATGTCTATTTTTCAATGCAATTTCTCCCTGTCGTTTATTCGGCTCCTGGTGCTGCGATTGGTGAAACTTCTTGCCTTGTTTTGGGTGAATGATGAGAGGTGAAGATAGGAGGGAGTGTTGCTGGCCAACAAGCGACTTCAAAATGTCTACGGATCTTTTTAACCACGTGATGTAGATCATCGTAACATAGGCATTTAGATTTACTGCACCATCAAATATAGAATGACGACGACGCGAAAGAGCACGACAACAGATTTCAGTTTGACCGAGAGCGAAGCCGAAGGCGAGACGAAACACAAATTTTTGCCAGAAGCACTACGCGACCGATGAACTTTACGACAATTTCGCATCAAGTGCTGCAGCCGTAGCCGCAGGGTCGCCACAAAACGACAAGAATGCGCCAAGTATTGAATAATCCCGACGAGGAGCGGTCGTTTGAGGTTTGTGTACCACCCCACACAGCTCCTGAACGGGCGCACACTTCAGCAGCCGTTCTGGTAAGGTTAAGAAACAAAAATAATCCCACGACGCGAAAGATCCGAGTTATATTTTGAAAAAGGAACGGATCACGAGGATCTCTTCAGATTTATGTAGATGCTTAATATTTGCGAGCAGCGCCGCTGTCTTGCCCATGTTTCGCCGTCCGCCGCTCCGCTGTTGTCAAAATTTGTGGGCAAGTAGATGCTGGCTTCATGCTGCGATGAGCTGATAACTCTCTGTCTGATAAAAGTCAAGCGCATATGTTCGTTCTTGTCCATCCAAGAAAGGCGTGTGATTCCAAACGTCCATAAGCATTCTTTCTTCCATCATACAGTGCAGCAAATCAGCACGGGCATTGCATCGATCCTGTTCCATTTCAAGTTCTGTTCCTGTTCCCCCATGACAACGCAATGTCTCAAAACCAGAAGTGTGTTCATCTTCATCTCTTTATTCGCATGAAAAATCAGGAGCAGCATAGTTTCAGTCAGTTTTCTCGCAAGAGTCACGCAGGTTGCCATCAGCTGCTTTCACATTCGCCACCAACAGTGCATGGTGTATTCAACACATTGGAAAGGACAAAAATGCTGGTTGCAAAAGGCAAATTTTGTGGTGCCGCCCGCAATAAGGAATTTCGTAAAAAGGACTCAACAAACTTCTTGTTTCGTTTTTTGGAATACAAATTTATCTGTAGAATGGGGATCACGATCAGATTTTATTTTTTGCGCGCTAAATTAAAATTGTCATTTTTCGCGGACCAACACGATTCGCCCTCACTTTCACATCAACAAACAGAGGCAGAAAAGCTTCCCAACCAGCCGCGCCATCGACCGCTACTTATCAGTGGGTCCGAAGAAGTTGATGTGCCTTAGGGAAGAAAAAAGAATTGCATTGCTCAGTATAGATGCGAAACATCGAATCATGAAGTCATCACGAGCATTGGAACAAAGAGTTCTACAACTTCTACTTCAAGAACCAGTTTAACATTCCAAGAATCTATCGTATTTTTATACCTGCCATGCTTGCCGGGATCAAAATCGGGCTGGGCATGCCCGCCTCTCCACTCGCGGGCATTAAATTGCTGTACGGCGCCATTGTTGCACTTCCGCCAACAGTCGCTGCCGTTGGTGCTGCGGCTGCTGAACCTGCAGCGGCTTGCTGTCCCTGTCCACCCGCTACCTGTCCCGCTGCGGCTCCTGGGGCAGCTGCACCAGCGCCACCTTCTGCCGCCCCCCCTTGAAGACCACCCGCAGCCGGACCTCCTGCAAAGGGCGTTGGCGGTGGTGGGTAGGCGATTCCGAAGGCTTGGAGATTTTGGATCATCGTCTGGGTCGCGTATTTCGGGACGTGATTGGAGTTTTCGTTGATCTGATTTGCGTTGTTCACGTCCACAATGGGGACCACGGGTAGGACATTCCCGCTGCTGTCGCACAGGAGTTCATCCCCAACGGGGACATTCCCGGGTTCGTAAAACACGCAGTAATCGCCGGAATAGTGGCCGTCGTCCTGGGATTTCGGCCGGCGAAAGGCAACCATCCCGTGCTGCGGAACCAGGCAGAGGGGAGCGCCCTTGCCGAGTTTGTGCTCGTTGACATAGGTCCCGAAAGTCGCATTGTCCTTCACAAACAGGTGCTTCTTCAAAGCGTTGTTCTGGGACGGAGACCTGTAGTGATGATGTTGGGTGCGATTTGTGATAGTACTACGTGGATATCGAGGTCTACACTAGTGTTGTCGTTGTGTGATACGCGATATCCAAAACATTCTGAATTTCATTCAGATGAACAACATGAAAATTATGCGACTACTTGATGCATTAGCAGTGTGGCATGAGCATGACCATAACGAAAAAACTTGTACAAAATAACTACCTTGTAAAGTGCAACTCCAAGCTGCAATGCTGCTTCGAAATGGTTTTATCCTCTGCATGAAGGGTGTTTTCTGCTGTTCTGCCGACGGTGACTGGTGGCGCGCCATCCCGTACCTGAAAGTCAGGCAGCAGCGCGTCAAGCGCATACGGCTGCTTGACCAGCCGGCAGACGACCGCCATAGTACCTCCTGCTGATGTTCTCTTTTCTTGCTTTCGATTCGATCAGACAAAATGATCGACGTAGATCAGAAAGCAAGAGAGGGAAAGATACGCAGTAGTACCATGGTGTTCTTTCGTACAACCAAATCGAAGAAGATTCGTGGCAGCGGCAATCAACAAGACTACTAGTTGTACACTTGGCGTATAGATACTTCTGTTACTTTTGCACTAGTTCAAAATTGTCAATCTTAATTGATACTCCAAGATGATGTTGAATATACGATCGAAACAGTCGCTATGTTCGCCTACTTGTTGGCACGAAATGGGAAACAAAAATCTTTAGCCGAGATGAAAAAGGTTGCTTTGGGCGGGAAAGAAAAGGGACGATCTAAAAAAGGTTGCTAGTATGTGAAAAGGTCCGCTGTGAATTTGATGTGAAAAAAGGTACAAAATCTTGTCTTCTGGAATCAATTTGATGATAAAAAAGGTCCGCTGATCTTTCCTTCTAAATGTGAAACGCGCGGTCGCGACCACACGATCATAGATGATACCGCGTGTAGCAGTTTTTCGTGCGTTGTCTCGAAAAAGAAGCTTGAAAATCATGGATCGTGAGAGAGCATTCAAAAAGGTCGTTCAAAATTTTGCTGCGACATCAAATAAGCCATCTCGGGCACTCTTTATTGCGACCATCTTCAATCGGAACAATATAAATTATTTAACGCGCTAAGAAACTTCTCATTTTGGGAACACGGTTTTGCTGCACGACTTCAGGCATTTTTGAATTTCTTTTTGCTGGTATAAGTCCTTCCCTAGGCCACACGACCATCAAGGGGGGCGTGTCAGTGTAATTTGGAGAAGAGTTTGCATTTCGATCACACAGGTGCTGGTAGTTGCAATGTTTATGCTAGTCCACCAGAACTGCTTAATAGAGATAGACCACCCTTCTATAATTCACTTAGATCAAAACTTTCCGAACTGGGACCAATGCTGTGCCTGGGAGTGCCAGCCGTGATCTCTTTCCTTTTGTGTCCTTTGTTTTTCCTCTACATTTTCTTTCGCTCGATCTAAAAGTGCTAGTTTGCTGTCCATTGCATTTTGTGCATCAACAGTCGCAGCTGTCAGGCGAGTTGTTGTACTATAGCTCATCTGCGCATTTGTAATTGTTCCCGCCACACCGCCCGCCCAGACGAACTCAACTTTGCAATTCACATCTTCTGGCATCGAGCCTAAGCACGCTGACAAAACCGGCCGTATCTCGCTCTTGCCTACATGGTAGAAGGAGAATTCGTAACGCCAGTCGTGGAAAACATAGTTCCGAATTGACGTCTTGTACCGAAACGGCGCGCGAAGGTAGGTAATGCGCCAAGCTCTCCTTTGGAGCCGGCGCGGGCGGTAGCAGAGAAGTTTTGAACGATTTTGGAGATTCTGGTGATCCTCTACTTCAGGCGTAGCGGTGTCATCGCTTTGATGGGGTTGTTGACTTTGGAAGCAGGCGGAAGAGGGATCTTCAGAATTGGCGTTCTTTGCTCCAGAAGATCCTGAGTTCTTTTCGTGCACTCCATGTAGAAGTGCCTCGTCCCCCCGTTGGCTCGGTGTTCTCGAATGATTCTCATCTTGTAGCGCGCCTGACGAAGATGAAGTAGAATGGGCAGCAGAGCTCCTAGTACTGCCGCTGTTACTACTGCTGCTGCTGGACGACGATGGCGCTGTACTACAGTCCCCAGCGCTGGCCAGAAAAGGCGGTGGTAGAGTACCACTAGACACACCTACAGCATTCGGATTCATGTAGTCCCGCAAGCCCAGCCCGCTGGACACAGGTGCAGCCACTTTGGAAGTCGCGTAGTAGGGGTGCAGAGTGTTTGACAAATTGTTCACGCATTGCTGCAACCGCGGGCGCAGTTTAGAAACGAATGTCACGCGGAGCTTGTACAGCTGGTAAAAATCCGCCATGATTTTTGTGTGCTTAAACGCTGCTACTAACGGGAAAGCAGAAGAGATGCAAGCCAAAACAGCACGGTGTAGAGAGCCAACGAAGTGGAAGATAATATCTCCTGACAGACTGCCAATCAATTCTTGAAGACGAAACTGTATTAACTGAACTACAAAAGAAAAAGAAAGTACTACTGAAAAAAAGACACTAAAACGACCTCTCTCTCAGCGGCTGATGGGAAGACGAAACGACACGCGAACAGGTCAACCGCGGCGAACGAGGAAAAGCCGAATTTGGATTCATTCGCGGCTCAAAGCACGGCGGAGGTGCAGTGACGACGAGAAGTGGCTCTTCTGCGTCAACGACATGCTCGTAAATTTATCAGTACACAGTTGCACATTCAATATTATGCGTAGTAACACTACATGTGATGCGTAGTTAGGTCGTTTGGGATTATCATGCGCGTTTTGGTTCATCATGCCATGTCCCGAAAATTACTAAAAGCGGCCAAGGAAGGTGAAACTCATTTATTAAATGAAAATCTGCGATGCGAGAACTCAAAAAAGCTTAAGCGAAAAGAAGTAAAAAAAACAAATACAAAGCTTGACTTTTTACTTCGGTGAGAGTGGTTCTTCCGGTCCAAAACTGGCAACTTTTCCTCCGATACAGTTTTCATTTATCAATCGATTGTGCTGGCGCGGGTAGTAAAAGTACTTAACACGTGTGTGGTCATAATTCGTATTCTGCAAGCGCCCTGATTGTAGTGGCTAATAGCAATTGCATTTGCAATGAAGAGCCGGGAGCGTAGAAAATCAGTCTCATGGCACACGACCCGCACGAGAGCAGCCAGGATAAAAATGTACAACTGCGGGCCGGGAGTAGTAAAGTCATCTGTCGCTTGTTACATACTTACTAGGATGGGTATACAAGAAATTTCGTGGTCTTTATGTGTCTTCGTCATTCAAAATTACCTTCAATTCGACAGAACGAGACCGTCCTATTTCACTTATAATACCTGATGCCTCACTCCTAATCAACTCGTGTGAATGAAGCAGGCGTCCACCAAGTAGACGGCGTACAGGCCGAAAAAGAGGTATCCCATCCACGGTTGTAGCCCGTAGTCATTCCCGACCGCGAGCATCACCAGTAGCAACCACGTGCCCCCCATCCACACGACGCCGTCCATGATCCCTGGCGTGGCCATGGGGATGGCGTTATTCTCCGCGAAAAAAGTTTTCACGACCCAGGGCAGCGCCAGTGCGAGGAATATGCATTGCAAAAGTATCGTACTAGTAGAAATCGCATTACAAATTCGGTCAGCATGACAAATGAAATTTGTCATGCTGTTTTACCTTGGTATGGAGATTTGTAATGCATGACTGCGATTACTACGAGTACGATACTTTTGCACAGGATAAGGAACACGTTCTGCACATTCGACCCGAGGGCGTTCGCCACCGCCATATATTACAATGAAAAATGCCCCCTCCCCATATCAAAACGGAAATCTGTGATGCAGATTTGTGGTCACAAATCAGCTTTGTGATGCTAGAAGGGAAGAAATGCGGATTGTAGTGCTGGCTGGCGCAGGGACGCCTTGCGTCTTCAGCATGACAGGAAGCAACTGGAAACGGGAAATAGCATGACAAATTGCCTCCAAACTAGGGAGCAACTGCGTCTCTTGGCCTTCTAGCAATACACAACGATTTGTGTACTCAAATACAGCAACACAAATTTCGTTTGTGATATGGGGATGGGGGATTTTTCCTTTTGATACCATAGAACTCTTGCCCTCTTTTGCCGTGATGTAGCTCGCCCAGAGATTCGGAAACGAGGTGCCCGCGGCGCAGAGCGTCACACCCAGAATGGCCTGGGTGATGTGGAATTGGATGTTGATGATGTCCGCGACCGTGACCATGACATAGGAAAACACCGCGAGCCAGCACATGGAGATGGTGAAGGCAACGAGCCAAAGGGGCTTGGTCTTCGGGTTTTTCGGGTCACACCACCGCATCGTGGATTCAAGGAGAAAGTTCACGGGGAGGGCTGTTTTATGTTTTGTCGCGTCATAATTTTCTTCATCATACGCAAGGCAAGTTTCGGTTTCGCATTCGCCGAACTGATAATTACAACTGCGGCTTGTGCAACACGGATTTCAAAAATGCATCTTGTACCACCTGTGCGTAGGATTTAACTTGGCGTAAAATATAATGAAATTATAATTATTGCTCAGAGATTTACTTTTCATTACCTGCCGCCAGGTACACTTTCTGCGAAGTCGGCACCCCGGCACTGCAGATTTGCGACACCGTCCCCGTGACCGAGAACTTTGGTGAGGACAAGTGTTGCTGCGTTCTTTTATCCCGCGCTTTTTCCATCAGATCCAACACCTGGCCCAAAACGGCTTCGGAGGAGAAGCTGACAAAATAGGAGATTGAGTCATCGTTTTTGTCCCGGAAGCTGATCTGCGTCGGACCCTCGAGTTGTGTTGTGCAGAGAGTGTCGCGGAAGTAAAGTTTTCTGTTCTGCGGCTTGGTAAAATTATTTGCGGCTGTTCTGGTAGTGGTTGTTGAAGAAGATGTTCCTTTGCACGGCGAGGCATAATTATTCAATATCGAAGCATCCTTCGTCTTGATGTTCTTCGTGGTTCCGCACTTCATCTTGTTCGAAGTAAACAAATCGTTGTCGCCATGACAGCTGTCCTTCGCTGTAGTGGACCTATCCGACATGTCCTCGCTACTGGTCAACAAAGGCGCCGCTAGCCCCGCGGAGGAAAGCGCATTCAGTGTGGCGGCCGACACTGTTTGATTCAGAATAGTGAAATTCGGATTTTAGTTCTCAATATGATGGTCAGCACCCACTACCATTGCACGACACGTTCCCTGCCATAATGCGCGTCATATCTTTAGCATTGTAAAAAATGAAAATCAAAATCAATCCGTCGCTATAGATACCTTCCTTCTGTCCCCTGCCTGGAGCGCAGCAAGGCGAGCTGCTTTTATTCGCGCCCGTCATCTCGACCGCGCAAGACAAGGCACCACTGCCGATTAAACTGCTCGAGCCCGAGGCTTTATTTCCGCCAGCTCTTGTGTAATTATTTTCGAAAACATCAAGCCCCTCCGCGACAAAGTAGCTTGCGTGGATCTCCAGCTTGTGACTTCTGGCGGTGGTCCGGCCCTCCAGTTGCGAAGTTCTCTGCACACTGATGGTCGCTTTCTCGTCCATCGGGACGAACGGGCAGTCAGAAGACCACTCGAGATCTAGTATTGTTGGGATTCAGAAGATTTGTGTCGGAGGTTGGATTTGGAACATACATCGATATTTATCTTGTTCAAGACCACTATGCAATCTGAAACTGAAATTTTCCTTTTCACGACCACCGGATGAGAAAATTATACAGCTTAAGACTGTTTATAAGAAAATCCAAATACCTTCCTCATCTCCGCCTGTGTTGATGCCCGCGACCCCCTCTTCGCCCGAGCTACAAATAAACCCGTTTTTCTCGCCACTCCTTACTCCAAAATACACCAAAACCCGGTTTGTGTACCCGACCGCGCAGCCGAAGAACCCCGCGAAGGTGAGCAGGACCAGAGACTCGTATGGATTGCAAATATGTCTGGGTCTGGAAACTTGTAATGCTGAATGGTCATGATTGACTGTGCCCTTAAGTTGTGCAGTGCAGCATGACAAATCTTTCAAACGCTCTGTCATGCGCAAGACGCATTACAAACTGCGTTTTTGCATGACGAAAGTGTGGTGCATTATTTGCTGCATAATACAGGTTTTTTAGGAATGCGAAACACGCAATACAGGCTCAACCTTTCCAGATCCGGACATATTTGCAGTTGATAACTCGTACAGTGTGACCACCCCATCTTGCAAAACCCAGTACAGCAGTCCAATCGACAGCAGGTAGAAAAAGCAGTCCCGCAAGAAGGGCCACTTGTCCACAATTAAAGGAAGTTTTGGCGAGGCGAGGATGCTGATCCCGATGATCAAAAGCAGGTTGAAAATTTCCGATCCCACAATCGTGCCGACACCCACATCTGAGTGCGTCACAAACAGCGCAATCGCGTTGGTGAACAGCTCCGGCCCGTTGCAGCCCAGCGCCATCAAGGTCGCGCCCGCCACGTCTTCCGGAATGCCGTACTTCTCGCACACCACCTCGATCGCGGGCACAAACCACTCGTCGCACACGGTGGCCTGGGCAAAGAACATGTAGGCGATGAGCACCCACCAGAACCAGCGAGCGAAGTAGAGAAAAGAGCCGAATTCCGGGGGCGGGTGCAACTCGGAGGGGTCGATGGGGGAGGAGGGCTTGGTTGTAGAAGATTTTTGCGCTGTTTCAAGTTGTCGCACTGCATCGTCACCTACTGTGTCTTGATCCTGTTCATCCGTTTTATGGGCCACCACAAGCTTCTGGTCGTGGTTCTTCATTTGTGACTCATCGTCATGATCTCTATTGCCCTGCAGGATGCGGTTGCTCTTAATATCTTGTACCGATGTTGCGCTCCTTGCTGCTGGTTTTGTTTCTGCCGGTGCTACGATTCGCGTGTGTTTTCCTTCCTCTTCCGAAGATGCGACCTCTTGTCGTGGGAACACGGCTTGGTGACTGTCTTGATGCTCGGATGTACCTGCAGATGCAGTAGTAGCTCCCGGTAGTACTGCTGGTGCTGTACTTGAAGACACTTGCAACAGAGACGACGCAGGTGTAGCATCATCTTCCACTGTAGGTGTTTCTTGGTAGTGATTTGGACCAACTTTTTATCGGCCAAGAAAATCGAAAAAAAATCCGGTGGCGCGGCGAAACTGTAGAGGCCAGAGCCAACCAACGTAACAAGGGGGGCGATTCCCGATTCCCGAATTTTGCATTGCTCAAAATCGATTTTGCATTCCCGCAGACGCGGATTGCACAAAATCGATTTTGCATTGCACGAAACCGAATCCCGCAAAATCGATTTTGCATTGCACAAAATCGATTTTGTATTGCACAGCATCGATTTAGATTTTGCGTTGCACAAAACCGAATCCCGATTTTGCAGTGCACAAAATCGATTTTGCATTGCACAAAACCGAAAGCAGCAAAATCGATCTTGCATTGCACAGAAACGATTTTGCATTGCACAAGATCGATTTTGCATTGCACAAAACCGAATCCCGATTTTGCATTGCACAAAATGGATTCTGCATTCCCGCAGACGCGGATTGCACAAAATCGATTTTGCATTGCACAAAGCCGGCTTTTGTGTTGGTAGAATCGATTTTGCGACCACGCGCGGATTGTGTGGCCCCGCCCGAGGATAGGGCATCTTCGAAAAGCGTGCCCGAAGGGTGCGCACAAAATCGAATCTGTCCGCGGGTACTCACAAAATCGATTTTGTGAGCACCGCCCGCCGGGCGGAACATGACAACCCGGCGCCCCCAACCCGACTGCGGGAATCTTTCTGGCAGCCCGGGCGCTCCAGGGTGGGGCCTAACGCCTCAGGACACCGGCAAAAACTGCCGTGAGACCGAGTTGACGCGTTCTCGAGCTTCGAGAACGCGGGCAACCGACTTCGTTTCGCGCTACTTTGCTTCGCTTGTGGACGTTAGCAGCCGCGGCACAAAGTCGATTTTTTGCGGCGTGCCTGGATTTTTTGCGGATTTTTTTCCGATTTTCTTAACATTTTTGAATCTGCATCTTCATCTTCCACTGTAGGTGTTACTTGTTCTGCGGCAGGTGCGGCAATAGCCTCTGCTGTACTCCTTCTCGATGTTCCAACAGACGGCGGCACCACAGCGGCGGCGGCAACCCCCGGGTATAGGAAAAATTTGCCATGCTGCTGCGCCTCCAAAAGGAGAGTCGACAGCACGCCGACAATTCTCCGGGGTAGCCTGTTGACTCCCATTTTTGTATAGTCCTGTCGTTATTTTTTGCTACAGAAATATATATTAAACCAATATTTCTTTCAGCAGTAAACAAAATATCACACTTTAGCGGGCGCCGGCTTGTAGTCCTACTAGACTTTGTCGAAGTCTACACGAGATCTCTACTTGAAGAAGCAAATCCAAACGGTTATGCTTATGATCGTCTAACTTCAATAACTTCAGATCGTACTAGGAACAATTTTCTCGCCGGGTGAAACTGCTGTGCTAGTGCTATTCAGTGCAGCGAAATAAGGGTTGTATCGGATATAAAAGACAAGTAGCATTTCGAATTCGGTTTCGAAAGAAGATCTACTAGATCTCCAGATCATGTGCATGATCGGAAATGAATGCTAAAACAAGTTGGACGGGTGCGGCACATCGATATAATTAGCAGGCCGCCCTTTTTTATCTCTACTAGAAGACGCTTAGAACAGCTGCGTGAGCGTGAGTCCTCTTATTGTATTCTGGACGTCAGCAAGAGTAGATTTCTGATCGCTTGTGAACAAGTGACAAACTGAATAAGTAAGTGGATCAACTTCATCACTGCAAGAGCAAGATGAGGACACCAGCTTAGATCACCAGGGCGGCTGCTGCACGTGCAGCGATTGACATCCCGACATGTTTCAAGATCATTCACAAGAACATTTTTTTGACATTGAGGCGTTGCGCTTCGCTTCGCTTCTATAGGGGTGTCTATCTCCTGCCCCGCGACGCAGACTCGCAACTGAAGTCACGCACTCGCAACTCCAGCAACGGCGGGAAAATGGTAGAGCATGTTTGTTTGTTCAAAATTTCTTCGTTTTTCAGCAGACAACAGAACCCGAGGAAGACCTGGCCCTGGGAGACCTTACCTAAACCTCTTCAGATTTTTTGACTTCATCACTTCCTTGCGCCTACCAATAAACACATCTTCCGGATCATGAGTGTCTCTTTCCAACCGCCTTCTTCTTGTTCTCCGTTCGTACAAGACTGAGTTGCGGCTTTGACCTCCACCTCCTTTGCGTCATCGCGTGACAAGGACAACATCAAGCGCTATACTTTCATCTCCTTCTACGCCGAATGCGAAAGGAAGGGCACCCGCTTGACAGATTCGGGTCCGTCCAGCTTGTAGCGCACCAAGACCGGGTGGATAAGCTCTGCCATCGCAGCAGCTGTCTGGTGCTCGTCAGTGGCCTGCTGGTATCAAATGCAAATATGTCTGGGTCTGGAAACTTGTGATGCAAGGAAGGGAATAGTGAGCTCCCTGGAATGCGCTCCACAGCATGACAAGTTTTTTTCATGGTTCTGAGTTGCGTATTCCGCATGAGAAGCTGCGTTTTTGCATGACTGGGAGAAGGAGCTCTTTGCGGCCACGCAATACAGAGTTCAGAGTCATGCCAGATTAGCATGACAAATCTCGCACTTATCTCGCAGACCCAGACATTTTTGCATTTGATAGCTGGGGGAGCTTGCGCAGCTCCTCCATGCCGTGCGAGTCCGAGTCGAAAAAGTGCACAGAGCACGACGCATCGCACTGACTCCTCAAGTAACGGGGCACCACGTAGAAGGCCCATTTGTCCTCTGGCAGCGATGGTTCGATGTCGTGATGCCAAAGCAAAGTGCTGGGGAAGGCAGCTTTTTCATCCCTTGGTTTACTAACGAACCAGTCGACCAATTCAAGCGGGTCCGCTGCTGGAGTCGAGCTGCGCGTCATCTCTCGTAAAAGCGCGGTTGGTCCGGGTCCCGCTTCGGAGTCATACCTGGTTATGTAGGGATCGAGGTTTTCATCTTGCGCGTCGTCGGAGGGCAATGTACTAGCTCCGTCGGTGGGGTCGAAGTCGCGCAAGTCTACATTCGCATCGAGTGGCGGGGACAGCAGCTCATCATCGTCGGCATCGGAGTGATCTGATGTCGCCGCTTGGATGCGTTCCATCCAAGGAAGAAGGTCAAGGTAGTCCAGGTGGTACGCCGCGTTGCGCCAGAATAACCGCAGCTTCGGACTTTTCTGCACACCCCGCCGCAGATCCCACAACGAGTTCCAGGGGACATAGTAGCGGTAGCCGCGGTAACGGGCAGATTCCCTAGTGACGTTCAGAAACGAAAACAATTCTTCGAACCAGGTCAAGTATTCTGTAAAGTTCTTCCCCGTTATGTTGTAGTTCTCGGTCGCGTTTTGAAGAAGAAACTCGTTAGAAGTTGCGCCGTCTCTGACAGAGACAGAAGAGGACGAAAAGGGTGGCTCCTTCGCCGGTGACGAGTTTATTTCATTTTGCTTCGCCGAAAAATCTTCTGTCAAAGGTTTGTTCTGTGTGACGTTCAGCAAGACACACTGACACGCCAGAAGGTCGCCATCCTTTATCCGGACCCGCAACTCGTTTCCCCGCCACCCCATGACTTTCAAGGGCCGCCACAGCTTCAAGTAATTAGTTTCATGCTCACCGTAGAACAGGTATCTTTATCAAATGCAAAAATGTCATCTGCTGGGTCCGGAAGATTCTGAGACTTGTCATGCACGGTTTGCATGAGCCATGATCGATCTGTGACGCATGCCCTAGCATCACAGGTTTTTTGAGGGATTCTTGATGCCTATTCCGCATGACAAATGCCCTCTCCGCGTAGCAAAAATTAGATTCCTCTTGCTGCTCATGCAACACAAATTTTTTAGATATCCAAATGCAGCATCACAAGTTGCATTCTTCCACACCCAGACGTTTTTGCAATCCATAATCTTGCCGTTCTGCGCACGCTATCCGTCGTTTTCCGCACGCTATCTGTCGTGTCACGCAAGGTGTCTGGCAAATTCACCATCCAGCTCGGCAGCAGGGACAAAACACCAGATGAAGAGATTTCTTCTTCCTGTTTTTCGCTCTTTGCTCCCAAATCAGCAGACGGAGGCTCCGTCCTCGTCGAACCAGACGTCGAGCCAGATGATGCAGAAACAGCCATGTCCGCGCTTTTCGCCGGCGCCTTCGCCCTACTACTAACCCTGCGCTGACTACGACGCCCGCGAAGATTTGTTTGCGTCGCCGGCTTTTTATTTTTACCTGTAGAGATTTCTGCTTTCACTTGTAGTCCGCCTTGAGGATGGAGGACATCTTCATCTGCTGGGCGCAAGAGCTCATCAAATAAACCTCCTTGCTCGTCCTGCTCATCTCCCGCCGGCGCCGCGCCAGCCGGTTTCACTTCCATTGTCGTTAGGATGAAACTCGATCCAGAAGATGTTGATCCGAGTTGTCTACTTCTTGAATGATCCTTAGCATCCACCGTCGGAGCATGATGACCACCCGCGAAGTTCTTGATTTCCGTACCATCCAGTTCTTGAACTTGTTGATCTTGGTTCGGTGCAAGGACCACGAGAGCCTCCTCTTTGATGTCAACATCGCGGTCCTCCTCACGACTGGTACTAGATCCTCGTGTAGTTGTAACAGCAGTCTCGTCGTGGCGTACGAAGGCGTGGTGTACCGGAGTTTTTTTCAAGAACAAGAACAGAAGGTGCACAATCCAAGTTGTTCGTGTTGGCCAACGCAAGAAGTGGAAGAGGACACGACCAAGAGCACAAACAAGGCATAATCCTGCTCCGGTGTTCCGTCCGGTTGTACTCGTCCCATTTGTTCCTTGTTTCCGCAGACCACGCGAAAGAGATGCTGAGGACCTCCCGCGCAGCTCCACCGGAGCGAGCGACAACGCTACGGGCAAATGAGACATGATCTTTTCGCTAGGTTGAAGCTTCTGGTGATTTCTGGTGGCACCTTAGTCGTAGCCGTGCCGCCATTTAACCCCTGGCGGGTCGGCGTTAGAACAGATTTAGTCCCTGCCAATACAACCTGGGCGCTAGAACAGATTTAGTTCGAGAGTTATGCCAGCTGGATAGGCACAGGATCTAGATCTCCTTCGTCGACAATTATGCGCTGTCAGATCGGATGAAGAGCACCAACATCCACGGCTGAGACGCAGCTGCCCCTTCAACAAGGCACTCATGCGGCCATCTACTTCTATCATGGAACAAAAGCCGCTCCGCTCGGAGCCAAGAACCTTCCAATGTTGAAGGCCGTTTCTCCTTTTCGCTTCTGAGTTTTTTCATGGAAATAATCTTCGCATGGGTTGGTTCTTCTTTTTGAGTGCTTGTTATAACAGTTTGTTGATTTTGGGAATGTGTTATCTTTAACTTTATGGAAAAGGTAGATTTATTAAAAAGAGCCAGCTTTCTTCATGCTAAGAAACCATAACAAGAGAAGGCCGGCGCTTTAAAAAAGTCGTTTTTCAGGGTCAATTATAGACGCGGGGCTGCGTGCAAGCGCGTTTGAGCGTGGACGATGGGCGTCCTGGGAGTGTGAATTGCCGTGAATGGCGAGTTGGCTCACGACAACTTTATCAAACTGGAAAAAATATTCTTCGAAATTAAACGTGGTAACATTTTGATGCTAGTAAAACCTGCTCGTCGTTTAGAACTTGGTAAAATGAGAACTTCAAACCACATAATCATTTTCTTGAGTCTTTTTGAAACGCAGAGAACTTGTAACTTGATGGTAAAGATGGAACAAGTCAAAACATTTTTGCCAAAAAGGGTATCTATGTACAAAAACATTGAAACAATATTTCAGCTTTGTAATTTTTTGACAGAAATAGAAGAGATGAACAAACTCTGTTCTCGGCTCAGACCTTGTTACACCTCCCGTACAACCGTCCAGGACTGCTGGTGCAGCTTCTCCTTTGGAAGCTACTCCGCCCCTTTCGTCACCCCCGTCGTAGCATAATGTGACCAACAATCGATCTAGATGGAATGCGTATTACACTGAGTGAAATTTTTACCTAGGATGAGCAAGGTATTAGAGGGAGGAACCGCTAGGCGATTCGAAGAAAAATCGCTGCTGTTTCCGTCGCCTCGTCAGTTCTCCTGCTCTAACTATTTTCGCTTGCTGAGTAAAAAAGTGTCTAAATCTTCTTAAAAAGTCTTCGAAGAATATGGCGAAATGCTCAAGGTTTGTACTAGTGCATTTCAATTCATCTTCTGTCGCGGTGTTACAATAGAAAAACAAGTCGAAACAAAAAATCTATCACCAATTCTTAGCCTTGTACGCCGCTTAGCTGTACAAGTCGTCGTCGTCATCCGCCGCAGCCGCGGTAAAGTTCGTGTTGTCATCGGGCCACACGATATGGATTGCAAATATGCTTAAGTCTGAAAGATTGCAACTTGTCATGCAAAATCTGACACATGCAAAATTTTTTGCTGCATGAGTGCCAAAAGCTGTTCGCTTTCGATCAAGTTGGACTGGGGTTTCTCATGCAGGACAGGCATGACAGAGACCACCTCACAGAGTCTGTCATGCTAGGTCCCGAATTCCAGACCTCATGAGTGGTCATGGAAAACCTGCATGACAAGTCTACACTCTTCCAGACCCAGATCGATATTTGCAGTTGATACACGATGCTGACCGTATCCCCGCCCGCGGCACCACCGTGGGACTGCTTGTACACCGGATCGAACTTCATTCGGAAGTTGTCATACCTGTGAGGATAGAAGTATTATTAATTTGTGATGCAAGTACAGCAAAGACAGGAAGTAGATATGATGGCAGTTTTAGCATGATAAAAAAACAATGTCCTATACTTGTTCAAATCCGTGAGTGACACAGACCGCCTGGCACCGGCAAACGCCTCCTCGAAGTGTTTTCTTGTGATTTCGGCAACGTCATCCCCGTCCATGGCGGCATCGCCGTCCCCGCCCTTCAATTCGTCCGCCGCGATCGCGTCGCGGATGGCGGCCTTGGCGGCGATCTCATATGCATTGCAAAAGTATCGCACTCGTACTACACGCACTATGCATTTACAAATTTTCATCTGAAGGCAAATCCGCATTACAAATTTAATTTGTAATGCTAACTCAATTTGTAATGCAATTCATACTGGTACGATGCTTTTGCAATGCATATCTGGCACAAGTTCTCGATATCGGCGCCGGAAAAACCCTCCGTCTTCTGCGCGATGAATGTTAGGGGGACATTCGGCGCGATGGGGGACTTCTTCAGCTTGGCGTGCAGGGTCTGCTATAACGTGCTCAGCCGTTACAATCTCAAATCGGTTACCATGGAAATGGAAATTTGTGATGCACATAGTGCACCATCTAGCCTGCTGTCACAGGATTGCGCATGACAGGTTCTGAAGTCCCAAACCGCTCTAGAATTTGGCGAAGTTTGTATTGCAGAAAGTGGTTCGCGGTGCGAGTCTGTGATGCGCATCATGCAATTACACAAATGCCAGATCATTCTATGATAACGTTTGAGATTGTAGCACCTGAACGTGTCATATCTGCAGCCGGGAGTTTTGGTCCGGAAGCGGGATGTAAATCAACTGGTCCAACCGACCCGGCCGGAGCAGCGCTTCGTCCAGCAACTCCGGTCTGTTCGTTGCGCCAATCATGAAGACGTTCTTCTTCACGCCCACACCGTCGATTTCGGTCAGCAGCTGGTTCATCACACGATCACCAGCGCCGCCCGCATCGCCGGCGGAGGAACCACGGGCGGTACCTGGTGAGCGTTAATGTGGATTGTTGTTTTTGTTTTGCACATCGCGAGGATTACAGTCTCTGTGCTGTCTCATGGCATGTTGCTCTGCATCACGAACAAAAAACTCTATGCACGTTTCAGCTACAGAAATTAAAATCACTATCGCTATCCAATCATTATACCAATAGAGTCTAATTCGTCAAAGAAGAGCACGCACGGGGCCGCCGACCGTGCCTTGTCGAACACTTCCCTGACGTTGGCCTCGGACTCACCAAACCACATGGTAAGCAGTTCCGGGCCCTTAATCGACACGAAGTTTGCGCTGCACTCACTCGCGACGGCCTTTGCCATCATGGTCTTACCGCAACCCGGGGGGCCGTAGAACAGCACACCATGGGAAGGGGACATCCCAAATTTCTCGAATTTCTCCGGGTGATCGATAGGGTACCTGATAATCAACAAGAAGTCACAATCAGTATATTAAGTAAGTTGTGCATGACAAGTTTTAGGCATAGGCTTCATGTTACAAGTACAACTGTGACGCGCATGACAAACAATGCTTTTCATGCTGTGAGGCGCATGACAAAAGGAAGTAAGTAAGTAAGTACAAGATCATTTCCTGCAGACTGCGCTTGGTATCCTCCAGTCCACCAATGTCGTCCCATTTCACGTTCGGCACTTCGACAACTGTTTCTCGCAGCGAACTCGGGTTGCACACCCCCATCGCGGTGTTGAAGTGATCCTGGTATGATAGGTTTTTTAGATTCAGCTCGAGGAGATGAAGATGCTGGTTCTGTTAAATGCTCATGATAAATTTCACTGCTCATGGTCTGTCCCGCATGACAGATTCAAACATGAATCCAGTATAGCAAAAGTTGTACCTGTGTGACCGCCATGGAATCCAGAATCTCGGCATCGATGGTTTCCTCTTCCAAATCGATCAGGTCCATTTTTTCCCGAATGCACGTGAGCGCCGACTCGGTGCACAGCTGAGCCAGATCCGCGCCCACAAAACCGTGGGTGTTGCCCGCGATTTCTTCCAGCTTGACGTTCGCCGAGAGTTTCATGTTCTTGGTGTGGATCCGCAGAATTTCCAGTCGCCCGTTGTCGTCCGGCACGCCAATATCCAGCTCACGGTCGAAGCGACCGAACCGACGGAGCGCCGGATCGATAGAGTTCGGGCGGTTGGTGGCACCAATGATCACCACCTGGCCGCGGCCCTTCAGACCATCCATCAAAGTCAGCAGTTGCGAAACCTGTGAAGGTGATTATAGGGATGAACTAGGTTTTGTTGTTCATACTTTTTTTTTTTTCATAAGTACTCGAGAAGAAGATCTGCCCGTCTCAATGGCGAGATCTGCTAGAAGATGAAGACACAAAGATAAATGTAAATCAAAATCGCAGTAAGAACGCATGACAAGAAAAACCTCCAAAACAGTAAACTATACCACGCGCTTCTCGACTTCTCCGTTGGTTTTGTCTCTTTTCGGCGCAATGGAATCCAACTCGTCGATGAAGATGATCGCGGGTGCGTTCTTCTCCGCCTCCTCAAAGGCTCGACGCAGGTTCGACTCGGCCTCCCCCGCCATCTTGGACATGACTTCGGGTCCGTTAATGAGGAAGAAAAAAGCACCGGTCTCGTTGGCCACCGCCTTGGCGATCAACGTTTTTCCGCTCCCCGGCGGTCCGTAGAGCAGCACGCCGCGCGGCGGCTTCACACCCAGAGTTTTGAACAAGGCCGGGTGACGCAGCGGCAACTCGATCATCTCACGGATCTGGGCCATCTGCTTCTTGCACCCGCCAATGTCATCGTAGCCGGCATCGTCTAACCGTTCCTCATCCTCCCGCTTCACCGGCTCACCCTCGCAGTGGATCACCTGGTATTTGTCATGCGGCTCAGCTAAAGAAACGAAATTATGTTCGATCATGTAAATGAACAGATCAGACAGATAATTGGCATGCAAATAAAGCAGTTTGTCATGCACATGCAGCGAGATAAGCTTATATAATTACCGTATCCGGTGCCACGATGCAGAACTCTCCAGGCTCCACACCCACAACTTTAAATTCGACCGGACGAAAGTATCCACTGCAACTGTGTCTGGGTCTGGAAGCAGGGCACAGCTTTGTCATGCTTGTCTCACATGATTCTTAAATCTGTAATGCGTGAGCAGGAAAAAGCCTTCTTGTCTGTCATGCAAAATAAATGCAGTCTTCCATGCGAAAAGCGAAACACATCAGAGGAGCCCAGAAATTTGTCATGCGTGGCTGCGTATTGCAGTGCGCCAACCATTTACAAACTAGCAACACAAGTTTCCAGACCCAGACATATTCGCAATGCATAGAAAGCCACCGCGCACCAGAAACAAGTCGCCCTGTCGCACCGGCCGGTAGGCTTCCAAAAAGTAGGGCTTCAGGTAGCTGTGATAGTTTTCCTTTTATCATAGGTCGTGTTCATCGTGTTTCTGTTTGCACATGACAAAACAGGAACTCTTTAGGATTCAATACGCAACACAAAGTATTTTAGTATGCGAAATCGTCCAATAAGTACGTTTCAAACAAATTCCCGGTAATCCCCTCGATGGTATCGTCCAGCGGTGAATTATGCAGTGCAAAAAGCTAGAAATCTGGGGTCTAGTATGCGTGAGTAGGCTGTGATGCTCGGTCTCATGCGTGAGTCTCTAGTACTACGACCAAGAAAATGGATGTTACGATTAGCGATGGATAGTGTGTCAACATTGAAGGAGCTGCAGCATGACAACTTTCCCGAATAGAACCCAGAATTCATTCTCTGTCCCCTGGATAGAGCACGTGCACGCGCTTTCCGTAGGGCACGTCTCCGCATGCGTGGATGGAAACGACGTCGCCCAACCTGACACTATCCTGTGTAAAAACGTCCCCACCCCAGAGTTGTCATGCAAATCTGCATGCTGAAAATGTTTCTCATGCTGAGCACAATGAAAAGCATTCTTCAGTCGCGTTTTGGAATTTGTCATGCTCCAATCCGCATGATATGCTAGATCTGTGACGCTGCTGAGCTAGCTCAAACAAAATTACACTACGAGTCCAAATTTGTCATGCAAAACAGCCAAAACTTGTGGATTTGTCTAGCCGAGTCCCCATCTTGACTATGGGGTGAGAACGTTTTTACATAGGATAGACACGCAGGTTCTTCCGCACGACCTTATTGATGCGGACTTTTGCGTCTTCCAAACCCTCATCCGCCAGCACGATGCAAACCGTGTCCTTGCGTTTCTTACCTGTTTTGACATTTCATAAATTGATATGCTTCTGTGGGACCTGCATGGCAGAAGGTACGATGAAGACGTTCTTGAACGATCATGCTGGACCATGCAACAGAAAGCAAATTTTTATTGTGCAGCGTCGCTGCACATAGTGGATCATCTACTATACCCTTGATCAGGACGTTGTCACCCCGGTAGAGGTTGAGCTCGTCCATTTTCGCCGGGGAGAGTGAGATGACACTGTTGTCGTCATTCACGGCCTCTTCTATGCACTGCAAAAGTACTATCGCACTCGTACTAATTGCAGGTAGGCATGACAAATCGTCTTCTCAGGGTATGTAAAACTGCATGAAAGAGAGAGAGAGATAACCTACATAGTTGATTCGCTGATAGCGCCACGCGGACGTGACCACCGGCGGCAGGGACGACCTGAAGGGTCTGGAGACTCCCCTTTTTTCGGGGGGTAGAAGAGGGCCAAACCCGCACGCAAAACTTCGGCGGGCCTAGATCGATCAAAGAAAGCTCCTGTGCGTGAACGCAACAAAAAGCCAAAATTAATCGAAATAGGTCTTGTAATGAATAGCCTTCAAAAACCCGACGTCCTTACGTTCTCATGTTGTTTAGCTCCCGACGGTGATCGCAGCACCAGGAGCCCACACGAACTTGAAGAGTAACGCGCGGCTAGCAGAGCAGAGCAGGCGCGAATCGCCGACCTTCCACAAGCGGAGGCCAAACTGTAAAATATTTTTTCCAAGCAGAGCTGTAGCGAGCGCAATAGCGCTGAGGAACAGGTAAGTTGTTTAGAGCCCCGGCGCCTAATGAAACTACTTGCCAGGATTAGCAGACCTGACCCAAAACTATCTACATGCAGACGCCATGGCGGAGCTCCGCAGACAACAAACCAGCCCCCGACAAACATATAAATGTCATTCATATCAACTGCGGAACCCGAGTGAGAAAGAACGAAAAGATGAGGTCGCGAGCACCGCGTTCGTGGCACATTTTCACCACCACCAGATAGCGCGCGCATGTAAACAAGCTCTGGCAGACTGACGAGCACCAAGAGGTGTTCGCCGGAAAGACAGCAGCAGAAAAAAGCGCCCATCTGAATCGGGGAAAATCAACACGAAGTTGGTCGTCGGACCGCAGGGGTGTAGTAGGAAAAGTTGCGCAACGCCCCGCCGGCAACTCGTTGGTGAACGTCAAGTGCCAGAATCCCCAAAGACTGTCGCGCCCCCCCGGACAAACCCGCTGGCAAGGCGGAAAAAACAAAGCCCCTGCGAGTACGCGGGATCCGCAACTAGCGCTACAAAGGTTGCAAAAGTAAAGCGAGCAGACTTAGAGGGAAGAAGCAGGATAAAAGGGTAGGGATCTAAGCCTACAGGGACGCATGCAAGAGGGGGTAAAAGGAACGGGCAGTCCAGTAGTAAGCAACAGCGAGTAAGAAAACAACATAACATAATTAAACGACTGAAGAAAAGTAAAAGGGGTATAGACCTGATTCTACAGGGGCGGATACAAGGGGAAGCGAAGCAGGAAAGATCAGGATAGTTGAACTAGGCAGGACAGTATACGACGAACATCACACAGAAGAACGCTGGCCTTGCTCCCGTCCAACTGCTAGCGTGATGCCTCTCCGCCCACCTCGCAGCGCCTTCAGAAATGGCCCGGCTGACTACTCTCGGGTCGGATGCTGCTCGCGGATGCTGCTTGATGTGATCTTGTTGCCCTAGCCGAAGTTCTGCTTTCAGGTCGTACAGGCCTGGTAGAGGGCGACGAACTAGACCGAAGACTAGAACGCCCCCCCGCTACCGCGAGGTTTTTAGTAGTCAGATTGCGTCAAGGCCGGCCGGAAGACACTGGGATAGTTTACCTGTGGCCTTGTAGCCCGAGTCTGATTCAAACCGTTCTACGCGCTGATGTCATCCTCCATGTCCGTGAAGAGTAAGGCGGCAAGTTAAGGGGGAATTGAGATGGCGGGGAACTTAAAAAAAAAATAAAAGGCAATCGAAAGCAAACTAGTTCCCCGGCTCGACATGCGGCGACGCTGCTCTTCCACGCAGCGCCCCGGCGAGCAGTTGACGGGGCACTCACTCACTGGACAGGCCGTCTCCCGCTCAGCGGCGTGGCGCGGCTGTTCTACCAGGAAAGCACTACAGATAGCTTTGCCGCTACTATTTCTATACTTTTCTTTCTATTATAGCTATTATTATTTAAGCTACTGCAGCGACGGACCTCGGCGGCGCATCCATCCGGTGAGCGAGTCAGGGCAGTTTGTGCTGGACGCATATTGTTTGTGTTTTTTGACCGCCGTGTGTGTGTGTGTTTCTTCGTCAACGTCCTTATGTGTGCACCCATGTGAGACTAGCGCTACCGGGGGGCTCTTCCTGTCCCCCCGGGTCCTAATGTGTTTTGATTTGGAAAGGGGTAGCATCCGTTCTCAAACAAACGCAGGATCACACGCAGTAATTTAAATTAAGTAAAACATGTCGCTAATCAGGCCCTTCGTGTTCATACTAGGAAAAATAACAGATACTCCATGATACTGATAGTACTGTCTCCGATTTTCAACATAGTAAAACTGCATGACAAGGGTAAAACTGCATGACAAGTTACCATTTCTCATGCTAAGCAAATTTGTAATGCGATTTGTACTAGTACGATACTTTTGCAATGCATATCTTCGACCACCAATCGGTTCGGGGACCGCTTCTTTGTGGGCACCACGCTGGGTTGCGCCGGGGCAGCTGCAGCTGGGGCGGGATCTGCCATCTTGATATGTTAAGAGAAGCTTGGTTGGGCTTTACGGTAACGACCTTCTAGAGAACAAGTTGCTAGTGTCTCTTATTTGGTTGTCAGTCGGGTAGTAGTATCTCGGATGTGAAAATGTCAGTCGGGTAGTCGTATTTCTTGTTTTTTTTGGATTGTGTGATGAATACCAACTGCAACTACTTTTACTTTTCCTTCTTATCGATCTGTGTCGTTGTTCTGTATCGCTGTTTTTTGTATCGCTGTTCGGAATCGATTTTGATGTCATGTACAATTACAATTAGCTCGGTCTGATTATGGAAAATGAATGTACAAGCAGCTACTCGTTGGTTGGTAAAAAGTGGAGTCCTGTTTTCGTGAAGTCGCGTTTTTGGAAGCCTCGCGCGGCCAAAGCTGTACTATACAACCAGCTTCTATGTCTGCTTTGAGGAGATTGATATATCTCTCTTGTTTCAAATCTTTTTCTGGAGAAAATCGTTAACAGGGCCTTTCTGTGGCTAGCAGATGACGGATCTTTTTCGGGAGGTAGTGCCAGTACTAGTACTTTCCTCGCGTTGAAGAGGAGAACACCAAACTTAGAAAATCACTTGCTCCACTGCCAACGTCGCAGTTGCCCAAGGCACAGGGAATCGGAAACTTCATCGAATTCGTATACAAGAATCAAAGAGAAACATTTATTACCGTCATAATGCATCGAAGTCCATGTCACTGTCCACTGTAATCATACAAAACTGATTTAGATAGACATCGTGTGCGTTTTCTAAGCCAGGTGGAGTCTGGGGACCGGGGTAAGTACGTGCTAATACGGGTAAGTAACTATACTTATTGTTCGATACATTCACAGTCGCGTTTTTTTACAGAGTTCGATTCGAAGAAAGAGAGACTGCTCCTGATATATATTTGAGTGATAAATTTATTTGATATTGAGTCACTTTTACATTTCCGGAAAGCGATAGTTCAGTTCATCCCTGTACGTACTTTTTTATTGATACTCTTCTAGCGGTCCGTCCGCTGCGGACGAGGCTCGAGACTCTTTCTCTACTTTTATTTATTTAACTGCATTAGCTGCTTCATCAATTAAACAAATGAACTACTCCTGTTCGGCTTAAATCGTCTAACCTTTTTCTACTTCCCCTCCGCGATCACCTCACGTTTCCTCCCCCTCCACGGCATCGGGATCCATCAGGACCGACCGCCACGCATCGTTGGAGGATGATGGAAAAGCAATCCGCTTGATCCGCTCCCAAAGCGAACCGGATTCGTACTGATACTGAAAGTCGTCCAGGTCGTCCAGCAACAGTTCGGCTGCAATTTTGTTCTCCTCCTCCTCGTCCTGCTCCCCCCCGTCACCCATGGTGGCTGCGGTCTTGAACGAGAACAGGGAGGACGGGCGCGACTGGACATTGCCCACCTGGAGATGGTAAGTACTTACTTATTGTCATTCACAACTTTCACGTTATGCATTTCTTCGACTCTGGTGCGGCAACGCACAGGACGGACGAGATGAAATATGCAAAAGTGCTTCCACTAGGTCATGCGTATCAATTCACAAAATCATCAAGTTCACGTCTGAAAAGAACGTACCGTGGAATCTTCTCCCGATTGGTTTCCTGCCAGACCGTCCTGCTGCTTGATGTTCTCCGCGCTCGCAGCGGAAAATCGCATCGGTGAATCTTGAAAGTCATGGTTACCTGAAGTGGTTGAACAAGGTACTATCGCCAATTGTATTCTGAATTTTTTTTTCTGAATTTTGCATTTTATTCTGAATTTTACATTTTATGCAAGTTTTTCCACGAATGAATCACCTCACGATGCTTCTCTATGTTCTCTATACGAGTACTTATTTATTTCCTAAGGTAAACCACTAAGCGGTGCTGTTTCACCTTCGTTTCCGGCAGTAGAGGGAGTTTCGTCATTCGTGGTTCACGAGGCGGTCCGCGTGCTGGTTCAATCGCTTTGCGGGACAGGAAGGCTTCGTGTCTGCTTCACTTGCTCCCGTCTTGCTTTCGAATTTGCTTTTCTTGCCCGTGCGCGTAGTCCCGCCTTGGTCGTGCTTCGCGTTCGAAGTCGTAGTGCCGGGTTCTTCATTGCTGGGTGAAGCTCCACTTGGTCCGGTCCGATTCAGCAGGTAGCAGAACAGCAGTAGCGCAATCAGAATCGAGAAAATTGTGCAGAAGTCAACTGCTTGCCGGTACTTCTCGCCAACAACGGTCGAAGTCTTCACGAACCAACTGAACAGGAGGAAGAAAACTACTGCGCCAAAGATGTTTGTCGTGTTCGCCGCAAGTCGATGACCAGATTCTTGTGTCGGCGCTTTGCAGAAGAAGCATTTGCAACCGGCTCCGACAACAAACAAGACGAGCAGCGCCGCGACGTACATGTCGTGCGCGTTCCGAACGTGGTGCAAAGGAAGCAAGTGCGAAGACTGCGAGGCGTCCGAATTGTCGTGATTGTGGTGGGCGTGGTTTTTCGCATGTTCATCATCACTCGCGGGTGTGCTGGGAGAGAGGACAGCAGAAGGGGAGCGAACGAAGTACGAGTCGACAAAGAAATTGTTGGTGTTGGTGTTGGCGTTCTTTACTTGGGTGTCGAGTAAGTCAACGGACGCAGCTTGTTCCGCTTTCGAAGATGTTGTTGTTGGCTTTGTTCGTTGCGTGTCGCTTTTCGCCGACTTTGCTGGAAGACTCGTCGGTGATGTGGAAGTCAGAGCAGGGTGCACGTCGTGGTCCACAACCAGATCATCGCCGGGCAATTCCGGGATGCCAGACGATTTCGCGACGATTTCCACTGCACTCACTTCGCCCACATCCGAAGCCTGCTCTTCTTTTGTACTGTCCAAAATCGGTTTGTGGGGCGCTCGTTCTATTTCCAAAATGTGTTCATTGAGTGTAAAACTGAATGCTTGTTGAAATGCGGTCTTAAATTTCTCACAGTAGTTGTTAATCTCGGTTTCCTTCTTTGTCGACTCCAACTGCATCTTCTTGTTCTGCTTCTTCCCTTTGTTCCCTTCATCTACTTTCTTGAGGATATTTTGCAGTGGATTGTTGCTGAATCGTTCGAGATCCGCGGTGACTCTAGAAATTTCATCTAATAACCGGTGACCCCAAACTACAGTTTTCTCGTCCTCGCCCTCGAGAGCGTACCTGGGCACGAGATTTGCGCTGAGGAATCTCTCAGCTAGTTGACGTTTGATGTACTGCGTGCCGTATGTAATTTGTGTGATCGTAGAGTAAGCACTGGTGCTTTCTATTTGTGTGTCGATCTGCTCTGCTATGCCAGTGCTGAAATCAGAAGGATGGCTCCCCTGGTCCTCCGTCCATGTATGATACTGTGCCTGAAGTAGAGACTTGAGTACGTCTCCCGCTGCGTTTGTAATCTCCTCTGCAACCTCTTTCACTCCGGGTTTGAGGGAAGACACAGTTCCGGCGGTGGATGGAGTTTGATCAGAACCAGGCGATTCAGAGCCAGACATCCTTAGTGGAAGAATAGTTGTATTCTACTATGTATTATGCTGGTTTCCACAACACCTTCCTATGACGAAAATCCCTACGCAGCGGCTTTAAAATCGACATCCAAAGGAATTTACTCAAAATAAGAAGTTCAAGAAGGGAAGTCGAACGGACGAACGGCCGCGTGAGAGTGAGACAGCAACTACACGAGGCAACGATTACAAAAACCGAACCTCATACCTCATACTAATCCTTGGTGATCATTTTTCTCTCTTTCTAGAAACTGCTGAACCATTTGGCGCAAGACGTCGCTCCGATGAGCAGTACTCGACACGTCTCAACTCCTGGGACGCGTGGAGTCATACCCGAACGAGCACGATGGTATCTCTCTCTCTCTCTGCACATATTCACACAATTTAATGCTAATTTTATTCATTATAGTCGCTCTAAATCAAAGGTCACTCTAAATCAAAGGTCAAATGAACAGGCTCAGTTTTTCGTTCATCGCGTTGAAGAAGGAGATCGATTTTCTTTTCCTTCAGCTCGTTTTTAGCGATCACACACAGCGCTTTACTGTGGCTAGCAAGTGACGGACCTTTTTCGGATAGTGCCTGTACTAGTACAACTCTCCTCGCGTTGAATAACGATCTTAACTTCGCCGCGGAAAGAACCACGGAGCGGAAAAATGAAAATGACTTGCATGGAACTGACGTTAATTATGGGGAGCTCGTATTCGTTGATAAGCAAAAATTAGTCTTTGACTTTGATTGTCGTTGTGGTTGTCTAGTCCATGACGTGAGCTGCATAAAAATCGTATAGGCTTTAGTTTCTAAGTGTTCATCTTTCCGTAACCTTAGGCTGTATAAGAGTTGTAGAGCCACTTCTTCGAGTGTGGAAGACGCCTCCGCCTTCGCGGTGTCACGAACACAAACACTTCGCCCTTGTCTTTCGTCTTTCTACGAGGAATCACGACCAGAAGCCCGTTAAGTACTGTTTCATTCTGTAACTTTGATTCACACATCATGAAGGTTTTTCGTAGTTTTTGTATTTTTTCGAACGACGAGTTCTATGACAACTTTTCAAGGTGTTATGCGAGTGCTCTGCTCGTCGCTTTGGCCTTGGAAATAGGTGTGGGTAGCTTTGACGAGGACCGTAACAAGTCAAGGAAAAAATGTAGTACTACTGTAGTTCCTCTGTCTAGTCGAGGTTGGATGGCCATCAAAAACCACACAAGAACAATCGTCCCACGACCTATTTAAATCGATGAAATTACACCAAAAACGCGGCAGCAGGAGCAGCCAGTCCCAATCGCGTTGATGATACGAAGAAATTAAGTGGGTTAGCGATAGGAAGCCTCTTGTTCGTGAGGTTTGATGTTCTTGATGATGAAGGCGCAATAAACAAAAGGGCTACTTTGTCTGTATTGTAAACATCCTGAGTTAGTAACTCCAAATGACAGCCTGCTCTGAACGTAACTTACGATGACAGCCTGCTCTGCGCCACCGCCTCTACCTCCTCCGGGCTGATGTATCAAAGCACTTCTGCGCACAGAACTACTACGTCCTCGAACTCACTTAAGCCTTCTGGACTTGTTTCACGGTGCTGTTCCGGGCGGTGTCCGCAGGTTGTTTACTTCCATGTAATATTTCCTCCGCGGGCACTGTTCTTTGCGCTTCTCCTGCAGCTTGTTCCTCCTCAGATGATTTATCTTCACTCGACTTAATAGTCCCCTCCTGAGCCGCGACATCATGATGATCACCGCTCCTGTTTCTTTTCTCCAGCACAGTTGCTGGCTCACTCGTCTTCATCATGCCGCTGCCAAACTCTGGCGTCATCTTCAAGTCTGCACTTTCGGCTTCGGATGATAATTTCTCTGTTGCAGGAGGAGACTCAGCTTCGAGGGCAGTGCTATCCTGCATAGATTTGTACTGCTGGTCTTCATCGCCGGCCTCCGCTGTCTCCTCGTCGTCCTCATCAGCATCGAGTTCCTCCTCCTCCCCGAAGTCATCTTCGCTGACACCCATATCACGCATCATGCGATCGTCGTCATCTTTATGCGTTGCAAACATGTTGTCTGGATTGTTTCTATCTGGGATTGGGAAGTTGTCATACCGCCTTTAGTATCTATATGAGTGAGAAACTCACTGTGGGTAAGCAAGCATGACAAACCTGTTTCCTGCAGGAGCGAGACGCGCATGAGAATATATCGCGTCTCTGCACCACAAGGAAGCAGCGCGGCTGTTTTGCGAAATCCATCACAGAGCTCAGGACCGGTTGTGCTAGTGCTTGTCCTAGTCCTATGGAAGTTCAGCATGACAACTTTAGTACACAAAAATCATCCAGGCACCAGAATATTCCACTTGATAATCCGGAAAGTCGTCCGGGAAATCCTCGAACTCGTCCCTGTGTTCGATGGCCTTGATCAAATCGCACGGCGGCAGCGTCTATGAATTGCAAAAGTATCGCACAAGGTAGTAGTAGTGGTCGCATCACAAATTTACGCAGCGTGAGAAATGGAATTTGTAATGCGGATCTGCCTTCAGAGCGGATGCGGAGCGATATTTGTCATGCATGTTGACCGCAATCAATTCTACGAGCACGATGCTTTTGCAGTGCATAGCGTCAAAGATGATCCCCCACGACCAGCGAGCATTTCTCCGGAACCTTCTTGTTTCGTGTTGCCCATGACAAGTTTCAGCAGCGAGAGTGCGTCTCGGGGGAAGCCGCGATAGAGAAACGCGTTTTCCTGTCCAGCGATGACCGCTTGGAAAGTTTTCGGCAACAGGTGAATGTCCTGCATGCCCAGGAAAATCGCGGCTGGTGCGCCGGCGTCGGAAGTGGTCTGTGTGAAATTTTTGACGTTTAGACAAGATCTCCAAGAATGTACTTTATTTCATTTTCAGTTTCAGACAGCGCGCGACTATTACGTATACTTGGGATCAACGAACCCGGGCGCCCCAAGAGAAGGTGGCACCGAAAAAAATGATTCACTCACATTAGCAAAAAGCTGCACCTGTGCCATAGCTCCAATCTTAATCTTTTCCGCAACCGCGTCGAAGTTTTTTTTGTCATGATCACCGCTTTGCTCTCGTGTGTTCGCTGTCGGCTCTCTTGCAGCTCCCGAAGACGACGTTGACGACTGCTCGTTGCCATTGTAGTAGTGGATTTTCCAGATATCCGGGCGCTTGCTCAGCATGCGCAGGAAGCCGCGGATTGGGTCTTTCCGTTTTTCCACTTTGTCAAAGACGTGGAGGTTGAGGCAAGGAGAACTTGGAGTGTTTTCATCCGCATCACCCAAAAACATCTCCGGCGGGCAGGCGTCGGCTAGCACCGCCAGTTTCACTAATGCGTCAGGTAGACTGGTTTCGGACTGCAGACAGATGTGCAGGTTTTTCCGGAACTGGGGAACAACGGCACTTTGATCTCCTCCAGCAGAGGATAGAGTTTTGCCGTTGTTATCAGATGAAGAACCACAGCCCAAGCTCGTTTCGGTTTCCGACGAAGCTGCACCACTAGTGCCTGTTCCACCTTTCTTATCGCAGTAAAACCCATGCAGCAGTTCGAAAAAGGTTGACAGCAAATTGTGGAAACTTTCCTGCTCATTCGGGTGAAGCAGAGAAAGGAGCTCGTCCGCCCGGTCGGCTAGCTCATATCGGTAGAAATCCTCCTTCTTATCCTGATAGTAATGGTGTTGGTGATGTGAATGTGTTGGACTCGACTATCAATAACGCAGCATCTTCACCGATTGCTTCTTCGATTCTATGCATCTACTTTGTCACATGCGGTGAACCTAAACCACAACCCGACTGAAAATCAACCTGTCACCTTCCACTCGACAAAGGCCCTGCGCTGCAGGCCGTGAAACACGGAGGGGAGCGACAAATCGGTGACGTCCAAGGGGGCTTGCAGCAGGAGGTTGTAATTTTTGCCCTCGAGCACCGCTTTCTCGCGCAGGCGGAAGATGTCGTTGTCGAGACACGCAGCCCGTTTCAGGAGCGGCCGGAGCTGGGTGTTATGATTAGACAAAGGCTCAAGCTCATCCTCATCTTTCAATCTCTTCCCAAGGATAATTTTCATGGCGGAAGTAAGTAGAATAGAAACTACGTACTACATGAGTCACACAATGTTCATGTTGGCTTTGACACGGTCACAAATACCATTTGCTCTGCCTCCTGTGCAGTTGGCTGCGGCCCATTTCCCGGTGCAATTTTCAGGACTGCGAAATGGTCCGGATTCATTTCACTTAGAGCAGCCTGTTCATCCACCAAATCGTTCTCTCCGGTGGCGCGCCCTGTACATCGAGTGCTATCCTGTGCAAAAGTATCGTACTCGTACTAATTGCGATCATGCATGACAAATCTTGGCTCTTAGCGAAATCAGCATTACAAATTCCATTTTTCCTTCTGGAAAAATTTGTATTGCGATTACTACATATTATATTCATGCGAAAAAAGAGGTAGACAGAGGGTAAACAAGAGGTGGCCGAGAGGTCAAAAAGAGGTCAAAAGAGGTAAAAAAGAGGTCGACAGAGGTGGAGAGGTGGCGCGGGACCCCTTTCGAGAGGATCGGCGAGAGGGTGCGCGAGTATAGCCCGCCGAAGGCCCCACCTTAAGGCGGCGCCTAAGTGCCTCAGAGGGTGCAGAGAGGTCAAAAAGAGGGGGCGCGAGAGGTCGACAGAGGTCGAGAGAGGTGGCGCGAATAAGGGGCGACCTCTCGCGGACCCTCTTGGCCACCTCTCGGCCACCTCTGTCGACCTCTACCCGCGAGTATAGCCGGATTATTAGCGGGGACCCCCAAAAGAGGTAAAAAAGAGGGTCTGCGAGAGGGTAAAAACACAAAGTGGCGGGCGCGAATCCGCATGGTCATGCCCATATTTGGCACTGCAGGCTATTCGCGGACTTGTTTTGTTCGGCGCCTGTCCCCGCCACCCTCTCGCGCCACCCTCTCGCACACCCTCTCGCGCCACCCTCTCGCGCCACCCTCTCGCGCACCCTCTCGCGCCACCCTCTCGCGCTACCCTCTCGCGCCACCCTCTCGCGCTACCCTCTCCCGCCGAGCGCCTTCTGTTCGCCCCCGATGTTCTTTGCAGCTGCTCCCTGCGCAGAGCGCCCGCAGGCGCGGGAAGCGCGCAAGTGGTCCTGCGGGTTGGCGCGGCGCAAACCAGCGGCACGAATGCAGTACGTTTCGTTGTACATAGGCCCGTGGGGTTGTGGTCCGATCGGCAAACAGTCATGCCCCGGCCCAACAGCCGTGCGCTCCGGCGGCAGCCGGAGCATGGCTGGTTTATACTAGTACGATACTTTTGCAATGCATAAGTGCTCTGCAGCAACAAAACCCGGTACCCCTGCAACATCCGTACCATCGCGTGATCGAGCGAATCGAAAACGACCGCGATGTTTTGGGGATAAGAAGAAGTTGTCCTGGGTCCTACAAAAGGCTCTGGGATAGGGTGGAACTGCGTGCTCTCCAGCGCGGCGGACCACAGTTTGCCGATTTTGGTCACAAAGTTTTCTTCTTGTTGTGAGACGGGAGAGTTGCAGCTTCTTTTCTTGCAGAAAGCGAGAAAGAGGTTAAGACGTTCGTGCACGTGCGGGACCGTGGTGGAGAAATTCTCTTGCGGTGGTTGTTGCGATAGTTTGTTTTCGTTTGTAGTTCCCGTCGTGTTGCTACTTTCCGCAGTGTTTTCTGTCGCACCATCAGTTGCGTTTGTTTTTGCGGTTTTGTCATCGGTAGGAGCGTGTTCCGACGCGCAATTCTTGTTCCCGGCTGGTCGTGTTCCCTGCATCCATGCGAGGGCGGCTGGAAGTGGAGGGACGATGATTTGCTAGGAGGTTAGGAGGTACACTGCTCTGCAAGGACGACGTGCACCACCGAAAACAAGAAGCGCATCAACTCTATACCATCAGTGGCAAGTGAAAACAAGTAGAGGTGATATATTCAGTGGATGCACTTTTAGCATTAGCTCTAATTGTTCATATTCACCTAACACAGCAAACATTTGCCATCTGCAGCTACACACCTCGAGGAGAACTTACGAAACTATACCTTCAACATCGTCCAGCAACATCTTCGTTTGTTGCGCAACTTCTTCTCCTGCTTCCGGGCTAGACGTTGTCGGTTCCGATGAAGCCGCAGCGCCATCGGTCGAAGAAGTGTTTTCGCTCATCTGATCACTTTTCCCCACACTGGCCTGCTCCGTCATCGTGTCCAGCAACACGACGTCATCTGGCGCCTGCAAAACCGCCGCGAGCTCTTTCGTTGCGGTGCGCAGAGCACTGCAAAACAACCGGACCTGATTTTGCTCCGAAAAATAATATTGATTCTCGGCTGCACCAGAGTTCTTCTTGCCCAGCAAGGGAGCTGCACCGGCTCTTGCAGCCGATTCTCCACATCGGAAGCCGGTCGATCCGCTGACTGCTGCATAAGTAGGCTGCACGACGACCGCTCCTCTGCGAGCCGCCGTTCGTGTTGCACCCGGGTGGCGGGCGAGTTTGGAGAGTACTGTCATGGTAGATTCGTTTTACTTTTTCTTTTCCAGAACAAACCGTATCTAGTAAGTGTCGTCGTTCGGAAGAACAAACGCTGGCTCGCTTATTTCTGGCAACTTTGCTTTTGCCTCGTGCGGCGCAAGGGGGAATGGTTAGCACTTCTTCGCCCTACCTCAATGTCACGATTTACGAAAAAGAAGTCACGCTTCTAGAAATCTTCACGATTTTCTTTATTTCTCGATGCCAGCAGGAGTAACATGCCGTAGATAACGTTCAAAGCCCGAAGCCAGGCCTACACGATACTGTGACCGCGGTGGCGATGTTGCCACAGTACTAGTGTCGACACGCACTAAGAACTAGAGCAGGCTGCTCTGCATGTAGATCTTCACACGCCACTATTAGATCAAGGAACCGCCACAGCTACCATTCGCAATCTCCGCCAACCGCACCCATGGGCCTAAAGCGCTGCAATACCTTTACGGCAGTTCGACTTCTCGGTAACAGAAAAACAGCCGCACTAGCTCATGATCTCGCCGCAGATCCGGGTGAACTCCTGTCTGAGATCGCTTCTAGGCTGATGTTGATCAACTACATCACGACCGTCGCTGGATCTGGTAGCACAAAGAATCGCTACCGAGGTCTTGTAGGATCTTTGATGACACGAAAGAAGAACACACTAGGCGAAGCGAAAGACTGCAGTCTCTCTTCAGCAACTAAGGTCGTGCAGCAACAGGAGGAGGAGAAATACGTAATGGAGTCATTCACTGCGGGCTGTGATCTAGTTTAGGGGAAAGACGAAAATGGTCTGCACTACTACTACTAGAGAGAAATAAAGATGTCTCTATTGATTGGGTGTGGCGTCCTCGACAAAAAATTCAGGTCAATGATGTTCCGTAAAAGGTGTTCTTTGATATCTTTGTGTTGTGCGATGCGCTCTGTTAGCGTTCTCTTTGTACTAGTTCTCAGTGGTTCTAGTCCTAGGATAAAACGTCGCAAGTACCTCTTTATGTTAATGGGGTTTGGAAAATTCAAATTGCATGGAAAATGATCCGAGCTGTGGCTTTGCTAGTCGACGAAGCCACAGCGGTGAGAGAAAAATGATGAAGAAGTCTTTGCAAAGTACTTATTTCGGGCTGCTAAAAGTTTGCAAGGTTTTTCTACTTCTGCGAGAACCTCCTCCTACACGCACGACCTACGGCACCCAATGGCTCAGCTCATGCCTCGTTGCCGTCAGGTGCGGGTAATGCTGCACTCCTGCAGCACCGGGAAGAGGTTCTCGTAGTAAGTCCGCTGCTCCCCCTAGCCTCCTCTGCCGTGGCAATTGGTCCCAATCGGAGTGTTTGCTTGGTTTTTTGTGCGGATGTTGAACAACTGCCGCTGCTGCACCAGGTAGTTGCGCCAAAACTTCGCTTGTACTACTTCCCGTTGCAGCACCACTAGCACCTCCAGCAACTACTCCGTTGGACAGCATATTGTCGTACTCCACCGCCGCTCCCCCGGCGTCCGTCGGATCGTCCCCGAGAAATGCGTGCGCAATAAAACACACTAAATATCCTGTGCAAAAGTATCGCACTCGTATTGCAATCATGCATTACAAATCTTATTCTTAAGGCAATGCAGCATTACAAATTTCATTTCTCATGCTGAGGAAATTTGTAATGCATTTATACGAGTACGATACTTTTGCACTGCATACTAAAGACAACGCCACCAAATCCATCACCACCTGGATTGTTGCCGACGCGTGCGCCGGGTCGATCCTGCATAGAAGAAATAACTGCGGTAAAACCGCCCCGAGTAACGCCCCGACAAACACGATGATCGACGCCGCGAAGGATAAAACGAACGCCGTGTCCAGGTGCGGCCACGCGACGACAAAATGCTGGACCAAAAACCTCAAACAGGCGAACACCCCAATGACCAGGCCGAGTAGCATCGCGGTACGGAGGAGTTCCAGGTTATTGATTTGCTTCCTTTCCGCGAATTTCCGGACCACGTAGACCACCGACTGCCCGCCCGCGTTCCCGCCGGCACCAACTAGCATGGTGGAAAAATACACGATGCTGGGGTGCTTCATCAGCAGCTTCGAGTAATTTGCCAGAATGGCCGACCCGGAAGACTGGAGGAGCAACAGACCAATCAGCCACATGGCGCGGTTGTGAAAAGCAAACTGCTCCGCGTAGAGGGAAGAAGCAGAGGACCCTGGTGAATTCTGTAGAGAACTTTCTTTCGACCGAGAGGATGGTCGCATCAGAGGCAAGCTGTCAACATAGTTGCTGTCCTGGTCCACAGTAAGGTGGAAAGAAGAACTTTTATGCGCCGGAGTTGGACTCGCACTGTCTCGCTTTTGACGACTACTGGGCGTGGTCATCATCTTGCCAATCAGATTTCCGGCAGGAGGATGTTGATGTTCTTTATTTTGCCGAAGATTCTTGCCCGTTCCTGTAGTTTCAACGTCGTGCGCGGATTTCTCAAAAAGTGCTGGGTTGTCTTCTTCGCGACTTCTGCTGTCTGTTCTGGAAAGAGATGGCAGTACATCTTCCCCGCCACACGAAAGAGTCTCAAAAATCTGCAGCTGGACATGGTCTTGGCGCCTTCGTCCTCCTTCATCTTGGTCAAGATCATAATTCAAATCCTGCGCTACAGCTCCTTCAATGGAAGACGAGGAATTGTCAGAGGAGGATGAACTAGAATTATTCCTGAGCACTTGTAACCTCGCCTTTCGCTGCTCGTACAGTTGCTGAAGTTGCTGCTCGAGCTGCAGGATCTCGGTGTCGAGGGCATTTTTTCTATGTTGGCTACCTTTCGTTGGAGTTAGCTGCCGACCTGCTCCACTCGGGGGCTTTATTCGACTTGCTGCTGCACTACTGCTCGCGGCGGGAAGAGCCACAGGCTGCATCCCCAGGGAAGCGGAAGCTCCTGTTGCTGCAGAGGAGTCATCATTTGTTCTTTCCATCGCTGCAGCTGCTGCTGCAACAGTGTTCTTCGAAGTCGGAGAAGGAGAGCTCAACATGGTTCCGTAGCTCAAATGCATCGAGAGGGCCGGGGTTTCTAGAGAAAAATTGTATTTGTATAGCAAATAAGCATGAGGAGTCGGGTCTTGTTTATATGACCGAAGTGGCAACAACAAAGATCGCTGTTGCAGTCGAGGACTCGTCAACGCGATCAAAAAGATAAGTGTCTGGGGTGTGAAAAGTTGTATTAAAAAGAACCGCCTGCAGGGAAGATGTTGAGGGTTGCAGCTGGTTCGATCATAGATGCGCAGAAGAAACCGGAACTTCTTCTTCAACGAGCTACGAAAAGACAGCAAGAGTCACTTCATATGGAGAACGAAACCGATTTTTTTTACATCACAAGAAGCAGAAACCGAGACACTTTCGTAAGCCGAGCGAGCAACAAAACAGAAAGGGAAGCCGGCACACACACTACATTTACGTTAGTTTCGATGTCATGTGGGTCTCAAAAACGTTTTAACCGAAGCAGTTTCTTGTGGTTCACATTATTCCTTTTTGAAAAAGACCGTGGTAAATTCATCTTCTTCATGTACAGGTGCATTGGACTACGAACCAAAAGTGACGCAGTGGTAATGTTCTCTAGTCAGGTACATTTTTTGGTACTGGACTTCTAAAATCGAAGACAATACGCGACGAAAAACTGTGCAAGAATTCAGAGAAGCCACTCGCCATGATTTAGATATAGATTTAGATTTACATTTACAAACAGCCATGGTCTGAAAAAAACCTAACTTCTACTTTTTCGGTTTTCTCGAGACGATTACGAATTAAAAAAAGCAGAACAACAAGATTTGCGACAAAGAACTGCAAATAACGTCAGGTCTACAACTGATAAGTGAATTTCCTAGCAAGCTCCACGGGCGATTTTTGACCATATTTTTATGTGATACAATCTTGAAAACTTAATCCCATATCTTGGCGCGAGCATAAATAAACTCCGTAGAGAAACTACAAGCCTACAGCTAGTGTAACACGTAATAGCTGGCAGCGAACCAGCCATGATAGCTGCTTGTGCTTCGGAACTCCCTTTATTCGGTCCTCGGAAATGTGAAACTCGAAACTCAAGTTTCATAGATACTGATACATACTTACTTTCAAAAAATTCGTGATCTTCATCTTGTTGATGGACCAACTTCTGAAAAAAACGCTACGAATTCCTCGTTTTACTTACTTGTAATTTCTTCTTGCTGCTGTGAGTCCGACTAGATTATCCTTTAGTCAATCCATAATATCCAGTTCATGCTGTGATTACGTTCATCCCCTTTTGATGCATGTGTGTTCTTCCCACCCTAACACCTTGCGTAGTTTTGCGGTTTGAATATTAGGCTACGATACTTTTTTTGCTATTTCGTGTTCTTCTTTGTTTGTCAATGACACCTTACTCCGTCCTCCCGGCAGCGACGCTAAAACTGGCCTGAATAGCCTGCCAAGGGTAAGTAAGTTCTACTGTTAGCAATATCAAGCTACAACAAAAGTAGTATTCCTGAATCGAAATATTTTGAAAAAAAAAACATGATATTAATCGAGTAGTACGTATTTTGTAGAGCTTCTATCTAGTAGGGTAGAATTATTTCCTTAGGGCGGAAAAGTCGGCAAATATCATCATTTTTGCAAGCGCACTTTTTGGGGGGGTAAAAAGATTCTGGCTGTTGGGGGTGTAGGTACTGCTTTTTTTCCTGTTGGCCATTTAGATGTTGGCGCCGCACTTCGGTGTTACGGTCCGCCATCCGGCCCTCCCCTTTTTCCAATAAAACCGCCGGACTTTGTTGAAGCTCCACCCGCCTGCGGCCCTCTGGCGCGGGATGCCGCACCCAATGTCCTGCATTCAATTCCGGACGCGCCCACATATCTTCTCATCCTCCCTCTCCGACCGGATATGGAGAAGGCGGACGCGCCAGCAGTCGAGTGCTTCCGGGGGGGTGCCGAAGGGGGGGGAGTAGGGGGGTCGGCTTGGGCTGCCTCTGGGCTACCTTTTTTGGGCACGCAAAATCGGCAGTTTCCAATGGGGATGAGGGGGTCGGCATAGGCTACCCCAAAGCTGCCTGAAGGGGGTGCCCGGAAGGGGTGTCCGGGAGGGGCAAAAATGCACCCCCCTGACCACCTCCCCTGGCCGGGCCTCCTTCTCCGGGCGAAGGGCCTCGTCGAGCCCCGGTCAGGGAGGCGGCCCGGCCACTGTTCGAAGAGCGGGCCCACGACACAGCGTCCGGCCATCTGAGCGACAACGCACAGAGCGAAGGCACTGTGGCCTGCTTCTGGTCTTGGTGTTGCGGCATCTCCGAAGCTCAGCTATCATGTTTCCTGTGGAAAAGATGAAGTGACACGCGAGGCGTGTCGGCTTCCAAGATGTTCCGCCCCCGACAAAAAACCTTTTTTTACCCCCCAAACAAGTGCGCTTGCAAAAATGATGATATTTGCCGATTTTTCCGCCCTAATTTCCAGCTTCGCTCAAAAGTGATCCATCGACTTCCGCCGACCCGAGAGATGCTGTCCGGATGAACCTCCTCCATGAAGACCGCGGTGGTTTTTACTCGGACTGATAGAGGAAGAGCTACCGGACATCATAACTCCTCCACCGCTAGTACTCATCATTCCTGTATTGTTGTTCGTGGTCACATTTATTCCGGCCATATTAATACCCGCATGTTGTTGGTTCATGCCGAGAGCTTTCGCTTTGAGCGAGTCCGGAAATCGTTTCTGCATCTGGTGAAAATTATTTGTCGGCGTGCTGGCACTGCTTGGTTGGTGCGAGGCCGAACCTGTCATAGAGCCAGGAGCAGCTCCATAACCCGAGGACCGTCCACCTGCGGTTCCTGCGTTGGTGTTGTACAAGGGTGCTGCATTGCCTCCTACTCTGCTGCTACTTTCCGCAATATTAGCACCACCAACACCACTTCCACCATGCTGTTGTTGATTGTAGTGATTCACTACATTCAAGGGCGGCGTGCTCGAGGTGTTCCTCAATATCCCCGGCCTGGCCCTTGCGGAGCTGGTACTGTTTGGCGTCGCACTGGGGGTCGGCACGAGCTGCGGCGTGCTTCCGGGCGTCGACGTGGGGATGTTGATTTGCATCTGGTGCTGTGCGTAAAAAGCGCCGAGGTTGGCCTGCAGATGCGGCTGCTGTCCAAAATTTGCCTGGATCATCTGCGGCTGGGGCTGCTGCAGCTGTTGTTGAACAACTACCTGCAGCGGTGCTGGCGCAGCAGCAGTAGCAACTCCAACTCCGCCTGGCGGCAGGTGGTCCTGTGGATAGTTGTTACAGTGCGGAACAAATGAAGAACCACTAGCGTTGTTTCCGCCCTGACGAAGGTGCAGTTCCATGTTGTTGGCATTTGTAGTTCCTGTTCCAACACCCAATACCTGGTTCAGCTGCTGCTGGTGGTGGAGCAGTGTCCTTCCACCGGTTGACGTCCCCGATATCCCACGAAAAAACTGTTTCACTGTGATGATTTTGCAACATCTGCATCACAAGTTTGCTAACATGACACAGAAAATCTGCCATGCGCGTTTCCCAAGGGAAAACACGCTTGAAAATCCAATGTCTTGCAGGTCTAGCAAGACAAATAGTTCTGCGTTCCAGTTTTTGCATCACAAGTTCACAGTGAAACAGTTTTTTCTTGCGATACCCGAAGGCGTCTGTCTACTGCTACCGGTTGTGGGAGTTGTTCCACGGTGCTGGTGAAGCGGGTAAGAAACTACGTTGTTCCTGTTTTCAGTACCACCAGTCGGTTTTATTTGCGTTGCTGGGTACTGCACAGGATCAATGTTCTTGAAAGAAGTCGAAGCGGCTGCTGCAGGAGCTGCAGCTCCGCTTGTTGCGGCCCTTCCATTAGCAAATCCGCCTGGTATTCCTCCTCGTCCCGTAGTCATCATCTGAGCAAAATCAAACCTCGAGCTAGCACCCGGCGCCCCGGCTGGTGTGGCTGTTGCACTCTGACTGATGTTGTACACGGAGCCACCTCCGTAGAAGTTGGTCTGCTGCTGACCCCCGCTGCGGGCGGCGAATGGTGCACCTGGGTCTCCGACCTGCTGCTGCGCTCCAGGTGTCGGCAACACCTGCTCGCCTCTTGATGTCGTGGACACTGGCTGTCTGAGTCTTTCGAAGGTGTTGTTTATGTTTTCGTCGCGCAGCACATCAGCATATGTAGCACTACCCCCCACAGCTACAGCACCTTCCAGCGCCGATTGCGACCGGGATTCTATCTCAACTTCGGGCACGTGCGCGAATCTACTCGTAGTTCTGCTTGGGGGGCGGAAGGAGGTAGAAGGCGCAGGTGGCACGACTTCCGGCGGGGGAGGCGGTTCCTGTGGCGCGCTTGAGGAAGAAGAAGATGAGGACGATGTGAGATCCGAAGAACTTTGCGGCGGGTACTGCGAGGGGGGAGAGGAGGAGGAAGTTGCTCTTGCGCCATTCGTAGCTCCTACCATACCGGGAGACGGACACGAGGGGAACGGGTTTTTCGCTCTGTCAGGCTGAAAAGCTGTTTGGTGCGGTGGGATTCCTGTGGTGTCTGTTTGCCTCTGATAATGCTGCTCAGGAGAAGTAGCAGGAGCAGCATACGACTGCCCAACCCCATGGCCATGACTTTTCGGTACTAGTTGTCGTGTAGTAGACCCAGCACCGCCCTCTTCCTGTGCAGCGGTAGAAGTTTTCACCACGTCCAGAAACGACGGGGAGCTCCCAGAAGCGGAATTTGTATTGCCATAATTCGCCGGGAATGCAGGGTGAGCTGAAGCACCTCTGTGTTCGTCTTCCCCGAATCGAATTTGACCGTGTTCCCCTTGCTGCCTCGCAATGCCAGCGCCTGGTCCGCCAGAAGAAGACGAAAAGACGCTGGGCTCCGGGTAGAAACTGTGAAAGCCTGTTTGTTGCGGCGGCATTCGAGGGCCTCCAGCTGATATCGTGGCCGCCCCTGGACGAACTTGTCCTGAGCTAGGGCTAATACTCCCGCCTGATGATTTGTTTTGCGGACCACGGAGCAGGTTCTTATGTTCATCCTGCGGCGCCGCCGAGGTTCTTCTCGTCTGAGTAGTTGAACTAGTACTTGTATCAGTCTCATTTTTCGCGAACACATTCTCCCCACCGAGGTATTCGTTCGTGCTTTCCGTGATCTTTTGTCTGATTTCTTCCAGTCGCTTTTCCAACTTTTCGAACTCGTTAGCTTCTTCTTCACGGAGATCATTTTTATCCTCGGAATTTTTACTATATCTTCGGCCGGCGGCATCCGCGCTTGGTCTTTCGCCTTCAAGATCTACTCGTTCACCATGCTCGTCGTGAACAAGCAGAGCACCGTCGTTCACAATGGTGAACGACTTGTCCAGATCCCGCATGGCCGAGCTAGCGCGGCCCATCAACTGCACGAGTTCCAAAACCTCTTCTCCAACGTTGTGCGCCGCGAGGAAGGTAAAGGTTTCCTGCTGCACTTCTTCCCAAATTTGCTCCCGCGTCTCCTCCATCGCCTGCAAATATTCGTTCTCGATCTCCTCTATGTATGAAAGTACACAACGAACTGCAACTGCCCCTCTCCTCTGTCTCAAGTAGCTCAACATTACATTTGAAGGGCATTTGTTCTAGCATCACACTATGCTGACAAATTTTCCAGGCCCGGACGACCGTAATGCAGTTCTCTGGGCCTGCTGAACTACTAACTTACTTGTCACGCAAAAGCACCAGCCGTAAGACTCAGATAGGATTTTTTGGCACGACTTTGCCTGTAATGACAAATGTAATGAGGGGAACAGGAGGCACTCCAGTAGTTGTGCACCTTCGTACCACCCGCGCTGCTGCCAACAGCTCCGCTTTTTCAGTCGCCAGCACCTCGGCTCGCTCCTGAGCCAAGATTTCCGCTTTCGCCTGTATCTGCAAATCTTGCGCGATCTGCTCTTCTCGGGCAGTAGTTGCGGCTGCTCGGGGTTGGGAAGTGATGCTGCTCAGGAGTTGGTCGGGTTTGTTTGGTGGACTGGTGGATTTCGGTGACAGTTGATGATGTTGAGTAACAGGCTGTCTATCCACTACAAAAGCATCGTATTCGTTTTCGTACGTCTATGTAGTACAAATAGCATCACAAATTCAATCGGCGAGTTCTTGGACAGTGCAATTGGTAACGACCGTGTATGTTGGTCAAGTTATTATAGGTTTATTAGTGTCTGGCGCCAGCCAAGGGAGTACAGCGCCAATTTCCAAGGGAGTCAAGGGAGTAAGTTTAAAAAGCGCTCGCAGTCAATTCGTAAAGCGATGCACAACGCTCCACGCTGTTTCAAGGCGTAGAAACAAAAAAAAATGGCGCGCGCGCCAGCGCGCGCAGTCACTTACCCCGTCCTCTCTTCATAGAGCGTGGCAGAGTGATTCTCTGTTTGCTCATGCAGAACAAAGAATCTCTCCCCTTTTAAATATATGCTGCGCGGCGTGGCAACTTCCCACAAATGTTGGCAACCAGTCACGCAGGCGAAAGAGATACGAAGTTTTTGAAGTGGCCACTTTATTAACTTTGCTCCGATGGCGGAAAACTGAGGTGGCTGCTTCAGCAATTTGCTGAAGTGGCAACCTCAACAGCTTTTGTCCTTCATTTCTGCATTTGCAGCAACGCTCGCAAAAACGTACGAAGAACAGAAGAAGGTCGCGGAGGTGGCCACTTCAAATTTCCTCCATGGAGGAAAGTTGAAAGCTCGCCAAACATGGGGGCACAGCGGAGGGGGGGGGCAGGATGTAAACTGGCGACGGAAAAATACGACCACGGCATGCATTTTGCCAGTAATTTAAGGGAGGGCGATTCGAAGGAAGTTTTATCTTACTCCCTTGGCTCCCTTGACTCCCTTCGGCGTTTGACTCCCTTGCTCATAAAATTAGCATTTGCAAACCTCGCGTCTACTTAACTGTTAAGTAGACGCGAGGTTCGCAAATGCTAATTCTGAATCAAGTGCAACCGCAACCGCTAGTTGTACGACTTCGATATTTTTCAGTACTTTTGCAGAGGATATAATTGCCTTCTTTCTTCCAGTTCCTTCTTCACAGCCTCCAGCTCCTCGCTCGCTGCCACTAACGCGGCTTCCAGTTTTTCGATTTCCTCGTTCCTGACCTGTAGCTCTTCCATATGCACTGCAAAAGTATCGTACTCGTACGTAGTATTGCTATTGCAATACAAATTAGCTCAGCATGACAAATGGAATTTGTCATGCTGATTTAGCTTGAAAAAGGAATTTGTATTGCATAAATGCGATTCGTACGAGTACGATACTTTTGCACAGGATATTCCAGCGCAACCTGCAATTCCTGGCTTTTCGCTTCCACTTCCTGTTCCCGGATTTCGTTTAACTGCTTATCCTGTGCAAAAGTATCGTATTCGTACTAATTGCAGATATGCATGACAAATCCAACTTTCTACCTGAAATAGCATGACAAATTGCATTTTTGTTCTTGGGAAAATTTGTAATGCAATTTATACTAGTACGATACTTTTGCAGTGCATATTGCTGAATTTGCAAAGATTGCTGCTCCACGAGCTTCTTCAGTTTTTTTTCACTACCTGCGTCAGAAGTAGTGGCTGCAGCGGGCGGGATTGAAGAAGAATTCAAGAACACTCCGGTATTTATTTCTGTGTTGCCGAAGATCACCTGCTCCAAGCGCTCCTGTTGCTGCTGCTGCTGCTGCAAAGAGCCCGCTTCTGCTGGCCTCTGAGTCATCATCAAATCCCCATACGCATACGCACCGGAAGGAGCAGAAGCTCCTATCGAAGTACTAGAGGTCGACGTAAAAGCAAGATCCTTGTGGTCTCTCTGAAACTCGCTGGGGGAAAACTGCAGTCTCGTGTTTAGCCCGGTGAGCAGATCTTGCCGATGTAAATGATCCTCGGGGGATTGGTAGGTCACGAGGCCAGAAGGCGATTTGAATGAAACCCGCTTGTGGTCGAGAAGCTCCTGTTGGTTCCAATTGTTTTGGAAAAGTTGTTTGAAAGAGGGCCACCAATTGTCAACCACAGCTGTGAATAATATGGCCAATAAATCTTAATCTGTTCCAAAGACAAAAAAGATCGAAATCTTCAAGTAGAGTACCCATGGATGTTGACAACAAAGATCCCACACGACGACGATAACAAGCAGAAGTACAACTACCTGCTCCACATTCAGTGGTTCTGGCACGCTCTGCTCCCGCCCAGAAGAAACATCGGAGTTGTTCAGCGATATCTGCGACTTGAGCGGCGATACGTATCCTATGTAAAAACGCCCCCATCCCACAGTCAAGATGGGGAATCGGCTAGACAAATCCACAATTTTTGGCTGTTTTGCATGACAAATTTGGGCTCGTAGCGCAGTGCTGTTTGAGCTAGCTCAGCAGCATCACAGATCTAGCACATCATGCAGATTGCAGCATGACAAATTGCAAAACACGACTAGAGAATGCTTCTCATGGGGCTCCGCATGAGAAACATTCTGAGCATGGGCATGCAGATTTGCATTACAACTCTGGGGTGGGGACGTTTTTAATTACGATAATAAGACGATGTTGTTCTGCTGAGAGCTCCGCGTGATCCAAGACTGCTCGGAAATAACAGAGGTGTCATTGAGAAGCTTCTGGTCTTTGAAATCTCGGTCTTGCACCTGCTTTCTTTCTTGGCAAGAACTTTCTGCTACACTAGTCGGGCTTGTTGTCGTCATCTTGTGCTGCGCTACCGTGGGTCCGACTTGCAGTTCCCTTGCGCCAAGTTGTGCGGTCGAAGAGACATCACGTTCATCTTGACCAGCAACAATAGCTCTCTTTCCCTTCTGTTCTTGCCCTCTGCTTCGTGCAAGGATCCGCTCCAATTTTGCCTTCAAAATCTGATTTTCATCCCGCAACTTTTCCACCGTGTCCGCTAAGACCGCCAAGGGCCCCTTCTTTTCGTTCTTGTTCTCGCGGTTCAAGAGCTGCTGCGTCATCTCTTCCCAGGGATTAATCAACGGCCTATCGTCGTCTTCAAGAACCCCGTCCCCGTCACCCAGATGACTCGTGACGACCTGTTCCGCCGCGAATTTAATCTTTTCGTCGATTTCTCTGTCGACTAACATATCAGCTGCGCTTGATGTAGTTCCTTCGCCCTGGTCTTGCTTCTGCTTGTAATTGTTCATTCCGGAAGCAGTAATCTGTGTAGCAGTCGTGTCCACATTCTGATCATGTTGCCTCCCACCAACTCCCACCGACCCCACTACACTTGTCGTGTGATCCAGCATCGGCGTGGTCTGCGAGCCCGCGTCTGTGTGTAAAAATTCCGCGGCGGCCCAAGGGAGGACCTTGTGTTTGTTTGCGCTGTTCATCATCCACACAGGTGTAGGCAAATTGGACTGAGTCACACTGTAATTATCGCCAGCGGAAGAAGTGCCAGAGATCTGGTGGGCCACTGCTGACCCAGCACTCGAAGATGTCGCGGCCGCGCCACTCGTCGTGTGTCTTTGTCGGTGTAACTCCAGTTGATACGCAAATTGGTTTTTCACCTCTGTCAACTTCGCAATGGTTTTCTGCCGCACGAGATCCTTCTTTTCCGCCCGGGAGAGCAGCATGATCAAGTCTTGATTCGCAGAGTTCGCTTGCTCTAGTTCGCGGTGCAACGCTAGAAAATTTTCCTCGGTGTTCATGTTCATCGAGGTCGAGGATGACGCTGCCCGGTGCGCTTGTTGCTCGTGCTCTGCATCTTCGTAAAAACCACCCACTGAAAAAGAAGCTTGTTGTTCTCGTCCTGAAGGTGTACTACCACGACCTGTAGGCGTATGATTCCCTGAGGAAAGTAGTCTCCCCCCAGCAGCACCGGTGGTAGGAGAGGAAGACCTACTGGCTCCCGCTGCGGTGGCGTTCTTCTCAAACGGCTTATTTTTCAAATTATCCAAAGAGTCCACCTCTAGTTCTCGCAACGAATTTTGCTTTCCCCCCTCAGCTAGGCTAGAAGATTTTTGTGCCGGAGCAGTACTGAACAGGTGTTCTCCAAACGACCCAGAGGAAGAGTTACTTCTACTTGCGTTCATCTGTTTCGAGCCCTGCCGGGATAAAGAAGACATCATTGTCATTTCTTGCTTTTCCGCCTCTTGGTCCTTACTCGGGAAAGTTGGCTCCGCAAAGTAGTTCGTGCCAACTAAAATCTGCTCTTCCACACTGGGAGACGTTCGGTTATTTCTTACCTGCAGCTCAGGTTGTTGGACATGTTGACCACCGGCAGGAGATGATGCAGCTACAGGAAATAAGCCGGGGCTTGTGCCGCTTGTAGCCCCGGACAAGAACCCTTGGGTAGAAGTTCTTGAAGTAGATAACTGCTCCTTCAAACTAGCTACCTCGTCCTGCAGCTTTGTGATTTTTGCGACGTAGCTTTCCTCATCCTTCTGCCAGCGCTCGAGCTTCAATTCCAGCTCTTCATTCGCAGCAATCAAAGTATTCACTTTTGTCTCCTTCTCTTTTAAAGCAGCTTCGTAGGAGTCCTCGCTTTGGCGGTCGTGCAGTAGAACCATTTTATTTACTGCGCCCGCGTCATTTATTTCCGCGGCAACTGCAGCTTGCTTGCTTGGCGGGAGCGACGGCGAGCGTGGTGACGACAACGATAACGAACGAGGCTTTCCTTGTTTCACCTCCCGATCGTAATGACCTTCCACGACCATTCGCTCCTGCAGCTTTTCCTCAAGTACTGCCTTCTCCGCTAACAATCGCTGTCTTTCCTCGAGCCAGAGCGCGTTCCCGGTTCGTTCTAGGTCGAGAGAATGCCGCAGCTTCTGCAGTTCCTTCACGACGGCTTGCATATTCTTATCCGCATAGCTCTCGTCTTGAAGATTTGACGACGTTGTTTCTTGCGCTTGCCTGTCTAAGTTGTCAACAATTGCTGGCGCAGCTGGTCGCGCAGCTCTTCCTGCTGCGTCCTTTTCGTCCATAGAACTACCAGCGGCCGAACTCAGGGCAGCTGGCGCGCCATCTACTCCAACAGTCGGTCCTTGTACCGCCCTGGTGAGCATGGACGGCGAGAATTGGTTTTCTTGCTTGCTTGGCGACGATAGGGATGCAGCCACACCTTGTTCGCGGCGCTCCTGCAGCTGCTGATCTGCCGATAGTGCGCTTGATATCTGCTGCTCGTGGTCAACATCTACTACTTTCTTTGCCGGGGAACTTGGCACGGAGTCGTTTCGGTTCTTCAACTGCAATAAGTGTGTCGCCGTCCTTGTTTCCGCCGCACATGCTCGCATGCTCAGCCACATGGGGATGTCTTTTGGTTGGTCCGACACCGACTGTAATTTTGTATTGTTTTTCGCATTCGAAGGAGGGGGGCTTCTTGGTCCGGTAGATGTTCCCATAGGATCGGATGAATAACCCGCTGCTTCGTCCTTGTCCTCAGCGGCGTCCTGTATATCATGATCCTTCTCGAGGACCCCTACTTGTTCCGCATAAAATTTCTCCTCGTGCTCGAGAAAGACTTTGGTTTTGCACAACGTCTTGCCATATCAAAAGTAAAAATGTCTGGGTCTGGAAACTTGTGATGCTGGGTGGCGTCTCATGATGAGGCTACGAATACTGGCTCAGCATGACAAGTTTCTGAGCTCCTAGGTGTTGCCTATTCTGCATGACAAACTGCGGCTCTGCATCACAGAAAAGCGGAGCTCTTGGGTAACGTGCATGACAGATTTAGAGGTCATGCCAGACAAGCATGACAACCGTGAATTCTTCCAGACCCAGACATTTCTACAGTTGATATGCCAAAGATCCGTTTCTGGTGCTCCACAAAAACCTTGGTTCGCGGGGACACGAAGGAATTCATCTCCGACGCTCTGGTCTTTTCAAAGGAATTTTCCACTTCTCCTACTCGTGGAGAATCTTCGTGTTGGTGCATCGGGTTCTTGCGAAGAAGTTGATGTCCTGCTTCTCCCATGATGTTATTACCTGACTCGCTCTTCGACAGACCTGGGGGAAAATGAACCGACTGTGTCGTCGTGATGAAAGGATAAACATTACTCCCCGCCGCGGCGGCGCCACTGCTGGCTGTAAATGGCGACTTTGGTGGAGACAACAGCTGTGCTGAAGTGCTTGCATTCATCTTCCCGTAGCCGTAGTTCGTCATCGCGGTTGTTGTCATATTACCGTGCTGCGCAGCTGCTGGCTTGTTGGGACCGCCGTAGTTCCTTGTGGAGGGAGAAGTTGGGATGTTGTTATTAATTCTGCTCGAGGGACTTGCCCTGCTGTTGAAAGGCGATGAAGTATGAACTGCAAAAGTATCGCACTCGTAATATAAATGCATGACAAATTTTCTCAGCATGATAATGCAGATTTACCCTAAGAAAAAGATTTGTAAATGCATGACTGCAATTACTACGAGTACGATATCTTTGCACAGGATATGAAGAACTTGGCGACAACATTCTCGGGGAGAGATTTTCCGACGCCTTGTAGCGATACACGCCCTCGCGGTTCAGCTGGTCGGAGTGGAGAGTAGTCTGAAGATCGGGAGCTGTATTCTCCACGACCTGTGCGCCCAGATGCGGCTCTTCACGCCCTGGACAATAATGAAATAAAAATTTAATTATGCGAGCTTACACCTACTTCGGCTAAAGAAGTGTTTTGGCGCTAGTGAGGGAAGCGAGCTGTTAAGGCGGCGGTCTTGGTCCTCGTTAAAGACGGCAATTATGGTCGTGCAGGATAAGGATAGAACAAAAAGTCATACAATATCAAAGTCTTTACCGGTTGTATGGAGGTCCCCTGCGGGGCCGCTCTTCCCGGGACCCAGTCCACAACTACCTGGGCTCGTCTTGGCTCCCCCTTCTGCCCCACTCGGCCGCGTCGAAGAGATGGTATCTGAAGGACCAGCCGAAGCTGCTGCTGAAGCCCCTTTTTGTGATGTTTTGTCAGCAAGATCCCTTGGCGAAGCCGACGTCGGGAGGCTGTTGTCTGCCGCGTTCATCTGCAATAAACCGGGACCGGCAGAACCATCCACGAGAAGATGATCCACTGCGCGCGGCACAGCTCCCGTGGAAGTAGATCTGTTTTTCGTCCGGGCCGGCGACATGGAGGACGACTTATCCGCTTTGCTTTTTGAAGACTTCATCAATTTCAGGTTCTCACCGACCTCTTGCAGTGCCTGCTTCAACTGTTGCTTTTCTTTCTCCAGACTCTCCAGTTTTTCCTCCATTTTCGCGTTCTCCTTCACCAGCAGCTCCTTTTCACTATGCGTTGCAAAAGTATCGCATTCGTATGAATGCATTACAAATTTCCTCAGCATGAGAAATAAAGTTTGTAGTGCTGATTTACCTTCAAGAAAAAGATTTGTAATGCATGAATGCAAAACGAGTACGATACTTTTGTACAGGATATTCGCTTTTCACCGACAAATTCAGTTCCGTCTTTGCCTGTAGCTGGGCGTCCAAACTGGCTTTCAACAAATCAAAGCCCTCCTGCTTTGCGGTCGCTTGGGCGAGCAGCTCGGTTTTGGATTTTAATTCCAAAGAAAAGTTCTGGTTCTGCTGCTTCACAGACTCCAGTTGTTCCTTCAATTGCTGGAGTTCATTCTGCTTTTCCTGAAACTTCCTCTTCTGTTCAGCAATTTCGGCCGCTAAGAGAGCAGAGGTCTGCTGTTGTTCCTTCGCCTCTTCACTTGATATCTTCCCCGCAGTGGGAACAGTTTCTGCGACGGTGATGGTGCCCTGGTCTTTCTGGAAACTCTTCCATCGCGGACTAGTTCCCTGGTCGACGCGTTTCACCAACAGCGTCGCGGCTTTTGCCTTCGACGCCGCTCGCTTTTCCTCCTCGAGCCTTCTTTTCTCCTCTTCTAATTTCACAAAATTCGACTTGAACCCGCTTAATTCGTCCCGAAGCAGCGTTTCGCTTTGTTCTGTTTGAGCTAGAACTTCTTTGTTTTTTTCCAGCTGGTGTTTCAAGTCGGAAATGTCTTTCTCCAGGGGGTCCTTCACTGCGTTCACCGCCTCGTTCTTTTGCTTACTGTGAAGAATTTCCAAGTTTTCGATCTGCAATTTCACCAATTCCTTATTCGAATCTAGCTCCTTCTTGCACCGCTCGTTTTCTCCTTTCGCCTTGACGTTTTCGATTTTCTCCTTCGTGAGCTCCTGTTCCAGAAGTTGAATTTTGTCGGACAGTTCGATCTTCAAAATGTCTTTGTCTTCCTCTATCAAGTGCAAAAGATATGTAGTCTGGGTGTTGTTCCTACAAGGATGCATGCTTGGCTGACAGGAGGGATGAAAAAGAACCTGTCATGCATATCGCGAAGCAGTGCCTTTTGTTTGTCATGCAGAAACGCGATTTTTCTTCAAGCGCGTAGTTGCGGATCATGACATCATACATGCATGGCTCCAAGTCGGAGGCTGCTTTCTACCATAAGTAATTCTTCACGAAAGCACACTAGCATGATTAGTTTCATCCCAACTCCCAGATCTTCGATACTATTTGCGAATGCATATCCTCTAACTGCTTGCATTTTTTTCCTCCTTCCTTCACGGCAGTTTCTAGCTTTTCCAGCTCGGCGCGGAGCTCTTTGGTCTGCAGCTGAAAAAACTCCTCCTTCTCCTGCATATGAATCGCAAAAGTATCGTACTTTACTAGTAGTAGTAATTGCACTACAAATTCGCTCAGCATGACAAATGGAATTTGTCATGCTGATTTGCCTTGGCGGGAAGCAGATTTGTATTAATGCATGACTGCGATTACTACGAGTACGATACTTTTGCACAGGATACTGCAGTTGCGCCTGCAACTCGCCGGCCAGTTCCTGCGACTTTCGCTTCTCCAGTTCCGCTGCTTCGTGGTCTTCTTGTTTTTTTAAGACTTGGCTTATGCATCGCCAAATATGTCTGGGTCTGGAAGGTGGTAACTTTTCATGGTAAATCTGAAGCATGCAAAAATCTGTGTTGCATGAGTGCCAAAAGCTGTCCGCTTTCGACCAAGTTGGGAGGGACTTTCTCATGTTGCAGGATAGGCATGGTGGAGACCTCGCAGAGTCTGTCTTGCTAAGTCCCTCATTCCAGACCTCATGCGTCATGGAAAATCTGCATGACAAGTTTACACTCTTCCAGACCCAGAATTTTTTCAAAAGATATGGTTTTTCTCTTCTATTTCCTTTTCCAATCTTTTTTCCAACACACCTTTCTCCTGCTCTATCAAAGTGAAAAAAGCCCCCACCCCATACTCAAAAGACAGTTTGTGTTGCTGGATTTGTGTACACAGATGAACTTTGTATTGCAGCAAGAGCGTGTCTGCATATTCTAAGGCAATTTGGATACGCATCCGGCTAGCAGCTGCGTATGAGAAACAAGTCTGACATAGGCGGAAACGCATGACAGACTGGCTGCATGATGCGCCACATGGGTGACGTTTGCCTTGTAGTACAACGCAAAACAAAGGTGATTTGTGCTCACAAATCAGCATCACAAGTTTCCTTTTCGATATGGAGAGGGGGGGTTTCATTGCAATATGCTCGAACACTTTCTTCGTTTCCAGCACTGCCTTGTCGTGCTCGCTGGTCAGCTTCGCGGTAGCGAGTTCGTGCTTTCTCTCCGCTGCTTGCATCTTCTCGGAAAACTCTTTTTCTTTCACTACCAGTTTCGCCTCGTAGTCCTCTTGCAGCGCTTGCTTCAAGTCTTTGTGCGCCGTCGCTGCTCCCTTCTCCCGGTCGAAGTGCTGTTCCTATCCAGTGCAAAAGTATCGTATTCGTATCAATGCAAGTCTTGCATTACAAATCTTTCTCTTAAGGCAAATCCGCATTACAAATTTTATTTCTCATGCTGAGAAAATTTGTAATGCATTTATACGAGTGCGATACTTTTGCAGTGCATAGCTCCTGCAGCAGCGCAATCTCGGCGTTTAGCGCCTCGTTCTCGTCCGCAAACTGTTTTTCCAATTTCTCTTTTTCTAGCACCATCTTTTCCTGCAGTTTTATCCGCTCCTCTTCCATCTTCACCTCGAAAGCCTTCTCCTTCTCCAGCTTCTCGATTCCGATTTTCTGCTTCTCCTCTTCCAGTTCGTGATATGGATCTGTCAGGATCGAAATCGACAAAGTTGAAATCGTTTTTTGTCATGCATAAAATGGATGCCAGTTGTAACCCAGTTTCCAAGTGGCGCATGACAAATTTGGGTAGAGCCGAAATCCAGTTTTTAATGCTGTTTGGACAAGGAACAAGACGCCTTTTGTCATGCTACTTTATTAGCGGCTCTACTTCAACCCCTCAACAGGCTTACAATCTGCCTCCATTGCCTGCTCTGCAAAACAGGCATTTTGTGGGTTGCATTTCACGCATCGCAAACTATTTCAACTTTAACGATTTCAACAATCCTGACGCTTCCATACTTGAATTTTCCGGTTGAGAAAATCGACGGCAACGGAATTTTTCTCGCTTTCCTTGTGAAACTCCAGCTCTTGGAGTAAGTATGACAGTGCACAACTCCCTCTCCCCCCCATTTGCCATGCAAAATCCCAAATCCAGTCGCTGCTGCCTGCCTTGTGGCACTGTTTGCAAGCATGACAAATTCCGGAAGCTGCCCAAACAGTACTACATTAGACACATAGATTTGTCATGCGCATAGGCTTCATGTGATGTGCTGGCGTTTGTATTGCTGCTCATGCCATACAAATAAGGAAGAGGGGGGGTTATGCACTCTCATAGTGAGAGCTTCGTCTCCAATTGCGACAATTCCTTGTCCTTGCTGTTTTCGATCTGCTGCTATCAAATGCAAAAATGTCTGGGTCTGGAAACTTGTGATGCTGGGTGGCGTCTCATGATGAGGCTACAGATGCTGGCTCAGCATGACAAGTTTCTGAGCTCCTAGGTGTTGCCTATTCTGCATGACAAACTGCGCTTCTGCATCACAGAAAAACGGAGCTCTTGGGTAACGTGCATGACAGATCTAAGAGTCATGCCAGACAAGCATGACAAACCTGAATTCTTCCACACCCAGACATTTTTACATTTGATAGCTGCTTCAAAGAAACGATCGCAGACTCCTTTTCCTTGGAAAACAAATTTTGCTGCTCTAAAACCAATTCTTGCAGTTTCTCCTGGTGTTCCTGCTTCAAAACGTGGATTTTTGTCTCGAATAGCTCCTTTTCCTCTTGCTTCTTTCTTTCGAACTTTTCCTCCATTTCTTTCCCGATCAGCACCTTATCAAAGGCAAATACGTCTGGGTCTGGAAACTTGTGATGCTAACCATGACTGTAATATCGACGCTCATGCATTACAGATTTAAGTAAGAGTTGTCATGTGAGACAAGCATGACAAACTTGCACTTTTCGAGACCCAGACATATTTGCAATGCGTACACCTTCTCGGCTTCAAATTTCGCGTATCAAATGCAAAGATGTCTGGGTCTGGAAGAATGTGAGATCTGTCATGCAGTTTTTGTCTGACCCAGATCGGATGGCATGCGAGCTCTAGCATCACAGATTTAGATTTTGAGCAGGTACCGCCCGAATGCCTATTGCGCATGACAAATCCCCTCTTTCGGTAACAAGAACTGGGGCCTTTTGCTAGCCATGCATGACAGATTTTGTCGTGATGTACACTTCGCATCACAAATTCGAACTCTTCCAGAGGACCCAGACATATTTGCAATGCATATCGCGGTCAAGTTCTTGATCTCCTCGAGGTGAGTGGCGTTGAGCTGGTTTTGCTTTTCGTTGAAAAATATCAAATGCAAATATGTCTGTGTCTGGAAGATTGCCGGGTTTGTCATGCATATTTTGCGTGACCCATGACGCCTGTAATGCATGACCTAGCGTCACAGATCTTTAGATGTTGGCTCCCTAATGCCTATTCCGCATGAGAAGTGCCACCCCGCGTAGCACAAGCTGGTCCCCTCTTTCTGGTCATGCAACACAAATTTTTTTAGAATGCAAAGACAGCATCACAAGCTGCAACCTTCCAGACCCAGACATATTTGCGATGCATAAAAAATTCGTCCTTTTGTTTCACCAAATTGGACAGCAGTTTCTCCTGTTCACTGGTCCAGACTTCGCGCTGCTTTTTGTATGAATGTGCACAACTCCCCCTCCTCGTCCCCCTCATTTGTATTGCATGAACGGCAATACAAACACCACCACACGTGGAACCTGTGCATGACAAGTTGTTTATGCGCCTAGTGTAGTACTGTCTGGGCCTCCGGTGAATCTGTCATGCAAACAGTGCCACAGGGGAGCACTTGGATATGGGGTCTGTTCGCATGACAAATGAGGGGGAGGGGGGGCGGTTGTGCACTCTCATATTTTGACCTCTTGGTCCACTTTCAAATCCACCTTCTGTTGGACTTCCGCCTCCAAACTTCGGTCATGCATTGCAAAAGTAAGTATCCTACTAGCATCAGTCGCATGATGAATTTCTTTAGCATGGGGAATGGAATCTGTCATGCGGATCTACTTTAAGAACATGATTTGTAATTGCATGCACGATTGGAATTAGTACAAGTACGATACTTTTGCAATGCATATCGGTCATGCAGACTCGATTTCTGCTGCTCCGCGTTAAGCTCGTTTGTCAGCTTCAAAATCTGCTCCTGGTACTCGTCCTTCAAACTGCTTTGCTGCTGGAGAAACTGGCTTTCCTGCTGAAGCTTTTCGGTTTTCAAGTTCTGGTCAAACAGCGCACTTTGTTCGGCAAGTTTAGCGGTGAGCGTGGCGAGGCTTTCGGCTTTCTGCTGCTCGAGGGTTTGGCTGTGGTCTGCTTTTTGCTGGGCAAGCTGGCTTTCCAGGTCGGTGACCTGAAGTAGCAAAGGGGAGTTGTAAGAACTCATCCATTTGTATACTTTGGACGTGCAGCGTCGTCCAACAACAACAGGATCAAATACAAACTCCTTGATTTACATTTACATTTGTTTCACGTTACTTGTTCTCCGTCCCCTGTGCGCCAAAACATACACCAGGTGGAGGGAAGAAAACAGACTAGGTTCACAGCCAGGCCGCTAGAGGTACACTACTCCGCTGCTGCACGTGTTGCCGGTGCGTAAAAAGAAATACCAGCGTGAACGAGAATAGAAAAGAGCAAGAGCACGACCTGTACCTCCACACAGCTTTTAAAAGATATTGCGAAGGTCGATGTTATGCTCTACCTGTCTTTCCAGCTCTGCCTTCTCTGCGTTCAGCCGTTCCCCGGTGTTTCCCGCTTCCCCCGCAGACTCTTTCAGTCGGTATCGCGAGAAATAAAACCTGTCTCAGTCTCAACTTGTGATGCGGACACTGTTCTGAACAGCTTTTTGTCATGCTCGACATGCATCAAGAAAAGGGCACTCCTCCAACATACGTGTTTTTTCTTGCATATGCATATGACGGCGCATCACAATATTTAAATCTTGCGTGTCATGCTAAGGAAATTTGTAATGCTGAACCTGCTACTAAGGTTTGTGAGACTGAGACAGTTTTTTCGTGCGCTACTTGCCGATGCTGCACGACCAACGTCGACACTTTTGACTCCAACTCCTGCACCTGCTGCAGTGCCTGCTCGTACTCCTTCTTGTGCTTCTCGTGCTTGGAAGCAAGCTTCGTCTTTTCGGACTCCAGGAGCTTGACTTCTTCGGTCTTCTCGGCCAGCTCCTTCTTCCATTTTTCGCATTTTTTCTGCTCTTGCTCCTGCTCCTGGACGGCGTCCTGAGAAAAATAACGTGGTGTACTAGATCATTTTCAATTTTTATTTTTTGATAGATGTTGCATGACATTGACATGCGATGATAGACATTGATGTCATGATCGAGTGGGAGAGCACACCGACACAGGAAAACAAGCGGAGCAGTATTTTTAGCAAGGCGGAAACTGCTTATCATGTTGTACCCGCAAAGACCGCTGCAGGTCCAGAAAGACCTCCCGCGGCACAGTTGGCGACCCGGGACCGCCGCCGGGGGAAGTATGAAAGCGTCACGTTGGAAAACGACAAAGTTATAGCTGAAATAACTCTTGTTCGTAAAGCATGAAATCATGCCAGGCGGTTGTACCATGTGGCTGTATTGGAAAGCCGGCAACAAGTGAGGCCGATGGCAAGCCTGTTCGGGATCGGGGGTTCTAGAGCTGCTAAAGTTCTCGTAGCACGATAAACATAAGGTCTTCTTCTTCTATGCCCACTCAGCATGACCAATTAATAGCATTTAGACGCTTCTAAAGTTTGTCATGCGCCGCTTGGCATTATTTCAACTTTGTCGAAGATTTTTTCGAACCTGACACTTGCCTAGGAAGTGTCTGCTTCGTCGTCATCGCCAAAAACGGACGCCGGGCGAGATCCGGGCCGCGACCCCGGTCTGGAAGACGATATGGGATTCCCAAACGTTACATTCTCAACTGTTACATGGATTCGTCATGCAAAATGAGCATCAACATCCACACAATGAAGCTGCTTCGCATGACAAATGTTGGAAAGGCTAAACAGCACCCAAATCTACTGTGCTGAATCTGTAATGTTACAGGTGCAACCTCCCTTCTTTGTCTTTTGCCATTCGTGTTGCATTACACATTCATGTAACAGTTGAGAATGTAAGGTTTGAGAACTCCATAGACGAGCCGGCCGCGTTGGGGTCGCGGTCCCGGGCGGCAGCGGCCTTTTCGCGGACCTTCTTGCCGAACTTGTATTAGAATGAAAAGTCCCCCCTCCCCATATCAAAACGGAAATCTGTGATGCAGATTTGTTGTCACAAATCAGCTTTGTCATGCTACACGGGAAAAGATGCGGACTGTAGTGCTGGGTGGCGTGGGGAAGCCTTGCATCTTCAGTATGATAGGAGGCAGCTGAGAATGGGAAACAGCATGACAAATTGCCTGCAAACGAGGCCACGACTGCGGCTCTTGGCCTTCTAGCATGACAAGTCGATTTGTGACCTCAAACACAGCATCACAAATTTCGTTTTCAATATGGGGAGGGGGGATTTTTCCTTTCGATAACTTGGTCAGGTTCTTCTGCAGGTTTTTCATGGTCGTGACAGCGACGGGAACGGTAGCGACGGTCGCGCTTGCGGAAAAACAAGCAACCGGTCGTGACTTCTACGGCGCTTCCGCTTGCGTCGTCGCGGTTTCAACGAACAGTTCGCAGCCGGTGCTTATTCATTGACGGGTCACGACGCCAACCCGCAGAACGACTGGCAGGGCTGTCGCCAACTTCCATTTCTTCAGTCCTCTCTCCTGCAGCCCGTCGCCCGACCGCCGCTTTTTACTACCATGATGTCCTCCGCCACTCCCGCAACTGGAGACCAGCGCAACCCGCGTGGCGCATGGGATGAAGCTTGTTCCTACAACGGCGAGGGGGGACGGAGGGTCTCGTTGATCAAGAAGTCCTCCTCCGCGGGCTCAGCACCAAGTAGAAGAGTCATAGTACGTTCATCCCTTCCTCGCGGCGCGTGCGCGCTTTCTCCTTCATCATGATTTGCTTTTCCAGCACTATGATTACCTTTCTAAAAATGCAGCGACATTGTGCATCGTCTCCTCGTGTGTGTCAGCAACAAAAAAACGAATAGGAAATGGCCATCGTAGATGACACAGTAAGTCGCTGGGCATGTTGTACTAACTCAGCATAATGACGTGTCAAGTAGAAGCCTTTATTCCGTGCGATTCAAACATTGAGGACCAAAGTAAAAGTTGCGAGCACCAGTCATTCATATCTTCTCCCTCGCAATTTATACTAGGCATACTTAATCATGTGGTCGTCAGTCTCAGTGTTTATCTTTATTGCATTCTTCGATATATCTTCTGATCTTGCGAAGGTTCCGACCGAAGAACTGCCTGACGATGACGAACGCAGATCATATCTGCACGGATTTCTCACCGGGACCGATCACAAGAAAACAAGAAAACCACACGAAAACAAATAAAACCAGAACTGCCATTAGACCACGAAGAAAGCAATTTGTAATGTAGTACCTTTTCTAAAATGACCACAATCTAGGCCGCTATGCTCGTCGTCGACATCGATAATTCATCGGAAAGAAACCAGTCGACACTCGTCGGAAAAACACGGAACAACCATTAGACTCTCTCTGGCTGCAGTGTCTACTAACTAGCCGCAGAAACCATATAGATTCTGCGAATCCAGCACAGACTTTTTGGTTTTCTGAATCCAACTTGCAATGGTACATTGTGAAAAAATTTGCGTCGCCCAAATATCACAAATAGTTAAAGCTAAAGCCTTCCCCTTCGCATATAAAAATGCGTCTCGTAATGTGCGTTGCAGGCTGATACTTTACTTGGCTTTGCAAGCAAGCTGCAGGCTATGCAGTCGAGTGTGATTTAGTGGTTGAGTACTAGTAGAGATACATCTTTTATGCTGTATGTTAGTGATAGAGTACCATGCTGTGGAGCTGTATGGGCATTATGGTAGACAGCATGCGGTGAAGCAGGATATGCATTTTGTGTTTAGTTGTAGTAGGCTTGTACTAGGCTATAGTGGAACTACACTCAGAGCACGGCTACGGAAAAGTCGAAAAAGGAGGAGGACCAGTAAAAAGAAAGGGCACGCGGGAGGCACTATCTCAAATAGAACAGCAACAGGCTATGTTTTTCTAGTTAAAGTACAAGCTGTTCTTCTTCTTGACATCTAGAAACAGGGGACGAAAATCAAAGTGCTACCGGGTACCTATGCCTGTTGGCAAATATGCTTGTAGATTTCTTGTGCGTGTGCGCTTTTCTATTTCTGATATAGTGCCGTATTTTTTTTTTGTGTTTTCCTCATATCTATTTTTTTGTGTTTTTCTCATATTTATATATTTTTTTGCGTTTTTCTCATATGTAATTTTTTTGCGTTTTTCTCATATGTAATTTTTTTGTGTTTTTCTCATATGTAATTTTTTTGTGTTTTTCTCATATGTAATTTTTTTGCGTTTTTCTCATACGTATATTTTTTGCGTTTTTCTCAAATATATTTTTTTTTTTTGCGTTTTTCTCAAATGTATTTTTTTGCGTTTTTTCCATATGTAAAAATGTTGAAATAGCATAGAGGTGATGTACGGGAAGCGTTGCACCAAGAAAAGCACAACCGCCAGGGCGGGTGGCTCTTTCCGTTCGTGCCTGTCGCGGAGGACATTCATCAGCTAGTCCTAGTTCGTAGTAATGCTATAGAAAAAGTGGTTATTTTATTTGCTTGTTGCTCTCTATATTAGGTTTAAAGTTGTTTGCGTTTTTTAATTGCACTCAGGGCTCCTATCGATAGCGTCTGAATTCCCTCCTGTCGACTCCGCAGTGCCTGCGCCAGGTACTTTGTGGCCTGCGTTGTTTACGCATCGTCGAAGAATGCGGCGCAGTCCGACACGGGGTCGTTGGACATTCCGCAACAACCGGGGCACCCGTCCACTTTATTTTTATTCGCCTCATCTCTGTGTATGAGAGTACATAACTCCCCCTCCCAGTCCCCCGCATTTGTGCTATTGCATCAACAGCACTACAAACACCCGCACCTGTGGAGCCTGTGCTTGACAAGTTCATGCGCGTAATCTAGTACTGTTTGGGATTCCGGAATCTGTCATGCGAACAGTACCACAGAGCAATGGCAAGGCTTGGATTATTTGGTATTTTGCATGACAAATGAGGGGGAGAGGGGGGGTTGTGCACTCTCATAGGAAGCCATGGCGGTATACAGTGCGTGTCACACTCCTCCTTATGGCCTTCTCAAACGTTACACTCTCAACTGTTACACGAATCTGTAAAGTAATGCAAGAATAGCAAAAGTGAAGGGGGGAAGGCAAAGGTTGCCCCTTTTGCATTACAGGTTTGGAGCAGTAGATTATAATATACTTCTGTCTAGCGCGTCGAGCACTTGTCATGCGAAGCAGGTTGATCATGTTCATGTCGATGTTGGTGCCAATTTTGCACCATGAAAAATTCATGTAACTACAGTTGAGAGTGTAACGCTTGAGAGTCCCATACTCCTTTCGACGATTTTGTAACGCTTGAGAGTCCTTCGACGATTTTGTACACGGATTTTTGTGAAAACCTCCAGTGCGCGAGCAACATTCGACGCAGTATTTTCCTGCAAGTTCAGCTTGCGAGGGATCAAACGAGTTTGCACACGATTGCGTGCAGTCGAAAGAACTTTCCATGAACCCGGTCGGCGTCGTTTCCTTTCCGGCCCAGAAGTGCGTTGTCGTCAACATGCGCCCCTTCTTCTTCGTGTTCGCCGCGGAGACGACGTTCTTTCCCCCTCCCCCGCCCAGGGGAATCATGGCGGTCGCGACGAGGGTGGTCTTCTTCAACATCTTGTGTTTTACTTTCGCCGCAAGGATGAAAGCTTTATAAATAATTATAACATTCTTCAAACGCTACGCATTGCACGACGCGAACACCTCCCTTCGAGAACCTTCAACTTCTCTCAGACGCTGCATTGATCTTTCGGTGTTCGTAATGTTTTGACGTGGTAAACCGTATTTACCTGGGACAAAATTATTGTTGTGCAAGCAAAGCGCTGCGCATCATTGTTCCATGCGAAAACTGGATCACGTAGGCGCGTTTCCGCTACCAGATCGGATTTCGCAAGAGCTCAAAGAGCCTGTTCACCTGGTACAAAAGGGGGACAGCAAGAAAGCAAACATAGTGCATCTAGGGGTGCTAGTTGTACTTGAAAAGGCGTGGCGAGCCTGCTAGGCGCGGGCTTCGCTCTTTTAAAGTGCGACAAAGATTCGAGTATGTGAATAAACAACTAAGAGTGACTGCTATTTGTGTTGTAAGAAAAAAGCAAAAAACAAAAAGAAGTAGAAGTATGTAATGCAAAACAAAGGGCATGTAACTGCAAAAAAATACAAAAAAGAATGAAGACTTAGTTTGGCAAAAAAGGAAAGAGAGATCAAAAAAGCCATAAAGTAGGTCACACTCGACTACGCCCCTGCGTATGCAGGCAACGTAATCTCAGGCTCTTCCACGTCAATAAGGTTAGGGGAATTCGCATGAACTCCCCACAAATGTGGATTTTGCAACTGCTGGTTGGAAAGCTCATGCATATTTGTGTGTGGAAAAGCTTCCCTCAAACGATGCTCAATCGAAGGCCTGGTGAGCAAATCCGCGATGTTGTGCGCGGAGCACAACCAAGCAAAGTAGAATTGGCAATCGAGCTGGCGCGCCAACAAGTGAAAACTAACACTAAGGCGCTGGACGAGGATGTTGCGACTGTTGTTGCGTCCAAGATTGAAGCATGCACCAAGATTGTCGCAGTGAATAATGACCATTTTTCCTTTGAGCTGGTCACGAAAGTACTCGACAGCTATACGAGCTGCAAGTACCTCCAACACCGCAATACAAAAACTGCCTTTGGCAGAAGGGTCATCACCATCAATCCGACACTGCGGTGGCACCTGAGTAAGGTGTGCTTTGAAAGCCCCATGAGTGTGGGTGCCTACCAGAAAACCACCAACACGCAACTGAAACTCCTCAAAACCATCGAACACGCCTTCCTGGATACGGCGCGCCACGTCCGGGAAATTCTCGCCCGACGCATCCGTGTACAGGTGCACGATCTGCCGGTCGATATTCTGGCGAGAAATCGGAATCGGTTCCATCCGCTCCGCCACCGCGGTAGCAAGACGAGCTTGGGTTTCCAATCCACGCCTGTTCTTCGGGCGCTTGACGAGGCGGGGAAATTCCGACTCCGTACACCAAACGTTGAAACCGCGGGCCAGGTAGGACAGGTGGTTCGACATTTGGGTGATGTGCCGAAACAAACCCGCGAACGACTGGATTGTGCGAAGCTGCAATTTGGTCTTCATCTCCTCCAAGAAGCGGTCGCGCAAGCCCCGAAGTTTGATGATCTTGACTTCTGGGACCACCAAGAAAACTGTGGCAATTTTCAAATTCAGGTCGTAGCCCAAACCCAGTACCACGATCAGCTTCTGGATGTTTTGCGACTCTTTCTTGGGGAAAGATTGTCGCCATCCCGACAATTCTAACCAGAGGTCAAGGAGACGTTCATCCGAGTCGCACAATTCTGGTCGCGAAAGCCCGTGGATATCGTCTATGAAGAGCAACACGAGCAGGAACAAGTCGCAGCAGAACACAAGCTGGAACAGCTCGGAAATTGAGACGCATTGCATAACCGAGGCCAACGATCCGAACAAACAGCAATCCGAAGAGAACAAGACGTAGTCACGCTCTTCTCCCTCCTGAGTTTGCTGGTTTGTAGCGGAGTGCTCGGATGCCCGGGGCGTTGATTGCTTCTTTCCTTTCTGCCGCCGTTTTCCCTTGGCTTTGTTACTGGGCTTGCTCGCAATGGTGGCTTCGGAACCGGGTGTGTGCACCATGCCGGAAAACTGCTGAGCCTTTGGCGCGGACGACGCTGCCGCAGGTGTAGTTTCATGCTCGCGGGCCTCCGACTCTGCTGACGAAGAGGATGAAGGCGCTGCTAATTCCTTCTTGTTCTTGGGGAGCCGGAATGGTAGCGGGACCCAGATACAATTGGAAAGGGGATCGTCAATGGCACACTGGTAATAGAAGGACTTGAGGTCCCTCTTCCAACCGGTCGGGCAGAAGGAGAAGTTGTCGTCTTTGACTTTGTGGTGGTGGAAATGCAGGGACGTAGCAAGCACGTTCTTGTGGGCGTCGAAGTTCTCTCGAAGTTGCTTTTCCGTAGCCACGTCGCCCATGATCGTAGACTTCCACTTGAACTGCGACGGGGACGCAACGCATGAAGACATGCACCGCTCGATCAAGGAGACCGTGGAACGCACGCCAATGAGACGCATTTTTTCTTGGGCGATAAGACGTTTATTGTTGCGTCTGAGGTCTATACAAGACCTCGGTTTTTCGCTTGGGTTGCTCGGCTCTCCAAACGCATCTTTTTCCTTGTAAACAGGAAAGGCCTTAGCGGCGACATAAGGCGTCTTGTTTTGGACGAGCGTGTTGACGTCCTGGCGGTGCCAAAACCCTTTTTCCTCCATGGCAATGGCGTCTTCGTACATGAGCTGGACTTCTTTTTGTTTAGCCCAGTGGTGCGACGGGGCCGAAGGGTAGTCGCGGACAGGTGTAGCATGCGCTTCGGAAAGCTGTTGGCTCACTTCGTCCACTGCCAGGTGCTGCCAGAAACCGGACATCGGGATGACGTCATCTTTCGAACAAAAACCATCCATCAGGTGCTGCAAAAGCGCAAGGATCTCTTGTTCCCGATCACGGAGGTGGACCGCTGCTTGCAGGGCGCGACGCACACCAGCCTGGAAGAACAGAAAATTCTTGCCCTCGTAGAGTTTTTTGCAGTGCGGCTTCATTTTTTTGTGCAGGGCTTTTTCTTCTGCACGAAAGGTGAACTCATCATGTAAAAGCTGACGAGCTCGAGCCCGATTCTTGTCCAGCAGCTGATGCGGGTAGAACAACTTTTGGTATTCTGCTGCGAAACCCGTGACCTGGAGGTACTCCGCATGGAGTCCGAAATCGCGAGAGACGTCCATGTTGATCCGGTGCCGCAAGTCACTAGCGGAAAGGCCGCTGCTCGAGGCTGCACTCGAACCGGACGAGCTACTAGCGAGGGCCGCGTCTGCGGGGAGCAATTCGTAAATCGGTTTGTCTGCGATAGCATCAGAAGCTGGTGCTGAGCCTTGGAATTTGATAAACCGATTGAATTCCGGCGTTTCCATCACGTTTTGGTTCCATACCGGAGCGAATTCGGCTTCCGGATCCTGGTTGCACAGCACGTGTTTCCGCAAGTCATGGGTGCCTGGTTCCATAATAGCCATCGAAACAGTTCTGCCCGGGAGCGTCTGCTGTTGGTGCGAAGTTTCCACTTTCGCTTTCGACGAAGACGGCGAATTAGCGACGGGGCGCAGGGACTGCGAGGGCGACTGTGGTGAGAATTTTCGGATCTCCGGCGAGCGCTTGAAGGAAACTTTTTTGTCACCTCGGGACAAAGATGAACTGGCCGCTCGAGCCCGCCTCGGCGGGGTAGGCGGGCGCGGAAACATGTCCTTGCCTTGCACTTTGGCCATGATGTCTGACACCTTCTTGGAGGCACCGACGGGGAGGAGCGGCGCAGGTCCTAGCACCTCCGCCAGCTTGTTCTCGACTGGCGGCGGCGTCGTAATTTTCGGCTTCTTGGATGGCGGACCAGCAGCAACACTTCTCCTCAAGATCGGCGCCAGAGGGCGCAGCGGCGGAGGCTGCGGAAGCCCCGATTTCTCGGCGGCTGATTTCCGGGCTGGAGACGAAGGAGGTGCCGCTGCGCGACGCGGTGAAGACGAGCTACGTTCCGACATGAAGGTGGAAGTTGCTTTGTTCTATTCACAAATAGCAGTCACTTGAAATAGAGCGATAGGTAGAGCGCTTAGTACAAATGAAAGAAAGAAGTGAAAAATTTGTAATGTGAAAAACTAGTTTGAAGTATTTTTTTTTTTTTTGCAAGTAAAAAGAAGACGGTAAAGAGCACGATAATGTTAGTAAAGTCAGGAATCTTATTCGCACAACGGGGTAGTCCACGTACACCGGAGGACCTGTTGGTATTGAAGTCGCGGAAAGTAGGCACCGTTTCCGATTACCCGCTTATTCTTGGCGCGCTTCACGAGGACGTGGACCGAGAGCTGTACGAAGTCGAACAGAAAAATATCGTCGTGCGAGACGCGCGTCCATGCTGGAGAGCATAGCACCTAGGTTTTTTATTTGTTCATCATTCACTCAAAAAGAAGTAGTAGTTTCAGTACGATCCGATTGCATGGCTGCTGTGTACGAACCGAGCACGAGTTGTTATTTTGCACGAGTAGTTGTATGGACGAGCGTAATACTCTTTGGCAGACCGCAAGTTCGAAACGAAACGTAGTACTTTGGCATTGCAAATCCTACAGACCTAGAGGCGTTTTCCGCGTTCCCGCTAGAAAAGCTTTAAACCCCCAGACGGAGTTTATTAAAAAGGACAAGACTTAAGACGTATAAGAAATTGGACCCTTGCGTTACCGCATAGAGCCAAGCGCGGAAATACTAACTTAGTCAGAATTCGAAGCGAATTTCTTCATCTGCTCGTCTGTCAGCCCTAGGCGGAAATTGCGATTTACGGCCTTGATGCGGCCAATCGGAGCCTTGTGCAAGTCCGAGCACTTGTTTCCCTTGGAGCACTTGCCACGAAGGTGGTTGACGCAAACACGGTCAGTTGCCTTGCTCGTGGTCGTACGAGTGGTATTAGTACGGCCTGTGTCGACGCGGCGCCTTTTAATCTGAGAACCAGCAGGAGAATCATCAGTGAAAAAAGTACTCAAACGCCGCTCCATGTGCAGGTTAGTCTGGAACTGCATGCGGGCCTGGGCCGTGATCGCGAGAGTGCA